CGTGCGGAACGGGAGGCGCGACAAAGACGCAGAGAAACGGCTACGGCAATCGCACAGACACACACGGTTATGGCCAAGAAAAGAGAGGCTCGGCGCCGTTTCAAAGCCCAAAGAAAGAGAGACGCGGGTTATGGCCGACGGGGCCCAAAGACAGAGAGACGCCGAATCGAAGCGGCCGTAACCTCGTCTTCTTCTTCTACACATTGCATTCATCGTGGGCCTTAACCGGGCTGGTGGTGGGGCCTTCGTCTCCCCCCACCACTCACGTCCCGCGGCCCCCCAAAGATGCAGAAAAGCCGAGAAGACGAAGACGGTGATGAGGAAGAAGAAGAAGAAGCACATCGAAGCCGGCACACCACCGCCACAGCGGCAACTCCCCCCTCTCCCCATTTTTTCGTTCGTTTATATCAACTCTATTGGAAATTTTTTTCACTCAGTAACTATTATTTTGGGAGCCGTGGGGGGCTTGATTGGGATTGATTTGATATTGATTTTGGACGAAATTTGAATTTTTTAGAGAGTTGTTTATTGTTTGCTAGGTTTTTTGCTACTTTTTCAATATGTATTCATTTTAAACGGCATCTTATTGGTCTCTATTATCAGTAACATGGGAATTATTTTTGGCCGAGCTAAAAATCTGGTTTATTTCTTCTTATTATGGACTAAAATTTCAAGTTTTTATTCTGGTTTTTTAAAAAATACAGTATTTTTTGCCACGACATTTTTGGTCGAATTTTTATCAAATTTACCCTTTGATATATACACCGTCAAAATCATTTTTTCTATGTCATTTTTTTAACTTTGACTATTGGTACTCAGCTTATTTTGCCAAGTTTGTCCTTCAGTTTGATCCGACTTGAAGGTACCAAATGGCGTGTCACGTCAGCGTTGTCAATGTGATGCAAATTGCCTGGGTTCAAATAGAGCTGTTTAGAGCCCCACCGTTCACGCGATATTTTTGATGTTGCCGCGAGGGCATGTGACTTTTGGGATTGTATATCGGGTGTTCTACTATAATATTACATTCATTTTTGGTGTTTCTGCATGTTTTTCGATCTTTGTGGGTTATTTTTGAAATTTCGTGAGATTTTTGGTTTCGTAGGTTTGGCAAGGAATCAACTTTTAGATTAACCCAAAGAAATTAATTCGAAGCCTAACTCAAGATGAGAGCATTTAATTTCACTGTTAAAACAGTTTTTTAAATCATTGAGAATTGCCATATTAAAGCCTAGTTTTTCAATTATATTGTTGTAGTTTCAAAACTCATTGTTAATCTTAATTTAGCTTGTTTTCGAGCAATTTTGGTCGTTGTTTTCTTGGTCTTTTCTCAGTTTTGTTGTTCAAAGACTATTTTGTACTTTTTTTGTAATTATTACTTTTGCTTACATCGCATAGTATTTTAATTACAGCTTTTACAAAGCTGAGAAAGTATTCGCGGCTCAATGTTGATGTTATTAGGAGTTTTTCGTCATCATCTAATTGCTATTCTTGTACGCTATAACATGTAATTTACGGTTGTGGTACGCTCTATCGTTTAATTGTTGTGTTTTGCACGTACTAACTTGTCATTTTTGTGTTCAATAAGTTGTAAATTATCAATTTCTTGTTGAGTACGTTATAGCTTCTACCTGTAGCGTTCATTACATTCGAAGGTGTTACTGTGGTGTTCAGTACAATATAGTATTTAATTGTTATTTTGGTATATTATAGTAATTGATTTTCTCTAACTGTTATGGGTTAATTGTCATGTTTTGTAAAGGTTATAAGATAATTAAGATAGACTTTTTGTAGTTTCTAGTTTGAACTCTGTAATTAGAAGCTATAACGTACTAAACATAACAATGACAAGCTACAACGTGCTGAACACTCCAGGTAGAAGGTATAACGTGCTGCACAGAATACTTACACGATAGAGAAAACGAGAAACGTAAATTACATGTTATAGCGTACAAAAATGGCAATTAGTTGGTGACGAAAAGCCCATAATAATGTCATTGAGTTTCAAACATTGATTTGGTTTTGTAAAGGCTGCAATTAAAACACAACTCAAAGTTTAAGATGTAGTTTTGTAGTTTATAGATTTTAATTTTAAAAATTTCATGTTTCTTGTTTCTATAATGAAAATAGGTGACTAAGCCGAGATTCAACCACCATTTCATTTCTGAATACTAAACCAAAATTAATTTTTTGAATTTTGTTGGAACGTGGTCTTTAAAAAAAGTATAGCGTTCAGAACTTTTTTTGGTCTTACCACGAAATCACTACATAGTGGATTTAAAACTCCTGCATAACGAATCTCTTTTATAACGAACATATTCCGGATATCTTAGCAATTTGTATACAAGGGTTAGAAGTTCTACTGTATTTTTTTCACAATATGGAACAGTTTTTTGACATTGTGTCTTTGAGTTTTAGCAATTTGGTTGACTTGAAATTTAAAAATTTCTTGTACCTGCCTTTAGGTATTACCACGAAAACTTTTTCCGTAAAAAATTGCCTCACAAACCTCTGATTTAAAAAAAATATATATAAAACTTTTAATCTAAAAAAACTTTTAATAAAAATCATACGCTAACAATCCCTCCGTTTCTGGACGCCAAACTGTAAATAAAGTTTTGCGCACTTTTAAATTTCATTTGTCATTTTTGTTTATGCTATCTTCGTCTGTTCGCCGAAGCCGGAGATCACGTCTTTGTTTATGGCCTTTTGTATGAAAACGGTAATTACTTTTCGAACGGCTTTTTGTAATCTTCTATCGAGGGCATCACACTCATTATGAGGCATGTTATGTTAGTTGATTCAGATTGATGTAGGTCCTTTTATTTTAAAAACTTTGGAAAAAGTGTGGGTTAAAAACTATTGTAAGCAATGCAAGTACATTGAACTCTTGTATAACGAATTGCTAAGATCTTTGAACGTTGTTCGTTTTAAAAGAGTTTTACTGTTTGCAGTGAAACTCTTGTATAACGAACCCCTCTATAAAGAAGTCTATAACAAAGCCCTCTATAACGAACACTTTTTGTCCTTTACCAAAACCACATAGTGAATCCCTTGTAAACTCTTGTATAGCGAAACCTCTTTATAACGAACAAATATAAAATTTTGGAATGCTATGCAGGAGTTTTACTGTAGCACACCTTGTGGTTTGTTTAGTACACCTTTGTAGTTGCTATTTAGTACTCTTTTGTAGTTGTTTACTGTGAAATCTACTCCAATATCGTTCACTCCGTTTTAATGCCAAACCGAAACAATAACCTTCTCCAACTTGACGTCATTTATAATGTATAAGTTAGGTGGTCATAAATGTATACGTGGCCAGGGTCTGAACTGTTGAAAAGACGACGAGAATTTGCAATTCAGCAAATATTTATTATATTCTTGATGTTTTCCCCCTTTGACAATATCCATTTTATGCAGAACGTCATCTCCTTGGTCTTCATCGGCCGTCCTCTCTCTGTTTGTGGCCCCGCCAAGTCTTTCTGTTTAAGGCCGCGGCTTCAATTTGTCTTCGCGGGTCCCGGAGAAGAGTTTTGTCTTACGGGAAAGAGAGCCGTCGATTCTCTTTTGCCTACGCTTTTTTTGGCAAGAGTTTTTTTGTGTTGTGCCTGCGGGGTTTGTACGCGTATTTTAAGGTGGACTAAATTTGGGTTTTGGGCGGATTTTTAAGTTGGACTAGATTGAGGCTTTAAGTTGAATTAGATTGGAGTTTCAAGATTGACATGGGGGGTTTAAGGTGGACTAGGTTTGGGGTTTAAGGTGGACTATGGTGGCATTTTAAAGGGAATTATGTGGAGTTTTTGGATGAACCGGATGGGGGTTTTAAGCGCATCGAACTGGGACCTTAAGGTGCACTGGTTTTTGGCTTTAATGTGGACTAGATTGGGATTTTAAGTGGATTAGATTGGGGATCTTTTTGTCGTAGAAGTTGATATTTGGAGGGGGTTTTGGATATACAGTGAAACTTTCATAACGAACTTTTCTTTAAAAAATCTTGTATAACGAACAACTTTTGAAGCTCGAATGATAATATCCATAACGTTACAGTTCAGCAGCTATTATTGAAGACCGTGTTGCTAAGCTTTTATCGTTTGCTTAAGATTTGGAATCAATTTATGATTCCAATTCAGAAGTCTTCGACCAGTAAGGCAATTTCTTAAGGATGACGCATTTTTTAGGGTTTTCCTTTCAACCGGTCTACTTTACTTTTAACTATACTATTGTCAGTAACTACACGAGCGAGAATCGATTGGGGATTTTAAATCTGTAAACTATTATTAAAGTAGTGGGGTTAAGATAATTAAAAACAATGTAGTAGAGGTAGAAGGCCATGCCTATTCATTGGTACGCTGAAAAATGCAGGGATATTATGATGGATTTTCTGAGATTAAAAAGCAAAACGAAACGAACGTTTATGAATTCAAAGATTTGTCAGTTTAAAATGACACATTTGAAGAATAAAAGCACGTTTTGAAACATCTTTTCACAATTTTTTTCTTTTTCTTAAGCTAAGTTTTACCTTTATTTAGCTGATAAATTTTGCCTTGATATTCATACAGATTACCGTAGCTAATAGTTCTGTATTTTCTATCATTACGGTAAACAGTTGTACTCTTTTCTGCCTTACTATTGTATTTAGAGACCTATCCCGCTCGTCATCTCGACTTTGTTCTCTCATAGTATACTCTCGCTTTTTGCCTCATACTCTAGGCCAAAGCTTGCTTAACCCCCCCCTTCTTTTCTCCCCCCCCTTCTCTCTTTTGCCCTACGGCTCCGCTTACTCTCCTAGCCGAGCTAGAAATGGCGGCCGCTTTTTCGTGCACAATTTTCTCTCTTTTTTTCGAATTTCCGTCTCAATTCGAAAGTCGGACGGATTGGAACACACAACTCTCTGTTTCACTGTCAGCATTACTACGTTCTCTTCCTTTGGTACACCAAAGGGTCGTGTATTCACAAAAAAAGCGGTTTTTTTAAACTGCAACATGATTTGTTGCATATGATTGATGGCCTACGACAATACATTGGGGATTATAATCAGTTTTTGGGTGGGTTTTGTTTTGGCCGCTTACTTTTTGTTTACTGCACTTTTGATTACTTTACTGTGGTAAGGAAGTAGTTGTGCAAGATGTGAGCGTTACTTTTTTGGGGTCTATAGTTTATTATTTGTACTTTATGGTACGACTGGTTGAATACACTTTTTTATGCTTATATTTTTTAAAATTTTTGGTTAATTTAGAAAATTTTTGCGTTGCTAAGTTTATATGGCTGTAACATGGATGCTTTAGAATTCTATGACATTTTGGTTAATACAAGTTGTTTGTCATTCTTTATAGACTATTTACTCTGATTTTTAGGTTTTTATGCAAAACGACTTTCGATTTTTGAATTTTTCAAGTTATACATCAAAACTTTTCCGCCAATCTGCCAATTTGACATTTTTTATTTTTTAAACTTCGAAAAATTTTTTTTACATTTTTATTTCGATCTATTTACAAATATTTCAATTTTTACACCTCTTTTATTACTGAAACTCACTGTCATTATGACAACATTTCGGGATGACATATTTTATGGACGAATTTCATTTGTTTTTCCAATTCTCTTGGATGTGTCACGTGGAATTTATCGAATTTGCGTGAAACAAAAACGCTTTCCCGTCCCAAATTGAGCCGTTATTTATTGTTTGTGGGCTCGTTAACGATTTGCATACGATTTGGGGCTGTTTTTTGTTATGTAACATACGAAATTTGGGCGAACTTTAAGGGAAATTCTTGATTTTTCCGCAAATTTTTATAAAATTTTGAGTTTTTTTGAACTTTAGGTATATTTTCAAGATTATCAACGAGTTTAATATTTATTATTGTTATCAGTAGAATATGCATTAGTTACTTCTCAAATTTCAGGCAACAAACAACTCCCAAACACCAGTGTCGCGTCGCGACCAAGAATCCGGCAGCTTTCTCCTCAACCAAAGCTTGGCCGAGGATCTTGTTGTGTGGCTCGGTTAGACGTCTAGGAATATATGAGTTTGTTTGTGTAGGTGGACGAGAGTTAGTTCAAACGGTAAGTGAATGGATTTGGTGTTTAGTTTCGGGTTGGGGAATAGCAAATGATATTACACTTGGTCAGTTGGTGGTGTTGCCGGGGAATTTGAGGTTTTGGTGGGTTGTTCGAGGATTTTACGTGAGAGTTTGGTATGAATAGGTAGAGGAGAGATTGTAGAAGCTTGGGCAACACCAATGGGTTTTAGATCTAAATTTTGTGTTTTTGGGCTAAAAGTTACGTTATAATTGAGAGCTTTGAGGTTCCGACCGGGAATTTAAAGTTTAGGTATGTTATTGATGAACTTTATAGAAGATCTTGGTATGAATAAGTAGAAAATAGAATGCTAAAGCTTATCCCAACAAGAAAAATGTATTTTAGGTAAAAATTTTGCATTTTTCATCAAAAATTATGTTATTCATGAGACATTTGGTGGTGTTGCGAGGGATTTGAAGTTTTGGTCGGCTGTCGTTGACATTGATGGGTCGTTTTGTAATTAATAGTTAGTGGAGAACTTGGGAAAGCTTATAGAGTTAATTTTATGTTGTTTTCGACTAAAATTTTTGAGTTTTGACCAAAAGAAACGGATTTTCACCTTTTTTGAGATTTTTAAATTCTGCTTCAAACTTCGCGCCAATTTTGATTCTTGGAATGTGAGCTACTGTATAACTATTTAACATAACATAAATGATAAATCAAAGCAAAATTTTTTTAGTTTTGATAACAGCTGATAACGCTTTGCCAAAAAAGTCCCGCTAAATTCAAAAGTTCATGTTTTTAGTGGATTTTTACGCTTCTTAAGGAGCAATTTAGGTATTTTTGATTGAGAGTAGTTAGAAAATTATTATTTCGATTGTTTTTCTATTTATCGTACTAAAATTTTTTGAAATAGTTATTTTTTCAATTTTTTGCCTATTACAACATAAACTCAAGAATTCAAGGCTTTCCCTACTAATAAGCCGATCGACTTGTACATTTCCGTTGCAAAGTACACGGAAAGAGTCATTACACCTTGTATTTACATGACATTCGGCCGAAGAGTGGGGTGGATTAAAACCGCCGGGCTGGATTAGAAACCTTTTAGTGCGTTTCGGCCGGAAAAAAAATTTTCCCAAAAATTTTAATGCCGTTTTGTGTGCAAAGAAAGCGCGCGCCGGTGCATTGCCTCAAATTAATTATCTTGTTTGTATATTTAATTAACCGCGAAATCTCGCAAAATGTCATAAACAAGATTATTGGGGCGCGGATTAGGGGTTGTAATTAAAATTTCCACACGTGCTTACGCAACCAACGACGTGAAATTTTTTGCGTGGGAACCTACCTGGGACAGGATGATTAGCGCTGGGTACTTTTTTTTGTTTTGGAAACGTTTATATAAAGGGTTTGGGTTATGACAAATTCTTAAAGTATTAGTTTGTGTCATATTTGTAAATACTTAGGAGGAAAGGGGGGGGGGTAGAAAAAATTCTTTGGTATTGAAATCAGGGACCTCGCTACAAATTTTTTCTAAGGTATGGAGTGGAAAATTTTTTTTGGCATTGAAAGCAATGACGTTGGCACATTTTTTTCTGTGGGAGGGGGATAGCAAAAAAAAATTTTCTTATTTACAGTTTGCTAGCGAACTCAACACCCATTTTTTGTAAAAAATGTTAGTTTAGGCTCGATGCATCTATCTCATTTACCTTACCCCACTTTTTGCTAGGTCCCTGACTGAAATATTTGTGCACGTTGGTTTAGGCCTTTAAAATCAGTTTAACTTATGCCTTCTGGGCCTAATTTTTCTTTGACAGACCTTCTGAGCTTTTTATAAATAAGGGAGGGGAGATATGAATTATCTGACATATTTTATAGTATGGGCAAGCTACTGTTACAAGAAGCTATAAAAAGTTGTATTTTTAGTCAAAAATGTCACAAAACAGCTCTAAAATAAAAAATTGAAAAAGAAAATCCTATGTTTCCAAATTCATAAACAAAAACACTTAATTTAAACGTAAAAAATTATTATACATCAATTTTTCAATTTTGATAAGCCAATTGTGACAATTAAAGTTGATTAGACTAATTTATAAGACTACCCTATACCTTATTTTCCTACTAGTTACTAGAATCTAACATAATATGAAAATCCTGAAAATGTTTATGAAAGATTTTTAGTGCATTTTATTAAGCAATTCTGCCATTTCTTTTCGTTTTTCTTTATTTTTTCAAAAAATTGGTGTAAAATTAAATAAAAAGCTTATAAAATAAACTAAAGTTTTGTTATATTAACATACTGTCATTATATTCATCTTTGTCATCTTTAGGTAATATTTTTGTGTAAAAAATTTTTGGTTTATTTACTTTTAAAAAATTTGAGTTTTTCGATTCTGCACTTACGTTTAGTGCCATTTTAAAGCCGTTTCAAATCTTAACTCATTCATAATGTACTATAAATATTGTCCTTTTTTAAATGTCATAAACTGATTAACCTTAAAGAAGAAGAACAAAGTCTTTTAAGCTCTACACCTACACTGATTCCAAATGATAATACGTACTTTTATTTTTGGATAAAGCTATCGAGATTCATAATGAATTTTAGATTTAAAAAAAATTAAATTTATATTGATTTTAGAAATTTTAACTAAAAGAAGCTACGTATTGCCATTTACAATTAGTATATGTGAAAAAGCTTATGACTTTGTTATTTTTCTTTTAAGGTTAATCAGTTTATGACGCTTTAAAAAGGACAGTATTTACAGCTATATGATTGATTAGAGGTTTGAAACGGCTTTAAAGTGACACTAAATGCACTTGTAAAACCAAAAAACTCAAATTAAAAGAAATAATTATGTCAAAAGCTTTTTGAACAAAAATATTTCCAAAAAGATGACAAAGATGAATATTGTGACACTATGTTAATATAACAAGATCTTAGTTTATTTTATAAGCATTTTACTTGTTTTTACGTAATTTTTGTTGAAAAAATAAATAAAAACGAAAAGAAATGGCAGATCTGCTTAAAAAATGCATGAAAACAATTAACAAACATTTTCAAGATTTTCATCTTATGTTAGATTTTAGTAATACTTTAATTGATATAGTTTCTAGTAATGCGTGGATTAGATACAGGGAAGTCTTATAAATTAGTCTAATCAACTTTAATTGTCACATTTGGCTTATCAAATTGAAAATTTGGATTAGAATAAGCTTTTACTTTTAAAATAAACGTTTTTGTTTATCAATTTGAAAAAATTGGGGTTTTTTTCTAATTTTTGTTTTTAAAGCTGTTTTGTGATATTTTGAAATAAAAATACAATTTTTTCAGTTTTTTTGTAACAGTAGCTTGATCCTTCTATAAATTTTATCAGAAAATTGATCTTATTCCCTCTTTTATTTAAAAAAATCTTAGAAGGCATGTCAAAGAAAAATTAGGCTCAGAGGGCATGATCTATATTGATTTTAACAGCCAAGCCACTGTGCACAAGTTGACCTGTACTAAAAAATTATTTTACACTACCATCTCCTTACCCATAAAAACTATGACAAAATGTTGAAAAAATATGAGTTGTCTTTTTTGAATTTCATATTTTAGGCTGTTGTATGACGTTTTGAAGAAGACTTTGAGTTTTTCTAAGTTTTTTGATAATTACTGACAATATGGTTGACTATAAAAGAATCAGAAAAAATTTTTTTAAATTTTAAAGTCGTGGTATCATAGACAATATAAATTTCCAATTCAGCATTTTCGTTTTCGTAACATCAATTTTAATAACATTTTAATGAACTTGGGCCTCCACAAATTAGCGGATATTCTAATTTCAGGTGCGCCAGGTGAATTTAGACGCGTGCTCGAAGCTGGACACACTCAAATTCATTTCTGTTACAACGCTAAAACATTGCTCGAGCGCAAATTTTCGGAGTAAGTTTGTTTCCTATGGTTTTGTGCTTTAGGCGTGGGTTTTTGGGTTATGGCATGGGTGGTTTAGTTTAGGCATGGTTTTGGCGTTTTAGGCGTGGGTTTTGGAGTTTGGCATGAGTAGTGTTGTTTAGTCATAGTGTTTGCATTTTAGGCATGGGTTTTGGTGTTTGGATATGAGTTTTAGATGTTGGGCGTGGGTATTTTAGTTTAAGCGTGGTTTTCGTATTTTAGGTATGAGTTTTGTGTTTTTGGCGGGGGTAGTTTAGTTTAGGCATGGGTTTTGAATTTTAGGTGTGGGTTTTGCTTTTTCGGCATGTTTTATTATTTTGTAATGGAGTTTTAGATATAAGTTTTTTGTTCCTGGCATGGGTTTTTGATTTTTTTTTAAGTTTTGGGGGTGGATTTCTTAATTTTGGCATAGCATTGGTTAAAGGCACAAAATTGCATTTTAAGTTAAAAAAGCGGGTAGAAGGTTCTTTTTCAATATGTATTTTTAAAAAAATTTTAATTTTACCATTTTTCAGCAGCCAATCCAAACGTGGTCAGCCGAATCCTGATCTCGGAAAGAAGCCGTCGCAAAGAGTTGGCCGAACCTTCTTTCCTTTCCCCCTTCCGTCTTCAGCCTTTCGTTGACGTCGAATTGTGTGCAGCTTGATCCTCATCACCCACCCCCACCGTTCACGACGCCGCCCATCCTGAATTCGGAGAAGATTGGCTTCTGTTTCGGCAAGATGGGCTGCACCATGAGCCAGGAGGAGCGCGCCGCGCTGGAGCGCTCCAAAATGATCGAAAAGAACCTGAAGGAGGACGGGATTCAGGCCGCCAAAGACATCAAACTCCTGTTGCTCGGTGCCGGCGAGTCCGGAAAGTCCACCATCGTCAAACAAATGAAGTAGGTATTGGTGTTGTAATCGCGAGTAAGGTAAAGAAAACGTATTTTACAATATAAAAACGGGGTTTTGAAGGCATTTTGCAATAAAAGTTTTGGAAGTGTAAAAGCTTATTTTCTTATGAAAAAAGCTTTAAAAAATGAAGTTTTGAAACTTTTTTTACTTTTTTAAACAATGTTTGGCAAAATTTTGAGTTTTCTACGGACTTTTTGACCCTTAATCGTAATTTTTTACAACTTTGAAACCTGGTATTGATTTATCTGGCAAGGTGTTTCATGAAATTTTTGCTTTTCGACAAGCTTTTTGACCTTAATATACATTTTTTTACAAACTTTTGGATCAAATTTTTGATTTTTTTCCAAATTTTCACTAAATTTTGGTTTTTCTATAATTATTTTGACCAAAATTTGCGATATTCCTCATCTAAACTAACCCAACTTTAGGATTATCCACGAATCGGGTTTCACGGCCGAAGATTACAAACAGTACAAGCCGGTGGTGTACAGTAATACGGTGCAATCGCTGGTCGCCATCCTCCGCGCCATGGGCAACCTGTCAGTGCCGTTCGGTCAGCCAGAGCGAGAAGCCGACGCCAAACTGGTGATGGACGTGGTGGCGCGGATGGAGGACACGGAACCCTTCAGCGACGAGCTGCTGGTCGCCATGAAACGGTTGTGGGCCGACTCCGGCGTGCAGGACTGCTTCAATCGCGCCAACGAGTATCAACTAAACGACTCGGCCAAATACTTCCTCGACGACCTCGACCGTCTAGGCCAGCCCAACTATCAGCCCACCGAACAGGACATTCTCAGGTATGGTGATGTGACTTTGATAGGAGTTATGATTGATAATATAAGGAATGGGTAGGGCGGAGGTAAACAAATAAAAAGTTTTGGGAGGGGGGTCGGGATAGGGATAGAGTAGGGGTAAGGATGGGAGTAAACGTAGCGGGGAGGAGGGGTTGAGGGGTTTAAAGACAAGGGATGGGTAGCGTAAGATGAGAGTTCAGGCTAGACATCAGGAACAAGCCGGGCTTTGATTTTCAGGCCTGACTCGATCTAAATTTGGCCTCAAGGCTGGCTCGGCTTGATCTTCTTTATTCCGGGCCGGCCCGTTCTTCATCTCTAGTTCAGGCTGAGGAGAGAGGTAGGGTAGGGATAAAAGTAGAGAACAAGGTAAGGGTGGGCGTAGAGGTAGAGAAAGGGGTAACGATAGGAGAAAAAGCTATAATAATGAACTACAGGCAAGGGTGGACTAGGTGAGAGCGCAGGGTGATGTCAGGGGTAGAAATAGAGATGAAAGTAAAGGTAGGGGTGGATCTAAAGACAGGGCGAGTTAAGTGAGAGTTTAGAGTGAGTATGGAGCTAGGGATAGAAGAAGAGAGAGGAAGGGGTAGGGGTAGAGATAGACATAAAGATAAGGGTGGATTTAAAGACAAGGTAGGGTTAGGGAAGAGGTACAGGTAAGGGTATACGTAGGGATAAAAATAGAGGTAAGGGTAAACTAGAAAGGGCGCAGCTAGGAAAAAAATATAAAAACTATTTTCATTTTTAAAAAAAATTTAATGTAGGGCGCAACTAGGGAATCATTTTTTAAAGTTTATTTTTTTAGTTAAAAATTTGAAAAGATAAAGCTTGAGAAGAAACAGTCATACCTTGGAGCAAAATACGGTAACACAACCATCCAAGGTCTATTTTTATGTTTAAAGTTAGTAAAAAGTGATTGATGTAAGCCTAATGCCATTGACATTTTAATTTTACTAAAATTTTTAAAAACCTTTTTATAATAAAGCTCAATACTTGCAGGACACGTGTCAAAACGACCGGTATAGTCGAAGTTCATTTCACGTTCAAAAACCTCAACTTCAAGCTGTTCGACGTGGGAGGGCAGAGGTCAGAGCGAAAGAAGTGGATCCACTGCTTCGAGGACGTGACGGCCATCATCTTTTGTGTGGCGATGAGCGAGTACGATCAGGTGCTGCACGAGGACGAAACCACGAATCGTATGCACGAATCCCTGAAACTGTTCGACTCGATCTGCAACAACAAATGGTTCACCGAGACCTCGATCATCCTCTTCCTCAACAAGAAGGACCTGTTCGAGGAGAAAATCAAAAAATCACCGCTAACTGTCTGCTTCCCCGAATACAATGGTGAGGCTTTCGGGAGGGGGGTTTTGGGAGGTGGGGTGGATATATAAATCAGTAAGGGCATGGGAGTGAGTTTTTGAGGGATTTTGGTTTGAGACGGGGTATGGTGAATATAATGATGAGTAAGGGGATGGGAGAGGTTTTACAAATTAAGATGCCTATTTGGATCAGTAAGGGGATGGGGTAGGTTTTTGGGGGATTTTGGTGTGGGGTGTGGTTAGGTGAATATATCGAGGAGTAAGGGTATGAAAGGTTTTTAGAGATGTTGCTTTGGGCCGGGGTAAGGTGTATAAAATGGTGAGTAAGTTGATGGGAGGAGCTTTTTTGAGGGTAGTATGGATTTTCGTGGCGAAAGGTAGATGGTGTTTTGGATGGTGATGATTTTTAGATCAGTTTTTAGGTTTTACGATAGATTTAGCATCGGGAGTGTTTTTTGGTATGAGGATCGGGGATTGAGTTTTATCAGTTAAAATTGATTTTTGGGAGAGAGAGTGAGTTAACATTGGTTTTTTAAATTTTTTAGGGGTTTTATCACTATTTTTTTCATTTAAGGATCATAAAACAGTATGCCAAGACATGTCTTGGCGTTTGAAAGTTTTCGTTGTGGGACTTTATTTAATATAAAAAATTTATTTATGACTAAAATTTTTTATTAGTTGTGGTATGTTAAGCCTTAGCTTTAACTTTTTTGTAAACTTGAATTTGGATTCAGGAAAATTGTACACTTATACTTAAAAAACATCAAGGTTGATATAAAAATTGTAACACATTTGAATTGATGTATATCTTATGATTTTCAGGCCGACAAGACTATCACGAGGCTTCAGCTTACATTCAAGCTCAGTTCGAGGCCAAAAACAAGTCGGCCAAGAAGGAAATCTACTGCCATATGACCTGTGCCACCGACACGACCAACATTCAGTTCGTGTTCGACGCCGTGACGGACGTGATCATAGCCAACAACCTGCGTGGCTGCGGCTTGTATTAGAGTAAAAAAATGGGCCCGCCGAGACCGCCATGTATCAGCGATACAGTGCGAGTACTGACGGTGCACGTACTCAGCCAGTACGTTTGAGTACCGGAGGTATAGCACGTCTCGAACGGCGTTATTCTTGTTGTTTTTTAATCTCCGTACATTATAATATTTACATTGTGGTATTGTAGGGTTTGGATGGTAATATGAATGTTGGGTATGGTAATTTTGGCTTGGGGTGGATTTTGAAATTTTTTGAAAATTGGAAAGGTAATGACATTTTATGCTAAACTACTCATACAGTATCACAATCCCCACCCTACAATACCGAACTTTCGTTATTTCAAAAATTAACCACCCCTTGAAAAGGCCCGCCGGGATTGCGCGCTAGCCCGGCTCCCCACTAATTGTTCTTCATTTTGTGTCATTTTTCGATGTTTGTCGGCTTGTAATGTGTTTTTTGTCTTTTAATTTAACTATATTCGAAATAAAACATTGTAATATACACCCCTCCCTACAATTTTGCGACGGATCCAGCCCCACCCGCAGCTCAGTCCGCTCAAAACAACCCGCTGAACTAAACCGCCTCTTTCTCTAGCTCTCTCTCTTCTTTGTAGACTCTCTATTCTCTGTGGACTCTCTGTTCTTTATAGACTCTCTGTCGTTCTTGCTCTAGTCAATGACATTTTTAATCGTATATTAGGTTGTTCAAATAATTGTGTGCCCCTTCTTAAGAAAATTATGTTTTTTGAGCGTAGGGAGCACAGAATTATTTGAAAACCCTAGTATATTCACATATACATATACTAAGGTGGAAAAAAAAGTTTTGTCGTTTTTTAAATTGGAAAACAGTGCAAAATGACGACAAAACTTTTGCAAAACCTCAATATCGATGGTATATGATTAAAAATGTCAATTTTCGATAAAAACCCGCCATTATATTAGAGTATAGGTAAGCGTCATCAAGGTTTTGGGCTCTTTTTTTTATTTTCATACCTAAAATATTGACTTATTTGGACATTTTTCAATATTTTGGCTGAAAATGTGATTTTCTTTTGTATTTTAAGGGTCTTTTTTAGTCGAAAAGTTTGTGGAAATTAAGTTTTTTGACCAGAAAATTTAGAGAAAAGTCTTTGGCTTCAAAAATTTTTTGGATTTTTTACCCGTCGAAAAGTTTATGGAGGTTTTTGGTTTATAATTGCACCTTTTTTTACTTTTCAGACCGCTTTTGGTCGAAAAGTTCTGAGAAAAAAAAGTTCTGAGAAAAGGAGGTTTTTGGCTTAAAATTGACCATTTTATGACGTTCTATGAACTTTTTGACCAATAGAAGTTTTTAAAAGTTTAAAATTTTAGCCTTAAAAGTGAAAAAAATGCCCAGAAACCTTGAGAGGCGCCCCAGTATCAAAATAGATTTACCTGCCTTCTCCCCTTGTTCCCTCCCCCACTTCCTTTCGACCCCTCTTCTCCTCTTGGGTGTGTTCTACCTAGTACAAGGTCTCAAATTCTAAGAAAAATTGAAATCTTACCTACTAGAACACCACCCCCTTTCCTAAAACAGCGGTCTGTCTATTAAAAAATCAAGTAGTTTTCTAGTCAGTAAGCCAAAACTCAGTTTAGCGTTGGAAATTAGTCGATTTTCTCACATTTTTTTTTATTTTTGAAAATTCTTGCCCTCTTATAAATTCTTGTTCTTTTCGGAAAAATGTTTTGTTTGTTGAATAGGCCTAAGCAGCTATGTATGCAATTTTTTCGTTTTTATAGGATCGACCGGTCGATTTTTGGTCGGAAAACTTTTTTGGGATTTGGGTTGGAATGAAGCTTTAATTAATTTTTTGGTAATGATTTGAGATTTTTGGCATAAATTTTGGTTTGAAATGACGTTTTTTAGTCAAAAATGATGTTTTTTGATCAAAATGAGGCTAAAAATGGCAAATTTTGGGTTGAAAATGACGTTTTTTGATCAAAATGCAACTGAAAATGAAATTTTAGATAATAATTTGAGGTTTTTTGCTTTGCATTTTGGGTTAAAATGACATTTTTTGATTAAAGTTTGGCTAAAAATAATAAACTTTTGGGTTAAAATTAAAGTTTTTGGCCGAAAAATGGTTTTTTAGTTTGAAGTTTAGCCTAAAGTGGCACTTTTCAACTAAAAAACTGGCCTAGAATACAATTTCTGGTTCTAAGCTTTTCATTTTTGGCCTTAAAAGTTGCATTTTTGGGCCTGAAGTTAGAATTTTTGACGTTTTCAGTGTTGGAAATGCAGTTTTTTGAGATGTTTAGGTAACAGAAAGGTATATTTTTGCTTAACAATGCATTTTTTGTTCAAATATATGTTAAAGTTTCTCAAAAACATTGAGCTTTAGGTACAAATTTGATCTAAAAGGTCAGCTTTAGCCTTAAATCCAGAAGTTTCGAAATTCTAAAAACTTGAAATTTAAAAATTTTGAAGTTTTTGATTTCAAAATTTCAAATCTCAACCTTCCGACCAAGTTTCGACCGGTCTCATTGAATCCCCCCAGCTTTAAAACCTGAATCACAATGACTTGGTATTCGTCAAGGTTAGCCGAGAGTATTATATTATTCTAACTATTCCTCTGCCCACACCCCCATCTAAACCCATCTCTGACATTTGCAAGATTATCCCCAATTTTTTCTCGAATCTTCTTTTCACCCCCCCCTTTCTTTGCGTTTGGAACGGCTTTTTTAATTATTTTAAATATTTTATTGTAAACTTTGGATCGTGTTTCTTTTTATGAAAGTAATTAAATTTAAATACTCAAATTGGATCGAAGTTTGAAAGAGAATTTGATTCTAGAGAGTTTTTGACCGATAAAGTGGGAAAATGGGCCGTTATCGTTGAGGTAAAGCTTTAGAATTGACGGTTTTCACCAGTTTAAGGTAAAACAACTAGAAATATTAGGTCGTTCAGATAATTCTGTGCCCCTAACTTTGGAAATTTGTTTTTAGAGGGCGCAGAATTATCTGATGAACCTAATATTTTGGTCCATTGTAGAAACATGGCTATAACTTCAGTGAAAACGCTTAAATAAAGGCAGGAAAACAATGGAAAATGACAAAAATATGACGATTCTAGAAACATTATGATCTCCACTATTGGTTGAAAAAGACTTTATGACCGTCCTAATAGTAGGCAGTTTAAGAAATGTTAATTTTATATTGTTTCCATATCAAAAATAAAGAAAAAAAGGGAAGAAACGCCGAAAAAAATGAGAAAATATTCAAAGAAAGTGGCGATTCTACAAACTTTTTGACCGAACTTATGCTAGTTGGGTCAAAAAATACATAGACAAAGAAAAGTGAATGTAATATCTTGCCTACAAGATAATATTTAACTTACTTTTTTGAAAGAAACGTTTAAAAAAAATAAAAAAAAGACTGATAAGTTGAGTTTAAATTTTGGGGTTTGATCACATTGTTTGTGCCATAACTTTTTGGACATGCCTTGAAACTTTTTGATATTTGAAGGTAGTAAAGTAATGATTATGCTGGGTTACTGATGTAAGTTTAAATTTATTTGCTTTACATACGACTGAGTTATCGACCAAAAGAGAAAGATATTCATTTATAATTTTTCGGGTTGGAGGCGGACTTTCGCCATAACTTTTTCAACATGCTTTAAAACTTTTTGATACTTAAAGCTAGCAAAGTACTGATTATGGTTTGTTCATCACATAAATTTCGAACTATTTGCTTTACAAACTACAGAGTTATCGACCAAAAGATAAAAATAGTCTCTGTTAATTTTGCGGTTTGGGTGAGTATTTTTTGCCGTAACTTTTGAACCAATATGTATTTTTGAAAAATATTTTGGGAAAAGTAACACAGTTTTATGCCAAACACACTCGTTAATATCATTCAGAATGACTAAAGTACACAATTACATTAATGGTCAATAAAATACAAACTTTAGCATTTTGTGAAATTTTTCGTATATTTATTTGAATTTATAAATTTGAATTCTATACATAAAACGATATAAAATGAAGTGATTTGACCTCATTTCCTCTTTCAAATCAATCCTCTTCGATTCGAGCGGTGAGTGAGTGTGCGCGTCTGTGGTGTAATGGTCAGCATGGTTGCCTTCCAAGCAATCGACACGGGTTCGATTCCCGTCAGACGCAGGAGACTTTTTGGGCTTTTTAGGTTTAGGAAATCCTAAATTTTTGTAAAATACGTTTATAAAAGTCATAATGTAACTTTTTGGGTTTTTTCAAATTTGTTTTTATATTATTTTTCTTAGATTTGGCTTGAAAAATTAACTATCTGAAATAAACTTTTGCTTGGAAAAAAAAATTTTTACTAAACTTGAAACTGTGCTTAGAGACTATATTAAAACCGATAAGTTATCATATTGAGATCAAGTTTATTTTACCTTTTACATACGAACAATAGACCATCATAGACAATTTGAGGTACAATTAAACAAAATAATCGCTAAAATAAACTACAACAATATTATCGCTCTTTGCAGATAGGACAATACCATTTGCCTTTAGGTGGGGCGGTCAATCCAACACAATCGAAATGGAACCATTCGGTTAGGCAGGTTTTGTTGTCGCACATTACCATCTGCCCAAATGATACGCGATTACATAGACAATAGGTTGGCTCGTTCGGATCGACCGGCATGTCGACCACTGTGGTTGGATCGAACTTTTCTTGCTTCACTTCTTCCACTTTCTTGGTCGAATTCTTCTGTTTTGTCGATTTTTGGCTGGATGTTGATTGGGCGGAGGTTTCGGCTACTGAAAATTATGATGGTAGGGTCATGGTTAAATTACTGTAACTTTAAAATTTGCGGATTTTAAAAAATCTTGTTAATGTGGTTAGATAGGTAAAAGAACAGCCAACAATCACACCAACTTTCACGTTTTTATCAAACAAGGTCAAAAAGTTATCACATAAACATCAAGAAAATCCTTGCTTTTACTGCCATTTCTTGTTTAAAATTGTGTTTTCAGTAAAATCATCATCGTTAAACCTTCAAAAATCCTTACCAATACTCGCATACTTGGTGTCAAGCTCATCAACATAGTTATCCAACGTTTCGTAGTTCTTCATGGCCAATTTTACCTTCTCCGTGGAAAGCTGTTCCAATTTTGCCAAAGCGCTCTAAACACTGATAATAAACCAAAATTACAAACCTTTAAAGCCTTAAATCTCTTCGCTCTAACATCTTTCCGAGTGGACTGAAACGTCTGAAGTATGGGACCGGTCAAATTCTCCACAAAACGTTGTCGAACTTCACATTCCTTGTCCAACTCCTGAATCTTGGCTAAATCCGGCCGAATTAAAGCTGTTACATCCGAGAATTGGGCTGTAAATTCTCGTAATTGGTCCGCATTCGTTGGCTTTTTCTTCTAAAATATTAGAAAGTGTATTTTAAGCGGGTTTTATTGACTTACATTCACTTTCTTTACCATTTTGTGACCAGATTTTGGCTTCTCAAATATATTTTTTAGAAATCAGTATTCTGGCTTTGATTGGCAGTATATAAATCCAAATTTTAATAAAATAGCTAGCTTATTTTGTCTATAATCTAATGTAAAGGAAGATTTTGAAAAATTAATAAAATTTTCCGAAAAAATCGGCTTTTAATCCAAGTTATACGCTGAAACCTGCCTCTCTACGCTGGTCCCGCCACGAAACCTACGCACGTCCATTTTCTCTGAGCTGGCAATTTCGTTGAACCAAGATTTCCGAAGATACCACGATATTGCAACGTATAACAAGTAATTCGACTCCTGTTTTTGGGTATTAAGTTTACTTTTGTTAATCACATTGATTTTTATATTATTCTTGGGATTTGACTTGATTTTGACTGGCTTAGAAGGCTTTTTCGGCTGGGTTTTGTTATTTTTTGATGTTTTTGGATGTTAAAAGAATGTCGAGAAGATGGTTAGAAGGTTAAACGTGGAATTTTTAGTAGTTAATTTGAAAGAAGTTTAGAATTTGTTTAAATTTCGAAGTTGAGCTGTCTTCTGCCATTTTGTGTCATAACTTGGGTGTTTTGATAAGGTTTTTATAAAAATTATGAAAAATAGTTTGAGCATGGACTTTTTATTCTAATTTTGATTATCTGATTACGTATCGTCGAGATTTATTACCTAACTTTATTATTTTTGTTACCAGCCATCTAAAACAATATCTTTTCCAGGATGCCATTAAGATTGGATGTTAAGCGCAATTTGTTGGCACGATCGGACCGTGTGAAGGCCACCGACCTCCATCCGAAGGAGCCATGGATGCTGGCGGCGTTGTACAATGGCAACGTGCACATTTGGGACATTAACACACAGAACTTGGTCAAGACCTTCGAGGTCTCGGACCTGCCGGTCAGGGCGGCCGTCTTCGTACCTCGCAAAAACTGGATCATCACAGGGTCGGACGACATGAAAATCCGGGTTTTCAACTACAATACGTTGGAGAGAGTTCACGAGTTCGAGGCACATTCCGATTATCTGAGAGCTTTGGCCGTTCACCCAACTCAGCCATTCCTTTTGACGTCTAGTGATGATATGTTGGTCAAATTGTGGGATTGGGACAACAAATGGGTTCTGAAACAGACGTTTGAAGGTAATTTTGATTAGTTTTTTGTTGGTTTTTAGGTACTTTCAAAGTTTATGATTAGTTTTATGTTACTCATGATATCTGATGAATGGAGAAGATTGAACTTGGTTTTTCGGACCAGATCAGCTTAAATTAAGAAGGATGATTAAAATTTTGAGTAACAAATTTTTTAGAGTAGTTATTTTAAGCAATTTTACTAAGTTTTAGTGAAAGAATGAGGTATTACGAGCTTTTGAAATAGGTATAGTATCAAATTTAAAAAGTCAGTGTGGGTAAGGTAAAACACGTTTTTTTGGATCGATTGGTTTAAATTGACAAAATATGTTATTAGTATAGATAAAAGAGAGTCTTAACTACACTTTTATGTTATTTTTGTATTGGTAAAAGTAAAAATATACAATTTCTGAGCTTTCGAAGTAGGTATAGTGAGCTTTTTCTGACAAATTGTTGATTTCTGGACGTTTTTGATCATAACTTTTTTAAACAAGCAATTAAAAATTTGAAATTATGTGAGTGTAAAGACTGGTATATGTACTAAATAATTGTAAAAGGAACATTTTATGTTGTTGTCAGTTCAAAAGTTATAGCTGTATTATTATATCCATGTTTTTTTGAAGAAATGATTGATGGCAATTTTATAAGTGACTATAATGTGGACGTTAGACGAGGTTTTAAAATATTTTTAAGTGGATAAGGAGCTAATAGTCTGATGTGTTTGTTGACAAAAATTTATGTTTTACGTACTTGTTTAAAAAAGTTATGATTAAAATAAGGTAACGTAACAATGTTAATCTTTTTTAAGTTTGAAGGTAAAATACGGCTGTATCAGTTGTTTGTTTTTAAAATAAGGTAATGTATGTCAATTTCACACGTATTACTTTTGTAAGTTGGAATGTATTTTAATGTTTCAGGTCACACCCATTATGTTATGCAGTTGGTGATCAATCCAAAGGATAACAACACGTTTGCTACAGCTTCTTTGGATAAAACTATCAAAGTTTGGCAGTTTGGAAGCCCGATTCCGAATTTCACTTTGGAAGGTCACGAGAAGGGGGTGGGTTAATGATTTTTTTTGAAATTTTTAAAAATTTAAATTTTGAAATTTGGTATGAAAATTAAAAAATATGTCATTTTATGAAGGATTTTATTATATAATCTAACGTTTAGGTCAACTGCGTTGACTACTACCATGGAGGTGATAAGCCCTACCTGATCTCTGGAGCTGATGACCACATGGTCAAGATCTGGGACTACCAAAACAAGAACTGTGTTGCCACTTTGGATGGTCATACCCACAATGTCTCGGCCGTCAGATTCCATCCAGAACTGCCAATTATTCTCACTGGGTCCGAAGACTCGACCGTCAAGATATGGAGGGCTAACACTTATAGGTATGGACTTTGAAGTCATTTTTTAATATCTTAGTCTAAAGTTAAGAAAGAAAGCTTATAGTAAATGAAAGGTAATGTAATGTGAACAATATAAAAATTAAAAAACATCAATTTAGACTAGAAACAACGATGAGCTACGGCCTGGAACGAGTGTGGTGTATATCGGCGATGAAGGGATCGAACACGATTGCCATCGGCTACGACGAAGGCTCGGTAGCCATCAAGTTGGGCCGCGAAGAGCCGGCAGTATCCATGGATTCATCTGGCAAAATTCTCTGGGCCAAACATTCCGAAATTCAACAAGCTAACTTGAACACTGTCGATCAGGCATCTCTCGAAGAGGCTCAGGGTAAGATTTTTCTCATTCATCCTACATAGAGTTGTTTGAGCTGGAAAAGAAAGGAAATGGATTTTACGGATGGTGAAGTGTAGAGATGGGATATATTTTGTGTTAGAAAGAGGTTTTATTAAAGGTTTTTGGTCCGTTTTGACAGTTTCATGGCGAGAAAGTATATTGTAGTAGGTGAATGTTTGAAAAAAAGATGTTTGGGCTTCTTATGAAGTTTGTTTTAAGAAAATGTTGATGTAAGATTAATTTAAGTCTTAAAATGAGATTTGTTTCGCATTTTCGAGCAAAAAATTATATTGTAGTAGGTATCGATTTTGAGAAAATTTTTTTTTCCAATTTTATAGAGTTTTTTTTACTTTAATGGTAATATAATTATCTTTAATTTAATAAAGAGCTGTATTTTTGACAAAATTTATATTGTTTTAGGTAAAAACTGGTATACCATGGTATAAGGCTTGTTTCAAATTTTTTAAAGTTTTTTGACCTCAAGGTTAATATAATGGCTGTTACTAAACTAAAACAACATTTTTTAGATGGAGAACGTCTCGCCTTAGCGGTGAAAGACATGGGAGCTTGTGAAATCTATCCTCAAACAGTGGAACACAACTCGAATGGTCGTTATGTTGTGGTATGTGGAGATGGTGAATATATCGTCTACACGGCTACAGCTCTCAGGAACAAGGCCTTTGGATCAGGATTGGAATTTGTATGGTCAAATGACCCCAACATGTATGCGGTTAGGGAAACTGGCTCTACTATCAAGATTCACAAGCAGTTTAAGGTAAGGACTGGTAATATTAGGTGGTTCAAATAGTTCTGTGCCTTTTAATTTTGAAATTTGCTTTGAGAGGGTACTTTTTTGCCCTTTTTGATTAGACTTTTCAAATAATCCCATTTTAGGAAGCCCAAACCCTTCGTCCAGATATTGTAGTAGACGGAATAGATGGTGGAATCCTGTTGGCAGCCAGGTCGACCAGCTCTCTATGCTTTTACGATTGGGAGTCAGGCCAACTGATTAGACGAATCGAAATCGCGGCCAAGAAAGTTTACTGGTCGGAGAAGGGCGATCTTGTAGCCATTGCTGGAGAAGGTCAATTTTACATCTTGAAGTTCAATTCTGAAGCTTTGGTCAACCTGAATCCGGACGATCTGACCGAGGATGGCATTGAGGATGCTTTTGAAGTTGTTGGTAAGGCTTTTTGGGGTGGCTTGGAGGTTTTAAATTTGATTTTTTTAAAATTTTTAAAAATTTTTAAATTTTGAAAAAAATTTAATTTCTAAAATTTAAAATTTTGAAAAAAATGAAAGTTGTTTTTGGCGAATTTTTAGGTGAGCAAGCCGAAACCGTGAAAACTGCCTGTTGGATCGGAGACTGCTTCATCTTCACCACCTCGCTGAACCGCCTCAGTTACTATGTTGGAGGTGAAATCGTGACAATTGCTCATTTGGACAAGCCTATTTATTTGGTAGGTCTAGAACTTCATTTTTTAGGCTTAGAAGTTTGAAAATTTTGTTTACCTCTTGTTAGTTGATATAGAGTAGGCTTGTTTATATGAGAAAAAGCAATGGTTTTAAAAGTTTTTGGGCTCAAAATACAATTTTTTATATTGTACATAATATGCTTAATAGGCCTTGCTTTGTAAGCTTGTTTTAAGGGCTTATTGGGCTGTGTTTTTCCTTGTTTTAGATGGATTTTGGTAAAGAAAAGGGTATTTTGGGTATATTTTGATATATAAAATCTTGTTTTAGGTATAAATTGATGAAAAATTGCTTGTTTTAATGAATATTGTACTATAACTTTTCTTTTTGTTATCTATATTATGAACTAACTTACCCAATTTTAGCTGGGCTACTCAGCCAAAGACAGTCGAGTCTATGCCTGTGACAAAGAACACAACATCCTGTCGTACAAGCTTCTGTTGTCGGTCCTAGAGTACCAAACTCATGTGATGAGGAAGGACTTCCAAAGCGCCGATGCCATTCTCAAGACCATACCAAAAGATCAGCGGACTCGGGTGGCTCAGTTCTTGGAGAAACAGGTAATAAAAGTGATATTGATTGATAAAAAACTTAAAAATTGAAATTAAAATGGTATTTTAGGTATAGAAAAACGAATTTTTAGGCTTTTTAGGTATTAAAATGCCATTTTTGAGGGTTTTTAGGTATAAAAAGGGCTTTTTAGTTACGAATCGTTTTAAAAATTGAATTTTGTTACCTAAATTATACTATTTTTTTAAATTTTTTTTGGAAAAGCGTATTTTGTTACCTAAAATTCATATATTTTTTTACAAATTTCAGGGCTTTAAAAAGCAAGCTCTGGCCGTAAGCCAAGACCCCGAACATCGTTTCGAGCTAGCCATCTCTCTCGGCGACCTTAACATTGCCTACGAACTGGCACAGTCATCGGACAGCGAAGAAAAGTGGCGACAACTCGCCCAGGCCGCAACCCTAAAGAGCAACTTGTTGCTGGCAGGCGAATGCCTCGGCCGTGCCAAAGACTACGGTGGCCTCCTCCTCCTAGCCTCATGTGCTGGCTCACCTCAGCTCATGGACAAGCTATCGACCGACTCGAGAGCCTCAGGTCAACACAATGTCTCCTTCTTGTCCTCACTCTTGTTGGGTGATGTGGACAAGTGCCTGGACATTCTGATCGAGTCTGACAGGATTTCTGAAGCAGCTTTGTTCGCTAGAACTTACTGTCCTTCTCAGGTGCCGAGGATCATATCATTGTGGAAGGAGAAGGCATCACAACATTATGCTGGGGTTGGAAAGAAGGTGAGGGAAGGTTTGTGGGGTTTGGACGGGTTGTAGGGGGTGTTTTTAAGATTTTTAAAGGATTTTAAGGTTGGGGTTCAAATTTTTTTGTAGTTTTAGCTGATTTTTATTGGTTTAGGGGGTGTTTTTAGGTTTTAATAGTGTTTTACGGCGTGTTTTTTGAGTTTTTTAAGACATTTTAGGGGGTGTTTTTGATTTTTTTGCAATTTTTGTGGATTTTTTAAAGGATTTTGAAGTTTTTTCGGGTTGAAAAGGCAAAAAATTAATTTTTTTCATAAGTTTTTAAGTGATTTTGACAATTATGATTGAGCTTTTGCCATTTTCTACCTGATTTTTAACTTTCATTGCCTTTTCAGAACATTGGCGAAAGTCTGGCGGACCCAGTGAAGTACGAAAACCTGTTCCCCAACTACAGCGAAGCCGTAAAAGCCGAATCCTACCTAAAAGAACTGAAAAAGGCACCAGTCAAGGCCACCTCAAGAGCAACATTGAACTCGGAACGCGACCTGATCGAGGAGATGAGAGCGGCCGAACAACGCGGAGACTTTTCCTATTCAGAAGACGGATCTTCATCACTTAAAGGAGTACAATCGGCACCAGATGTACCAGTAGCAGCATCACCATTGGTCTCGGCAGCTGTGGATATCAAGGAACTACCTCCACAACCAGTAAGAACCCCCAGTCCGGTCGAGGAACCACCTCAGAAGGCGGCCGTAGCTCAAGAAGTTGAAGTGGAAGAGGATGAGGAATCAGAAGAAGAGGTACCAATTCAGGTATGGTGGTTTTACTTGATAGGGGTGGTTTAGAAAAGTTTCGTTGAATGGCATTTGGGTCCCGGCACGAAAACCTTGATTTTTACTTAAATGCGTTTTTTCATGGTTAGAAACGTTTTGGAATAGTCATATGGTTATGTTAACATAGAATAAGGGAAAATTTTGACTTTTAGTAATTATTTGGGTCCTGGCACGAAAACCTTGATTTTCGTAAAATTTGCCACTTTGTTATTATATACGTTTTTCAATGCTTATATGAATATATAAACATGAAAAACCTAAAAAAGTTTAAAAATTCAATTTTTAAAAATTTTGGTTTTCAGCAACACGCCCCACCCCCAGCGGCGCCCTTATCCGAAGCCAAATCGTCGGAAGGCTGGTCGGACGAGGAGGAGTTCGCCGACACCAACGCCGGCGACGACATTGACCTGGATCAGCTGAGCCTAGGAGACGACCATCAAGATTAATCTATTTTGTTATAGCTGTATCATGGTTTATATTATGTTATAATAGCTACAAGACCGATTGTAACATGTTATAACACGTATGTTAGCTTAAACTATTACAAGTTGTAACTATGAATTTTGTATCCAAAGTTACGACCTATTTATTGTAACCCCCCTTTTTCGTTAACCATGTCTCTAATGCTGTGATTGATTGGGAATGAAGTAAGTTATTATATTGTCAATAAACAAAACCAGTGTTCTAACTGTGGTGTGTCTTCTAACTAATATATGATCCGAAGATTCTTATTACCTTATCTTTTTGTTATCGATAAAGTTTTAAATGATTTAGGCGGATTTCGAAGAGAAAGGAGGGTAAAACAAAGAGTTTAGACTTGTTTTTGGTCGAAAAGTCTACGAAGAATGTGTTTTTGAATACGAAAATCAATAGAATAGGTAACGCGGGCAATAAGGTTTGTAAAAAACACTGTTTTGATCTGAATATTACCTAAATTCGGCCACGGCCAGCAATCAAGCTTGAAAGGCCAATTTTGAAAATTTTTGAGCTACAACCTTAAAGTTGAAAAAAAGATGGTGTATAAGTTTAGATGGCTTAACTTACCTTAAATTTGTAATTTTGCTTACTTTACATCATGTTTTGCCAATCAAAGTACAACATGACGACATTAAATTGGTTCCACCACGAAAACAAACTTTGGCATTGTGTCCACGAATGCCGGAGAAAATCATTTCAATCGCTGAACTTTCGGCTTTTCTTCCCGCGCGGCCTGAAATATAGTTTTTTCGAGTTATTTTGATGTCATAATAGTAAATTAACGTGTTTATAGTCAGTTTCACATTAATAATATTGTTTTCCAGGACTTTCATCATGTTGAACATGGAGATGGAGCGTTGCTGGAGACGTAGACGGATGGAGACGATGGGAATTCCATGAGCAGATGGACAAATGGATGACAATAGATCTGGTGAATGGATAAAAAGTATGTATTTTGGTTTTTTGTTTTGTTTTTAGAGATTATGAGGAAAGTAGAGGAGGTAGAGTATATTATACTAGATGAGAGAGTTGCTTTTGATCGTTTTGCTGTCATTTTTCATCGAATCTTATAGAATTTGACTTTATTAGAAGCTTTTCAGTTTGGGTTAGGTGTATATTAACTTATAATTAGTATTTTCAAGTGGTTGTTGAGATATACGTTATGTTATCCATGAGTCTACTGACGCCAAGGGTAATATTACTTTTTTTGGCTTTAATGTGGAGCTCTAAAGTTGAAACTGATATAAGTTGTATATCATAGCAATTTTGATGTTTTGGACAGAAATTTTCGGTTTTTTGTGACTTTGTTGAGCTGATATTAAAATAGAATCATCTAGGCCATGGATAATATCTTGATGACTTTGCTAGAGGGAAATGAGCGTAATTTGTTTGGAGAGTGATTAAAACTTGTTAAAGAGAGTCTTGCGTTGCTTTTGAGTAATAATTGGTTTGTTTTGGCAGTTGATTACTAAAGATATTAACCTTGACGTCTAGGAGTCATGTATAATATTTTTACGGCTTAAATTGGTATAAAATGACGCGTTTTTGTTTTGAAAGTGATTAGGATTTGTTCAGTAGAACCTTTTGTTGCTTTTAAGTAATAATTGGTTTGTCTTGGCAATTGTTGACCAAAGATATTAACCTTGACATCTAGGTGTCATGGATATTTTTTTCACTTGAATAGTTATTGAAATCAAGGTTTTATATTTAAAAGCTTATTAATTTCAGTTCTTTAGTACGTTGTGAACATTTTAAAGTTGAACTCTTGTTTTTGTAAAGTTTGTGAGTTAAGATGTGAGAGAAAACATCAGATGTGGCCATGGATAATATAATTTTTTGGGTAAATAATGGAAGATTTAAACTTATTTCATTATAATTAGTTACTTTTGTTGTCTTTATGTAATGTTAGGTCATTTTAGAAGGTATTCCATTAATGGGCGTCCAGTACTGTTCCGTTCGATGGTCCCTGTCAATGTTCCGTGAACCGTCCACGATGAACCACGTCGAGATTCAAGCAGCCCGTAATCTTTAGGGCAGTGAATCTAATGGCATTATTGTATATTTCTTTGTATTTTGAGTTTTTTTTTTCATTTTTCAACTTTTAATTTCTACTTTTATTTCTATTTGTTCTACTTTTATTTGTACTTTTTCTTCTTTTACTTGTTTCGTTTCTACTTTTTCTTTTATTTTTCATTGTATTTGGCGCGTTATTGCCTATTTACCGCGTTGTTGAGGTAGTCTCTGTACGAGGTCTCCCTTCTGATGGATTTGGGGCTTTACTATGTTAGGGGGAGGTCCAAGAGCAGGGTAGGATGACAGGTCTGATGACAAGTTACAGATGGTCATTACTTTGGCATTTTAGAAGTCTTGACCTGACTAAATTTAAATTTTCGGCCGAAAATTGGTTTTTTTGAAAGTTTAGGTGAAGTATTATTTTGAAGTTTAAAAACGAGTTTTTTGGTTCTAAAATACGGATTTCAAGTTAAATTTAAAATGAAAATTATTTTTTGGAAGTAAAAAATAACTTTGAAGGGTGATTTGGATCCAGGCCTTGTCATACCTCCTTGCACAGTGCCTGAATGTAGCTTTGACTGGCACTCTCGGCTGAAGACTGGTCGGAAAATGAATGGAAAGTTGACTTTGAAAGATTTTTGGATCAAAACTTGTGTTTTGTTTTTAAAACATGAAAAATAATATTTTTTCCTCAAAACTGCTAAAATTTAAAAAAATTAAACTTTTTTGCCGAAAACCTTTTCTTGTTACAAAAATTGTAAAATTCAAGTTTTCTATCAAAAACTACTATTTTTCGTACAAAACTTGTAAATTTTCGTTTTTTGGTACCAAACTTTGATTTTTGCCGTTTGAAAGCCTTTTTTTGTCCAAACTTCAACTTTCCGTCCACTTTTACCGGCTTTGGTTGGATTTGCTTGATCTCTGTCTCCTCACGTACGCCTTGGATGTTGCTCTAACTGTTCGTAAAGTTCCGGAGAAATCAGAAGGCATCTCGACAGAGACTTACCTCGGGGAAGGAGGTACCCCACCTCCTTCCCAACCTTGGAGGGGGGACTTGATCACCCCGCCCTCCAAGAAAATAGGGGGAGATTAATCGAATAAACAATACGCAGGCATACTCGGTTATAATAATTTATTTAAAGAAAAATTGGGCATGGCCCCGTGTTCTGGGGGTGGATACCGAGTCACCCCACTTGGTGAGACCAAGCGAGGTCTCGGCCCCACTCCATGGGGAAGGGAATGAATTCCCTCCCCACAAGGTGAAGTCTTTGACCACCGACTTACCTCCTGACTTCTCAGACTTCGCGAACAGTTAGGACAACATCCAAGGTGCACCTGGCAGGGACAAAGATCAAGCAATTCCAACCAAAGACCGGTCGAAAAATGGACGGAAAGTTGAAGTTTGGACAAAAAAAGGCTTTCAATGTGACAAAGATTGAACTTTTGTATCAAAAAAATAAAAAGTTTTGAATAAAAAGTAGCAGTCGAAAAACAAAATTTCGATAGAAAACGCGAAATTGTACAAGTTTTTGAAGGATTAACCAAAATCAAAGTTTTTGTGACAAAAACGCATTTTTTAAGCTTTAAAAATCATTTTTTCAAAAATTTTAAAAACAATACAGGATTTATACCAAAAATTTTTCAAAATCAACTTTCCATCCAATTTCCGACCAGTCATCGGCCGAAAGTGCCAGTCAGAGTATACCAGGCACTGTGCAAGGAGGTCAAACAGATCTGAATCCAAATTACCCTTCAAATTTACATTTTACTCCCAAAAATATCACTTTCTGTTCAATTTTGAAACAAAATCCGTATTTTGGAAGTAGAAAACAATCTTTGCCATTTTTAAAATTTCAGAAGTGAAAAAATTTAAAGCCAAAATTGGTTTTCATTTCAACTTTTATCAAAAAATGGTGATTTTAGACTCATAAAACAAACTTTTTTAATTTTAAAACGGCATTTTTCTGAAACTTTCAAAATAATACCCATTATCACTTCAATTTTATCTCAAAATCCGTATTTTAGGACCAAAAAACAAATAATGTCACTTCTCAATTTCAAAATGACAATTTCACCAAAAAATTTTCAAAAAACTCATTTCAGTCGAAAAAAACCAAAATTTAGTCAGGCCAAAACTCTCAAAATTCAAAAGTAATCTGTAACTTGTCATCAAACCTGTGCTTCCAGCCTTGCTCTTGAACCTCCTCCTAACCTAGCTAGGAACTGAAGCCATCAGAAGGTAGCACGGTACAAAGACTCACCCTACAACGCGACAAATAGGTAATAACGCGCAAAATACAATGAAAAATAAAATAAAAGTAGAAAAAATAGAAATAAAATTAAAAAATAAAACAAAAAAACGCAAAATACAAAGAAATATACAACAATGACATTCGATTCTCTGCCCTAAAGATTACGGGCTACTTCATCTCGATTTGATTCATCGTAGACGGTCCTCGGAACATTGACTGAAACCATCGAACGGAACAGTACTGGACGTCCATATTAATGGAATACCTCCTAAATTGATCAAGCATTACATAAAGACAACAAAAGTAACTAATTATAATGAAATAAGTTTAAATCTTCCATTATTTACCCAAAAAATTATATTATCCATGGCCACATCTGATGTTTTCTCTCACATCTTAACTCACAAACTTACAAAAAAATTTCACCTCTAAAACGTTCAAGATATACTAAAAAACATACTACGATAAGCTATAACAAACAAAACCGTGATTCTAATACCTATTCAAGTCATTACAATATATCTAGATGTCAAGATTAATATCTTTGCTAAAAAATTGCCAAAAAAATGAATTATGACTCAAAAGCAAGACAATGTACTACTAAATAAATACTAGGCAATTTCAATACAAAAAGTGTCATTTCCTATCAATTCAAGTCATTACAATATTATCCATGACATCCAGAATGTCAAGGTTCATATCTTTGCTAAACAATTGCCAAAACACACCATTTATTACTCGAAAGCAACACAAGACACTCATGAACACATTTTACTTACTCTCATACCCAATAACGATCACTCCCCTCTTTTAAAATCATAAATATATTATCCATGACATCTAGACGATTATATTTTAATATCAGCTCAACAAAGTCGCAAAAAACCAAAATGTTTCCTCCAAAACATCAAAATTATGATGATATACAACTTATATCGGTTTCAACTTTAGAGCTAAAAATTGAAGCCCCAAAAAACCAATATTATACTTGCTTCATCATTCGACTCATGGGTAACATAACGTATACATCAAAAACCACTTTAAAATACTGACTAAAAGTTACGCTACACCTAACTCAAACTGAAACGGTTTTAGTTAAGTCAAATTTTATAAGATTTGATCAAAAATGACATCACAACGCTCAAATGCAACTCTATATAAAGTATAATAATCCAGTTCCTCCTTTACTTTTCTCAAAATCCCTAAAAACCAAACAAAAAAAGCAAAATACATACGTTTACTCATTCTCTCGATTTACCACCATTCATTTGTCCATCTGCGCATGCAATTCCCATCTCCATCCATTTGCATCTCCAGCAACGCTCCATCTCCATGTTGAACATGACGAAAGACCTGAAAAACAACATTATTAATGTAAAACTGACTATAAACACGTTTATTTACTATCATAACATCAAAATAACACGAAAAAGCCCGACTTCAGGCCGCGCGAGAAGAAAAGTTGAAAGTTCAGCGATTGAAATGATTTTCTCCGGCAATTCGTGTGCACAATGCCAAAGATTGTTCTCGTGGTGAGACCAATTTAAGGTAAACAAGTTACACTGCAAGGTAAAGAGATGAATTCAAGCTTCGAAAAAGTATGTTTTTAACCCTAAAATTAGTCAAAATAGACTATTTATTGCCTATTACATCCACAAAACGCTATTTCATCTACTACAATATAAATTTCCGCTGGTTTTTGCTAAATTTCGCTATTTTTTCGAATTTAAAAAACTTTTTGACAATATTTTCAAAATCGTTATCAGCTTCAAAAAACCAGTCCGTTATTTTCATTTCACATTTTCTTTTTACCATCATACCGGTCGGTTGTTTCTATAATGGGAGTCATTGAATGTTTTGTGTTTTACGCGATGATTACTGTAATTTTCATGCAATCGCTGTTTGTGAATTGTTGCAAGAAGAAGAGGTAAGTCCGTAGTGTTATTATTGGTATTTTTTGATTTGAAGTTGGTTTTTTAAACAAAGTTATTGCGGTTTTCTTTGAAATACAGTTATTGCTTCAGTTTTTTGAAGAATATTACTGTTTTAATGCCATTTTTGGTTGATATTGATGTGATTTTGATTCCAAATATTATCTTAATAGTATTATCTAATTATTGTGATTATTATCTTGTCCATTTCGACCAGTATTATCACGTTTTTAGAACAAAAACGACAGCTGTAAACCAAGCCAATAACATCAACAACAGTAACGTCACATCTTTGCAGAGACCTTTTAAATTTGAGGTAGGTGATAATCTTAATATGATAGAAAGACTTTGAGTTTCAAGTTTAACCGATTGATAATGATAAGAAACAGCATGGGCTTTCTTTTCAGGCCAAAAGCTGAAGTTTTAGGCTTGGCCGTAGACCTTTCGAGGCTTTTTTAAAATCTTTTTGGCCGTTTTTAATGCTTATAGCTTGAACCTTGTATTAAAAGGTCTAGTGATTAGCTTTTAGGTAACTAAGCTAAGCAAAGTGATAAGCTTATCATTAGCTTATCTAAAACGGCCTTATTATAATGTTGTCTTTAGCTTAACATATGCTAATAATAACCTTAAAATTAGTGTATCAAAACCTAATAAAAACCTATATTTAGTCCAATCAAAACCTATTTTTTCAGCCCAGCTCCACAACAGACAGCACCAAAGATCACGTCGCCAGACCCTCTCAAATGACTCAACTAATAAAGAAGACCAACTCACACTCATCAAAACCAAAGCCATTGCTCAAAGTGGACGCAACTCAACACTCCGAATGTCCACCGACCAGCGAGCTCTCACGCTACAACAGTGATCATACGAAACAGTGCACAGATCAGGCCTGCATCAAACAACAACATAAAAAGGTCGGAACTGGCAAAACCGCAGAGAAAGCGGCCAAGTCTCCCATACAGGAGGACTCTTTCGCGCAACATCGACCCAAAGTGGCGGTAGCCAAACGCACACCGGTTATTATAGAACGACGAGCCGTGAGCAGAGAACGAGATGACTACAAGACCTTCAGAAGCGGCCTACCTTCCAGTGATTTCGAGGATTCGGTTTGAGGTGTCAATAAAGGTCTTGATAACTTGGATTGGTCTTTTTTGGTTGATAACTCATATTGTTCATGTTTTATTTGGAAAACCGTCATCCTTTCGCTCTTAGCAGAAAAAAGGCCACAAACGATATCAAAGGTTTGGACAATCATATTTGAGTTTGGCAGATATGTTGTTGAAGCCAGGCCCGGGCTCAAATTACGCACTTAAAAGATTACAGCACTTAAAGAAAGGCAAAAAGACGCTGGTCGGCAGACCGGAATTCAAAGACCTACAGTAGCCCGCGTGACCTTCCTTCTGCCTTTCTCATTCCTTATCGCACTTGGCCATCTTCGATCACCAGCAGGGGCGTATGGCAGTGATTTCTTAAGTGTTTATAAGACGCCCTCGCCTAGTTTCGAGGCCGGCACAGCAGAAGACGCTGTTAGGTGATTGAATTATACAGACGAGCTTCAAAGGGTGATTTTTTGGGACCACGTTACCCAAGGATTTTGGGTAGCGCGCCATGTTTTCGTAATTTATTTATGATACCGGTCCTGTTCCGGCAATGGCAGTCAAGTGCGTAGTGTCAAAGCGATGGCATCGTACGCCCAAATTGTTAAAAAAAGCTCAAGTACATAGACCCATGGACTGCCAAACAGACTCAAAACCGGCCGCTGCAGAAACCCAAACAACGATGGAAAGGTTGGAGATCAACCATCTTGTGAAAGACATGCCGTTAGAACAAGTGACAAACAACCTGGCCGAATCTGAAGAACGATGCCAGCAGTTTGCCGCCTTGTAAGTATAGGTTCCAGCAAGGCTTCAACTGGTCGAACCACATGTGGAACTTCTACGGACGTAGCTTCAAAGTTTAGCCATGGAGAAGTCACAACTAGAGACGGAAAATTAACAACTATACCAAATGAACCTGAACCTTCAGACTCTCGTAGAATCTCGGAAGGTGGTACAAGAGTTGGAGATGTTCAGGTTGACCACAGAATCAATCATAACGGACCGGAACCCAAACTCACGGATGAGGTTTGGAGTAACAGAAATCGGCAGACTGTATCAGAAATTAGCCATTCCGACGCCTCGTACAGGCCTTTCATGGATGTACGACAGCTATAACTTCAAATCAGATGAGCTATACACAATCATATACACGAAAAAAGCGGCCATGCTTTTCTGCCCGTCGGAAGGGCACAACGGACCGCCCATCAGAAATGGCTACAAAAAAAGAACAGCGATTAGATTTGATCAGTTATTAAGTAAAATGACACGCCCACTTGGGTGGATTTGCTCGGGCCCGATCTGAATAGAGGGAGAGAAAAGGGAGAACGTCTGGGACGCGGTTGCGTCCCTTTTTGTACCTTAATATTTGTAGGTATGATGTTCCCTACGTCGGAGATACACCTTTTGGATGTAAATAGGTGACAATAAACTTGATTAAAAGAAAGATTTATCACGGTCAAAGAGTGGTTGACCGTAATATTCAAGAGATGTTTGGAAATGGTCACGTAGCAATGGTCCAAATGGTCGGGTTGATGGTGACAATGCTCCAATTGGTGAACAAGTGGATGGTGCTAATGGTGGACCAGTGGCTGGTCTCGTAGACCACGACAGCGTAGAGCAATGAGACAAGATGGTCATGAGGTAGACATTGTTTATAGCCTCAATGAGTTTGTTCGCGTAAATTTGTATAATAGACGCCCACCAAAACACTTATTGAAAGCAAATTGTGTCACACCTTATCGCACTGTCTCCACCTGAACGGAACCTTCCAGTAGCGCTTTACGCGTAAATCACCTCGGCTTTTGGGTGCCTCTCAGTTTCCACCACGGCTGACAGAAGGCACCGATTCTTGATTGGTTCGTTCAAGAGAACGGCCACTGGACCGCCAAGATCAACGGTACTAATCTACCGATACGTTGATAATATGTATTTAGCTCGTCCCTTATATCCTAAACTTCCGGCCTAGCCCGGGATACACTAAGCCAACTGGCTTGGCATCTCACTTCCAAATCACAAGTCTACCCCCGTCCAAAGCACGTCTCAGCACCATAGTCAGTGTCAACAACTACCCTATTCTATCCGTAAAAACGGAGTACGGTACCTTCATCGCGCATGCCGCGCAGCTCAAATCCAAGCAGGCTTCTTTTGTTAATCAGCCGATTATTGTCAGCCTAGTCCAAATATTAGACTTCAAGGCAACGGTAGATAACTCAGTCATTCACCTTGAACGACACGCGAACAATAACCTGTTCATACCTGATATGCATTATTCATTAAGTGAGTACACTACTCGACTCCAGTAATCGACCCTTCGTAAAAAGGGGAGATAACGACGTTGCTATCACAAGAAGAATAAAATAATTCTTGTATCTAATTAATAAGTTTTTTTAGCGTAATTTTTATTTTTTGTTTTGTTAATTACTGTACCATTTCAGAATCTGTATCTTTTAAGCAATTGCATTGTTATGTTACGTATACTTTTACTTTTCATTACTGTACGTTAAAATTCGTAACTATAATATTATTGTTTGAAGTCTCAATTATTGTCATTAAGTTTTAATCATAACGTATTAGTATTGTATTTCGTCTCGATTTTATGTTTAATCAATTATATATATGTCTAGAATAGAGACTATTCAATTCATATACGAGGAGTAAAGGGACACGTCTGGGACGCGGTTGCATCCCTTTTGGTTGCGTACCTTAATATTTGTATGTCTGATGCTCCCTTCGTGGGAGATACACCTCTTGGATGTAAATAGGTGTCAATAAACTTGGTTAAAAGAACGACTTGGGCCATCTTTTAACTACTAGTGTTACGTAAAAGACCCTGATAAATAAATATAGTATGAATCGAAAATAGGAGTTTATGTTTGAGAGTCCTATTACTCAACAATATTAGGAATCCAAATTTAGCTCCCAAAACAATAACAAGTTTTTTTGCGCTAAAATGCTAAAAAAACATTTATCAAACTTTCGACAGTTAACTCTTAAAGATCTCAATCTGAAAATATTATGTTTACCCATTTACATTTCACATGGATATTGCACATGGTTGACATCAATTTTCATAACCTTAATTAGCAATTATTTAATTAATTCTAAAGTTAAATTAACAAAAACAATCTTCTACACCTATCTAATTTAATTCCTTGTTCTTAGAAAGGCTTATTAACCAGTATAGAGCAGTTCCATCACCTGAGTTAGTATTGTTTATGGTTAATGTAGTTTTGATTGTTACGAATTTCTTTTAAAAACTACTAATTATTTCTTGTTTTAAACGGTAGACAAGACTTTTGAGCAGCTGATACAAGCGTTGACACAAACCTTGAACTAATTTTCAACCAGATACGACAATTTTCTTCAACACAACACCCATCACAAGTTCACACCATATTTTTCAAAAATTTCTTTCAAACAAAGCCTTTTAAAACCTTGCAAAAGCTATAAAAAACACCGTATTACCATATCACACCAAAAACTCTCTTCGCTAATCTTTTCTACCAACTTCTCTATCTTATCCATTATATTCCAAGCCTAAAAATCGAAGAAAAACAACAAAATAACTTACATTTGAACATTTCCAATCGTTCAGCATGTGGTCCACAGCATATTCATCGTCTTATCGTAGACGATGAATACGCTTTGGTTACGTCTTGGTATCTTCTTTTGATCCGATTCTATTCATCTCTTTCTCCAAAATTTCTTCGAAACAACTTCTTTTGTTTCGCAAGTTGCGGCCGAAAGGATGATATTTTGCGCAGACTGCGGAGTATTTTTATCCGCCAATGATTTTAAAAACTTTTTTAGGTGTTTTAACAATTAAAGGTAGATTAGAAAAAAATATTTTTAATGTAAAATAGTTCATTCAACATTTTTAAAAAATTTTTTGGCTTAAAAACATGGATGAGATCAATGAAATACAATTTATTGTCTAAAACAATTAAAAAATCGTCTTTATTTAATCAAAACCAGCTTTAATTCATTCAAATCCAGATGGAGATTTAAACGACTCCTCGTGAGGGCTCTTCCATTCCGTGGGCGAGCTCGGTGCGGGTTCTTTGTCGTTGTTCAGGGCGGCTTCAAAGTCTTCGGTTGATTTTCCCAAAGTTTTTACCGGGGTTGGTTTTCTGGGCGGTGGTCTTTTGGATGAGGCTTTCGATGACACCACTCCCGACGATTTTCTGGTCGGATTCTTAGACGTGGTGCTACTGGCTTTGTCCGTCTTCTCGCCTGGAGCTGGGTCTTCGGCTTGATTCGGCGGTTTTTTGGTTGGGGCGGCCTTGGTTGGAGGGGCCTAAAAGTTACCATGATTACAGTAGTCTTACCAAATTTTGCATGTGTTGCCTATACACATTGTGATGCATCTTATTTATAAATATTTTTCTCAGATCACCATTTTAACCAAAGTTAAGACAATTTAAAACAAATTTTAGGTAAATCAATTTTAAAATTTCAATATGCAAATTTTTGCTCCAAATTTCAAAAAACTTATCGAAAAATCATACCATAACAAATACAAAAACACACTTTCGTACCAAATTTCAAATCCCTATTACACTAATCAAAAAAGTTACGGCAATTCAAAAATGTTTCAGTTATTAGTCTAAAACAATATAAAATCACAAATTTATTACCTAAAAGACAAAAAAAGCTTTACAACACCCCTAAAACAATAATAAAAAACCTTTTTCTACCACCAAACCCAAAAATAGTACCATAAAGTGCCAAAAAAGCGTACGCCACTTGAGATTCCAAGGACGTCTCCGATCCAAGTACTAATCAAGCGCACCGTTGCTTAACTTGCCAGATCGGACGGGATGGCGTGCGTTCAACGGGCTATGGGCGTACACAACTCTCTCTTTCCTTTTTGAACCCTTTCCTTTTGGGGCTGATTAGTGGGTTGATAGAAGGTAAAATTAGGGTTAAAAGGGGTGTTTTTGGGTAAAAATGCAAAAATTTAAAAATTTTTTGAAATTTCGTGGTTTTTCAGATTGATTTTTCATTTTTTACAGTTAACTTCCTTTGGGGCTGATTAGTGGGTTTGAAGGGGGTAAAATAGGGTTAGCAAGGGGTGTTTTTAAAAAAAAATTTAAATTTTAAAATATTGTATTTTCTACTTTTTTTGACCTCTTTAGGTATTTTTAACTACCGATAACCATCCCCTCTTTCTTTGTGCAATGCCTACACTTACCCTTACTTTGTCACAGCCGGCTGCAGCCCTTTATACTTATTATGACTTTTCTCAGCAGGGCAGGGTAAAAGATAAAGGTACAAATACTAATTTTATCTCCTTATTTTTTGTTTTTTAAACTTTTTTTTAAAAATTTTTAAAAATTTTTTTAATTTCAAAATTTCTAACTCCCCACCTTAAACACTGGCCTAGCACTTTCCTTCTTCAAATCCCTTTGAGTTGTGTCTGCTTTATCCATTTTCTCTTTCTGTGGTTTTTCATGTTCCATTGGTGCTTCTTCGCTTGCTGGTTCCTCCTCCTGTTCCTCTTTCTTTTCATCTTTTTCTTTCTTCTTTTCTTGTTTTTGTTTATCATGTTCTGTCGCCGTGTCTTCATTTCCATATTGGGGTTCTTTTTGGGGTTTCTTTTCTTCTTTTTGCTTTTTCATTTTTGTTTTATCGTTGCTTTTTCCATTTCTAATTGATTCTCGGGCATTTCTGGTTGATTCTTTTCCATTTCTATGGGATTCTCGGGCATTTCTAGTTGATTCTCGTGCATTTCGGCTTGATTCTTGGGCATTTCGGCTTGATTCTTGGACATTTCTAGTTGATTCTTTGCCTTCTTTTCCATTTTTATTTCTTTCTTTTCTATTTTTGTTTGTTTCTTTTCTATTTCTGCTTGATTCTCTTCCATTTCTACTAGATTTCCTTTGACTTTCGGGTAGTTTCTTTTCTTTCTTTGTTACCTTCTCTTCTTTCTCGTCCTTTTTCTTCTCCGCCGACCTTCCATCTAACATAACATCGGCGTAGACGCTTCGTTTGTTGTCCTCCCCACTTCCACTGCCACTGCCATCTTTGGTGAACCCGTAGCTTCGTTCCGGCTCTTGTGTTATCTTCTCCTCGCTCTCGCTTTGGGGTGAGTTGCCGGCAACGTGCTGGAACAAGCGTTCCGCATAGTCCAACGCCTCGACGTTCTTCTTGTCACGGCGGACGATTTGTTCACGTTCGACCCATTCCTTTGAGTTTCGGAACATCGTACGCCAATTGGGCCTGGTCTTCTGGCACCAAATGTACATAAACGGGTTTAGGACGCTGAAAAATGGTATTTCATCTACTACAATATACATAACACGATCAATCTTAGGGCAGGGTAGACCATAAGACATGGCAGCTTTTAGGGCAGAGAGCAAAAATTTGAAATAGGGGTAGAAGTAACCAAAACTTACAGTATAACCAGAATCGGTAGGATGTACTTGATCGCCAGAACGTTCTTATTGTACACGTACTCGGCGTACTGTGGTATGGTACGATCACAGAGGTGACAAATACATGTGGTCTAAAATTGGAAATTAAACAAAAAAGTAACTGTCATATACACAAACATATGACATAACATCAAAAATATAACACAAAAACATCGAATTCATAAAGAAATGTCATACCAACTTACCACACTGAACGCTGGGATGACAATCAATATAAGCACCACCACCGGCCAGTACATGACTTTCGCTAGTCTTGATTTGTAAAAGTCCACATCGCTAAAATTGAAAATAGATACGTTTTTACTAAGTATAACATTCAAAAACGCGCCTAACACAATAAGTCAAGCCGTTTCTAGCTTACAACTTACAACTGTGTTAGACCCTAAAAGAAAGTAATAACAAAACCTAGAAAAAGAAGGCAAAATGAGACAAAAAAGCAACAAAATCATTATTTATTACCCAAAAATGCTCTAAAACAATATAAAATACAAGTTTGGTATCTCAAAAACAAAACATATTACCTAAAAATCAATAAAAAAACGTTCAAAAACCCATTTTTTATTCATTTTTACCCCAAAACGACAAAATTTACCTCAAAAACACCCCAAAAATCATATAAAACAACATTTGTATACCTCTAAAACATACCAACAATACATAACAACCCTCCCCCACCCCCAAACCCAAAAATAGTACCAAAAAGTACCATAAAGTGGCAAAAATGCGTACGCCACTTGAGATTCCAAGGACGTCTCCGATCCAAGTACTAATCAAGCGCACCGTTGCTTAACTTGCCAGATCGAACGGGATGGCGTGCGTTCAACAGGCTATGGGCGTACACGTTTGACTCTCTTTCGTTTTCTTTCCCTTTCCTTTGGGGCTGATTGCTGGGTTGAAGGAGGTAAAATAGGGTTGAAAAGGGTTGTTTTTGAAAATAAAAATATAAAATTTTTAAAAATCACAAAAATATTTAATTTTCTTCTTCTTGTCTCTTTTAGGGTATTGATTGAGTTGAGAAAGCTTCCAGTCAAAATCAAGCAAAAACTACTGTAAGAAACTATAACCTACAGTAAAAACCAAACCCTACAAAAAGAAATAACCAAGAACTACAGTAAAAACTAATAAAGCCTACAGTAAGAGCCAAACCCTACAGTAAGAAATAACCAAAAAAACCACAGTAAGAAGCAACCAAACCCTAAAGTCAGAAACACAACCTACAGTATGAATCAAAAACTACCGTAAAAACTAATCAAAACCCACAGTAAGACCCCAAACCTACCACAAAAAGTCCTTGAATGGATATGCGTAGCCGATGATCATGAACTCGGCGACAACAATCGACAGAATCGCGGTTACCATGCCCATTTGAAGTGCGATGATGGGGATGAAGGTGCTTGGGAACGTGAACCCGATTGTGATCGCGGCCAGAAATACGCCCGACGCTATGGTGAGAACGGTCCGATTCAAGGTGGACGAAATGTCACGACACAGCACCCGGACTGAGGCCGCGTTTACCAGCAAACTGAGCAGTTGTAGTAGGTACAGGCTCTGAAAACTTCGTTTACAAAAGCCAAAAATCATGTATTTTTTAACTTTTTTAAAAAATTGCAATAACTTTCTTTCCAAATCAAAAAAAGCCAAAAATTTCAAATATAATACAAAAAATAGCATTCATCGTATAACTTGTCGCCCGCAGACTGCAAAACTCAAAAAAACCTTTTTATTGCGATAAAATAGCAAGAACTTTGTTTACAAGCCAAAAACTGCCAAAAAGTCCCTTTAAAATACAAAAAATGACATACATCGTATAACCTGTCACTACCAGTCCGCCAAACTCAAAAACCCTTTTGATTGCGACAAAATAGCAAGAAGTTTGTTTACAAAGCATAAAAAGCAATAGCTTTATTTATAAAATGAAAAATTGCAAAAATTTTGTTTACAGAACAAAAATAGCAAGGACTTTGTTTACAAAACAAGAAATCGTATTTTATAATATAATATGTCACCCGCAGGCTGCAGAAGTAGAAAACGTGGTTTACTGCCTTAATGGCAAGAACTTTTTTTAGAACGTAAAAAATAACAAAAACTTCGTTTACAGTTCAAAAAATAGCAAAAAAATCACTTAAAAATCATGAAACTGTATTCGTCGTATAACATGTCACTTGCAGTCTGCAAAACTCAAAAACCCTTTTGATTGCGATAAAATAGCAAGAACTTTCTTTCCAAACACAAAAAATAGGCAAAAACTTTCTTTACAATATAAAAAAATCTAAATTTATAACCGCAAAGACTTTATTTACAAAACTTTTCAAAAATCCAAATTTCCAAAATTATTCGAAACTCACGCAATGTCGTGCACAAAACAGCATCATAATAAGAAAGTAGAACATGATTGTGGTCCGATTGAACTGCAAAAACTTTTCCGTATCCCAAAACTTGTACTCGGGGAACGCTACCAAGGTCAATATCGTGCCATGCCTCATATAGTTGGTCACGCCTCTTACCGGTCCACCTGGGTCTGTCCAATACGAGTATATGTTGCCTAAAATTTAATTGTTTTTAAATTTTATAGGTCGAGAAACAAAAAACTAAGGTCTTGCAGGCTGCGAGTGACAAGTTATACGACAAAAAGTAAACGTTGGTCCAGTAAGGCTTCAAATTGTAAAACAAACATAAAAGTAACAATATACAGGGTGTTCCGAGAAATTTGGTCGCTAGAAATAATTCATAACTTTGCAACTATGCATCCTAAAAATGCCAAATTTGGCACAGTTGTAGAACAGGCTAGTACAGTTTTTTATGGAAAATTTTGTTTTTTTAAAAAGTGCAAATTACGGTCATTGTGAATTTTTAAAAATCAGCATTTCACACCGAAATTACACATATTTTGGTTGTAAATGAACAGTTTTCGTCGACTTTTGACATTTTTTGCTTTCTTTTTTAGAAAACCGCGTTTTTTGTGTCTGCGAAGCCTCGGCGGAAGATCGGCGGGCGTAGCCGAGTATCGGCGAAGACTATAACTTGGTTCAAATTTGTCGTACCGACATGAAACAAAAACTAATAACTTCCAAATTTAAAGAACACTGTTTTCAAATCATAATTTAATTTCAGAAAAATTTACTTTTGTTCTAAAAATATGTTAAACCCATGCCATACCCTTGCCATACCAATGTCATACTCATGCCAAACCCATACCCGTACCCATTCCATACCCACATTGATGTCATACCCCTACCCGTACCCACTCGTATCCGTATCCAGGGACGTCGCTACGGATTTTCTCTGGGGGAGGGGGAGACCGAAATAAATTTTTTCTGTGGACCGATTTCCCAAAACTTTTTTTTTGTTTTTTTGCGTACAGGACCTGTGGAATTTTTTCGGATTGGTTTTGGGGGGAAAAGGGTACCCCCTACCCCCCTCCCCCAAACGACGTCCCTGCCCGTATCCATGCCAATATCCATATCCACCCTCGTACCCATACCCATGCCATACCCGTACCCATACCGAACCCATGCCCACACCCATATTTATACCCATACCTTTATCCATACCCATGCCGTACCCAAATATTTCATATCACAATATATAGTACCGTACTCAAAATAGTGTAATTTTTTGTTTCATGTCGGTACGACAAATTTGAACCAAGTTATAGTCTTCGCCGATACTCGGCTACGCCCGCCGATCTTCCGCCGAGGCTTCGCAGACACAAAAAACGCGGTTTTCTAAAAAAGAAAGCAAAAAATGTCAAAAGTCGACGAAAACTGTTCATTTACAACCAAAATATGTGTAATTTCGGTGTGAAATGCTGATTTTTAAAAATTCACAATGACCGTAATTTGCACTTTTAAAAAACAAAATTTTCCATAAAAAACTGTACTAGCCTGTTCTACAACTGTGCCAAATTTGGCATTTTTAGGATGCATAGTTGCAAAGTTATGAATTATTTCTAGCGACCAAATTTCTCGGAACACCCTGTACTTTCTTAATTAAGGTCTTAATTGAACTTAGAAAAAATAGTTTATAAACTTTAGCTTGATATGTCACCGTTTAGTGTTCTGCAGGCTGCCACGGAGACGAGTTACACGATGACAGCTCAACTTTGACCTTGTAATTGTAAACAAAACACAAAAGTGACATAGCATAGCCTTATTGAACCTTTAGATGTTTATTTTATTCATTTTAGCTCAGTATTCCACGTTTTAGCGCTCCGCAGACTGCAAGTGCCAAGTTATACGATCAAAACTAAATTTTAAAGCAAGGTTTGAAATTGTTCACAGAACAAAAAAGTGACATTTAATAGCCTTTTTCGACCTTAAAAATCTTATTATATATATTTTTGGTCAATAGGCCACCTATTAGCAGCCTGCAGACTGCGGGTGACAAGTTATACGATGAAAACCAAAATAAAGTTAAACTAGCCAATCCTTAAAAAAACAGAAACCCTAAAAAACTTTTTGTATAACTAACTTACTTCCAACCACCGATGCAGCGCTGTAGAACATAACCATGACAATGCACTTTACCACAATATCGACCGCAAATATGGTAATCAAGGTTTTGGTCGCGGTTTTAGAGCGGCGCTTTGAAATTGAGCCCAGTTTGTGAATGAATCCCGTACAGCATCTTAAAATACGGGTTTTCACATTATTTTTAATCAAAATTCCAAAAAAAATTTTGTTGCAAAAACTTTCTTTCCAGCTCCAAAAAACCCAAAACCTACCCCAACGAAAACACCACCATAGCGATGGCATTTGGCCACAGCACATCGTCGAACGTTCTTTGAGCCTCGAGGTATGAAAACAAATCATTTGCAACCTCTCCGCCTTTCGAGTAGTACGCAGTTCGGGCGCAGCTCGCCAGAAACACAACCGCAAAAAACTTTAAAATTATTGTAAACTTGGCCACGTAGTAGGCCGTTTCCAATGACATTAGAATGACAAATGCCCAGAACACGTAGTACGTCATTGGTACTGGCTCTAGGTCGGTTTGGTACGATGCTGGATGGGTGATGGTCTCGTGCATCAAGTTGTACTGGTACACTGGGGTGAAGCCCACCTTCTTTCTGGTGTACAGGACCTCGGCATAGGTCCAGAGAGAGTCACAATCACGATGGAAGGGGTGTTGATGGCAATGGGTGTAGTTACTGAAAGAAGATTTGGTCGATAAGCATCTACTACAATATAAAACAACAGTCTTTTTTAGTTAAAATACAACTTTTTTTTTTAATGAAGCACAACTTTTGTTACGTAAACAACCTAAAATATTACCTAAAAAACAACAAAAACAGATTAAAAATAGGTCAAAAGACTCAAAAACCAATAAAAATGGCCAAAAAATGACAATTGTACATAAATTTTAATATGAAAATGCCAAAATCGGCCCAAAAAGTACTTCTAAACAAATAGAACTACAACATAGTTTACTTTAAAACATAAAAATATTACCCAAAAACGCCAAAAACTAGTAAAATTGCTCTTCAATAGCCTCAAAAACCAAAGAAAAGCTGCCAAAAACTCATTTTTTAATTAATTTTCACGTCAAAATAACAAAAAAACCCTCAAAAACACCCCCGAAATAAAATAAAACCAGAGTTTTGTAACCCTAAAACCATATAAAACAACCCTCTCCTACCCCCAAACCCAAAAACAGTACCAAAAAGTACCATAAAAAGTTCAAAACGCGTACGCCACTTGAGATTCCAAGGACGTCTCCGATCCAAGTACTAATCAAGCGCACCGTTGCTTAACTTGCCAGATCGGACGGGATGGCGTGCGTTCAACGGGCTATGGGCGTACACAACTCTCTTTCTTTCCCTTTCGAACCCTTTCCTTTTGGAGCTGATTGGTGGGTTGAGGGAGGTAAAATAGGGTTGAAAAGGGGTGTTTTAGCAGTAAAATTTTTAAAAATATTATTTTTTGAACATAAAATAAAAAAAATTAAAAAAACTAGAATTAATTTTAAAAAAACCTACTGCGACTCAAAGCATCCCATATCCCGAGTGATACAATCCTCAATTAGATAGCTGTTCGTCCACTTGTAGTTGTCAATGTCCAATTCAACATGGTGTATATCTAAAAGTAAGCCATTTTTACTTCAACAATAAACCTTACTATACTCTCTGTACACCTTATTACTACTGTATTTTAAAAAATACCAATAGTTGCAGTCTAATCTAAAATTATGCTACAGTAGGCCACTATCTACCAATTATGATACACTAAGCCTCTATACTCTTCAACTTACTGTAAAACTCGAGGCTAGCCATTTCGAAGAACTTCATTCCATAAACCGCGAAAACGACCGTTTGAATTAGTCCGACCAAGTAGATAGCTACCGTAACCCCACGGTAAAGTGGATTCATGAAGGTGTAGAGTCGATCCGGCCCTAGTTTGGTAATTTTGGCCAGAGAAAACTCCACGTAGTACAATGGTATGCCCAGGAATAGGTATAGAGCAATATATGGTATCATAAAGTTCACTGGAAATTTGCGGGAAAATTGAAATTTAAATTTACAAAACAAAAATTAAAAATTAAAATTTTTCATAATTATACAAGTACTGAAAGTATACTGTAACAACAGTTAGATCAAATTCAGAGCTTTCTACAATCATTTAGCAGAATTTTAAAATTTGGCGGGAAAGTTAAAATTCAAATTTTCAAAGCAAACCTCAAACAATAAAATAACAAAACCCACTAGCCGAATGAAGAATACAATAGTGAGGCAATAAAATAAAGTTCTGTGGCCCGATTACAATGTCTAACGCCAGTAGAATGCGCTCCCATTCGCTTGAATCCGCATCGTCGCGCAATGTCTTCTGATAGGTCTCGTAGATGTAGCGATCGTAATGAACACGCAGGTTTTTGTCCTAAAAAAATTTTTTTTATTTTCGTATGGTTATTAGTTTACTTTTAATCAAATGGTTACCCAAAATTTACATTTTTAAAGCGAAATAACAAAATAGAGGGCTTTTGCAGGCTGTGCAGCCAAGTTATACGATCAAACGTGTCCGCGTTGACATTTTTTGTCAGTTCTTTTAAAAATAACATTTCTTTCTGATTAAAAACTGTGAATTCAATAATTTTTTCAATTTTCATTTATAAACCCCCAAATTAAACCGTTCTGCAAGCTGCCAAACAAAGTTATACGATCAAACATGTAAAACGTAAAACTAATTTTCAAGTTTCAAATAAAAAAATACAAATAAATCATAATCATAACAAAACAAACAAATGTTAAAACCCAACTTACTCTTATAATATAACCATCGCGAGATCTTTTTCCAGGGAACGCGAAATTGTTCCACAAATCCTTCAACTTCATTTTCGAACCGCCACACGGCCCAAAATATTCAACGTAAAATGACTTTTTTACGAAAAAATGAACGAATATTAATTTTAAAAGTTTATTCTTACATAAAATTTACAATTTTATTTTTAAAAAATGAATAAAGGTCGTTTTCATTGGCTGGAGTCGAACTTTTTTTCGTTGCTTTACTGTTAATTTAGGTCATTACTTTTTTGTGAAAAAAGATAAAACTACGAAACCTTAGGTAAATATACTACTTTTCATGATTTCTCAAACCTATATTAACATGTCTTGTTAGAGTTTAAACAAAGTCCAAAAAATGATAGCTAAAGTTCAAAAAAAGACTTGAAAACCTACTATACTGTTAAAACTACTGTAACTTCTCGAAATATGCCATTCTTAAAAAAGTTTTGTTTTATATCATAAAATATTCTATGTACTGTAGTCACAACAATTTTCATATCCCTACATATCATTTCAAAAAAGTTATGACAAAAAGAAAATGATGAACAATATCTAGCTATACCTTTGTCCCAAAAGCTTAAATATCCAAAGAAAACTTTGAAACCAGCCAAAAATATACCCAAAACCATAAAAAACAACAATATTCATACAAAAACGTTTAAAAAACTCCTAATTCTCCTCCAAACTCAACTAAAACTTTATTGTAATACCTAATATTAGGCCTAATCTCTACGAAAAGTCTTTGTCGCCGTAACTAGTGCCACTCTCCGGCGAATCTCCTCTTAAAGCCGTTGATTTTCCAGCAATTGGTACCGAGGTTGTGGGTGTACCACTCAATAGTGGCGCTGTTTCGTCCCAATGATATCTGTCATTCTTCTTCTTAATCTCTTCGTACTCGGCACTGGCCGCTTTTTGATCATCTAACATCGACCGCAGCGTTGGACCACCACGTCGATTCTGCTCACGGAGTTGAGAATAACGGTCTTGAGGTGCTCCGTGACCATCGGCAATTTCATTGTACTGAAAATATAAAAATTAACAAAAGTTAATACTATAAGATAACATATATCAATATATTCACAAAATAAGATACAAACAACCTTCTACTACCAATTATATATCTATCTAACCATACAATTAATTTTAAAAGTGCTGTAAAGCTTAACAACCCGCTGTTCCTACCAAAATCAAGTAACTCTCTATTACCAATTTATATTATAGTAAGCTTGACTGAAATTCGTTATAAAACGGCAGAAAACATAACTATTAATGAGAAACCTAAAGTATACTAAAGGTACAAGTCTATTTCAACTACCAAAACTATCCAACAAACCAATTAACTCCATAATCTTATAATAAAAGTCAATTTTATTAACCATCAATAATATAAGATAGTTCGGCGAAAAATAATTGAAACAAACTGTAAGACAAGATATAAACTCAATATCTATTTATCAAAGTTTATAATTTATTCTTGCTTCTGAAAGCGTCAAATTAGCCCTCTTACATCAAAAACCATAAATTCAAGACCAACAATATTAATATACATATAACGGAACATCTTGAGAAAAATCGATGTATATACCATGAAAACTATGCTACGTCTTTGAAATCAATACTATAGTAAAGCCTAGACTCTATTCCAACTCCAAAAACCATCAGATCTTCCGTCAACTCCATTAGCCTAAAATCCAAGACAAAAAATACAAACCACCCACCTTTTCATAAAGCGCAGCCAATTTCGGCCGTACCCGATCAGCACACGTGTTCATACTCAACAAATTCGCCGCTGTTAACGATCCCAGTCCAATCAACGTGTAGAAGGCCCATGCCGACTTTGGACCAATCCAGTATTTCTCAGGAAGCCGATTCCTCACAATCCACATTGATACCATCGTGCCAATAGCGAAAGGAAATCCACGTGTTGCTGTCATTTCGCTCGTACAGTCGCGCATTGTCTTGGAGAGATCCTTTTCATCATCGGATGAAAGCTTTGTCATTAACCATTTTAGTTGTTCTGGCGTCAATCCCAATCGTCCAGCCGTTTGTGGTGCTACTTGTGGAGTAGAAGCTCCGTGTGAAGGTCCTGATTCCATTGATGTGTTAGAAAATAACAGAAAATTATCAAAAACAAGGTTTTTAGACTGTAAACAAATTGTTTTGACGAAATTTGGTTCAAAAAATGTTTTCGCAATATTTTTCAAGGTTGTGGCGGGATGCCAAATACTTTTAGCAGTTGTTTGTTTCCGTTGTGGGACCAACTATCATTGTTAATATTAATCTCATGACAATTGTAAAATGTTTTAAATACTAAAATACATATTTTTAATTAGAAAAATATTCCAAAAACTATAAAAAACCAAAAAATATAAACCAAGATCAATTTAGAGTCTTTATTGGCCGCAAAGTTAGATAAGACATCGAATTTAGGAAGGTGGTGCTGCTGGCGGAGCCTCTGGTGCTGTTTCTTTCTCCGATTTCTTGCTTTTCTTACTTCGCTTCTTCTTTTTCTTCTTTCTCTTGCTCTTCTTTTCCGAGGTGTCGACCGCTGTGGCTCCAGCTTCGCCAGTCGGCTGCTGCTTCTTCTTCTTCTTTCTGTGTTTATGCTTCTTCCTAGCCTGCCTGAAATTTTAAAATTGATTATTTTTTTAAAAAATAAATCAAAGACAGCAAAACATGGTAAAAATTCCCTGATTTTCCATTAAAAAAAAGAAAATCAGGCCAAAAACACCCCTAAAACAAAATAAAACAAGATTCTGATATCCCTAAAGCAATATAAAAGAACCCTCTCCAATCACCAAACCCTAAAACAGTACCAAAAAGCACCATAAAATGCCAAAAATGCGTACGCCACTTGAGATTCCAAGGACGTCTCCGATCCAAGTACTAATCAAGCGCACCGTTGCTTAACTTGCCAGATCGGACGGGATGGCGTGCGTTCAACGGGCTATGGGCGTACACAGCTCTCTCTCTTTCCTTTTCGAACCCTTTCCTTTTGGGGTTGATTAGAGGGTTTGATAGGGGTAAAATAGAGTTGAAAAAGGGTGTTTTGGGAGTAAAATGTAATTTTTAAAAATCTTAAATTTTCTTCCTGTTCTTGTCTTTTTTAGACTGTTGTTGAGTTGGAAACAGTCAAATAGGGTTAAGAACAGGCGGTTTCAAGTCCTTTTGGAGCTGATTATCAGCTTCAACGAGGTCTTTTTTGTTATTACGTTCAAAGGTAAGGCTATAGATGGCTGTCAGTCCGGTCAAATGCATTTTCAAAACCGGTCCAGTCAAAAAATTTAAGTCCACGGCCAATCCTGGTTTTAAGACCGGACCGATAGCCACCTCTAGGTAAGGTGCGGCAAACCAAAAAAAAATTTAAAAACCCACTCATCACTAGCCGGATCAAAAATTTTTCCATCCTCTTTGGAAGCCGGTTCCGTACCACCATTGAGGGATGTGTCACCAGCGACAGCCGGCTGCGCATCCGGATCTCGGGCCGTTTCCACATTCTTGCTCGGGGCATTTGGATCGGTTTTCTCGTCGCCTGGTACCTGAGCCGTTGCCACGTCCTTGGATGGTGCATTCGGGTCGGTTTGGTCTTCGGTGGGGTTCTGGGCGGTGACCACGTCCTTGGAGGGGGCGTTTGGGTCGGTCATTTCGTCCTTCGGGTCTTGGGCCGTGACCACGTCTTTGGTTGGTGCACTTGGGTCCGTTTGCTCGTCTTTTGGGTCCTGGGCCGTTACCACGTCTTTGGATGGTGCACTTGGGTCGGTGATGTCATCTTTTGGGTTTTGGGCCGTGAGCACGTCCTTGGACGGTGCGTTCGGATCCGTAATGTCATCCTTCGGGTTTTGGGCCGTCACCACATCCGTCGACTCTCTCTCCGACTCTGACGGAGCTGGCGGTGCTGGGGGTGCAGTCTGCTTCGGCGGTGGGGCTGGTTGTGGAGGTGGGGGCGGAGCCTGCTTCGGGGATGGTGCTGGCTTTTCCTGCTTCGAGAATGGTGCTGGTTGTTCTTGTCTAGGGGACGGTGCTGCCTTCTCGACTTTTGGCGAAGCTGCTGGCTTTGAGGGGGGAGGCGGAGCCTGCTTAGGGGATGGTGCTGGCTTCGGAGGTGGGGGCGCAGCTTGCTTCGGTGATGGCGCTGGTTTTTCTTGTTTCGACGATGGGGAAGGCCTTTTTGGAGATGGTTCTTTCTGAAATTCAAATTTAATTTTGAAAAAAATTTTGAAAAATCTAAAAATTAAAATATTAAAAATTTTTTAAAAATTAAAAAAAAATAAAATAAAAAATACCTTAATCGAAGCCTGTTTTACCACGCCCGGCTCCGAATCGCCACCAATCCTGAGCTCCACAACCTTTGTTGGCCGGCTTCTGACAGACCTTTCACGCTGAAAAATTGAAAAAATATCTTATTTGGTCAAAAAGTTCATAGAAAAGTAATTTCCTAACCTTATCCGGTCCAAAAGTCCATAGAAAGTCATTTTCTAACCTTATTCGGTCAAAAATTCCATAGAAAACACCTTTTTTCCCCACCGGTCAAAAAGTATGTAGAAGCTTACAAAAAAACAGAAAAGCAAGCAGGATTCTACATACTTTTTGACCGAAAAAGTTAAAAAATGACAATCCTACCCAATATTATTCAGAAACTCACAGCAGTTGCAGTACTAGCGTTGGATCGAGAAGACACCGCAGTTCTGGTACTTTTGACCGATTGCTGGCTTGGTGGTGCTCCTGGTGCTTCATTTTTCTTAAAAATGAAAGTTTAGGTACATAAAATTACATTTCTGAAGTTCAAAGCTTATTATATTGTATCAAAAGGTCATTTTCATAAACTTTTATTGATTGTGTCAATAAAACTAACAATTTAAGGGTCTGCAGGCTGCAGAGACAAGTTATACGATAAAAAGTGTCCTACTGTTCTAAAATATCCCGAGTACCTAAAAATTCCATTTTCAATGTCGCAACGCAACAAAAATGTTATTCTTGAGGTTTTGTAAAAAATTTTAAGATTCTGCAGGCTGCATGGAACAAATTATACGATGAAAAGTTTTAAAAAGTACCAAAAGTAGCTCTAATGGCCCAAAAACTTTAAAAAAAGTACCAAAAAGACCAGCTAGTGTAAAAAAGAATCCCACCTACCTTGACGACAAGAAAATAGTACAAGAGGATGGCCACCACAACCGCGGCCACAACAACAATCATCGCGGCCACAAAATTGTTCTCAACGACCGCTCCTTCTTCGAAACGACTAATCAATGCACGTTCGGAGGGAATGAATGGCAATTCGAATTCAAAGTCCATTTTTGTATTTTCAAATCTCATTTTTACAAAATATGCTAATTTTAAGTGAAATTTTTTAAAATGACAAAAATTAAAATTTTTTTCGCAATTTCACAGTTTTTTTTCAATTTTCTATAAACTTATTGACCGAGCACTATACAGCCGTTGTCAAAAAACAGGCAACCTATTTTTTTCAAGCATAACTTTTTTTAAAAAGGTGGTAGAAACAAAAAATTTTTTATTATTTTAGATTGGTCTATTATACAACAAGCCCACCAACAATAGTTGTTAAATTCGTTAATTTTGAAAAGTTACAGTAATTCTACCGTACCCCTATTTTTCAACTATGTGTATAATTTTTTTTTTAAAAATCGGAGATATATGTTTTGTAGAGCATAAAAAGTTGTATATATTCGGTCAGTTTCATTACTTCATATTATCTAGTCAACGAGCTACGGTTTTTTAAAATTTGAAAAAAGATCGGAAAACAAGAAAAGTTCGATTCCGCTTAAAAAATGGCCGTTTTTTAAATTTTTAAAAAATCGGTACTCGGTTAGTAAAAGAGATTAAGTAATGAAACTTACAAAATATGTACAAATTTTTATGCTCTACAAAACATATATCTCCGATTTTTGAAAAAAAAATAGACACATAGTTGAAAAATAGGGGTACGGTAGAATTACTTTAACTTTTCAAAATTAACAAATTTAAAAATATTGTTGGTGCGCTTATTGTATGATAGACCAATCTAAAATCACAAAAAAAATTTTGTTTCTAACACCTTTTTAAAAAAAGTTATGCTTGAAAAAAATAGGTTGCCTGTTTTTTGACAACGGCTGTATAATATATATTTGGTCAAAAAGTTTGTAGAATTCATTATTCTGGCCAGTGTCAGGCGCTAGTAAAAAATAAGGAGGGAATAGAGGGGAAGGGCATGTAAGCATGTGACGGTAGATCTTACAGTAGTTTATGGTAGGGAAGAGTAAGAGCAAGGGTAGGAGCAAGTATAAAGTTTAGGGGCATGAGTAAAAGTAGAAGTAGAAGCAGGGGTGGAGGTAGGAGTGGTGATTAGACATAAAGAACGGGCCGGGCCTAAGCAAAATTTTGATCGGGCCGAGACTGAAAATTGGGTCCGGCCCGTTCCTCATGTCTAGTAGGGATAGAGCGTAGAAGGTGGGGTAGAATAGGATAGAGTATGGTAAGGTATGATAGAGTACAGTAGTTTTGGATAGCGCAAGGCAAGGAATAATACAGTAGGATTGGGGAGGGATAGGTTGGGCAGAGTTGGGTAGGGTAAAGTAGGATAAGGTAGTTTAGGATAGGGTAAGGTAAGATGGGGTAGAGTTGGGTAGGGTAGAGTAGGGCATGGTAAAGGGTAGGTGTAAGGGTAAAAGTAGGGATAAAGGTAGGGGTAATGAATGAATTCAAAAGCTTTTTAAAAGCCTGTGAAGCGCTTTCAAGGTGTTACCAATATTATGATTACAGTCAAAAGATTTGTAAATTCAATACTTTTGAACAAAAACTCTTTAGGATTAACGGAAATGGTAAAAAAAAGTATGTAGAATCGAATCAATGTAACCAATTTTTAAATTTCGATTCAAATTTTGAACTTTTCTACTCTTATTTCGTTACCATACATAAAATGTTGTCTTCCATACAAAAGACACATGTCGTATTTTAACATGGGTGTCAGGATTAAAAAGTTCGTTTTTGTACGTTCACAGAGTTCACGGACAGAAGTTACTCATCATTCACCCAAACATATAAAATATTTTTTGAGGTAGATAAAACGCTCCCTTGCTCTTTGACTGGGGAAGAACTCGATCGAGAGAAAAAGAGAAATTTCTCTTTCTCTCTAACGACTCACTTCTTTGGGCGCGCTCTCTTCGCAAACTGAAGAAGAAATCCGAGGAAATCGAAGTTAAATCTCATAAAATACTCGAAATAAAGTAAATTTGAACTAAATTTGGTATAGATATTGTAGTAAAGTATCTGCTACTCATTGTGAAATATACCTTTTACAGATTTGTAAAGTAAAAATTGTCAAAAATGTGATTTTAATTAAAAAATAGGCTAGAAAATTTAGTTTTGCTCATTTTACAGCAAAAATTGGATGTAAAAATCGTAAAAACACAAAAGCCAGATGTTGAAAAATCCTTGCAAATTATTAAAATTATGTTATGGTTTAAAAATATTTGTCAAAAATTAAAATATAATTTAAAATTGACCTAAACTTAAGAAAAAATTCGTTTTTTCGAGTTTTTTAAGCAAAATCACAGTAAAAAATTAATAAAAATGACAATCCAAAATTAAAAAAAGTATTTTCTTACAATTTTAATAACAAAGAGTGAGTTGAAAACTTCACAAACGTAGCAAATTTAACCAAAAAACTCACAAAACATTCAATTTTTAACGCTTTTTTACATTTTTTGCTCTAAAATCTAAAAAAACCACCTTTTACCCTCGCCAATACCTAAAATTTTACGAAAGCCACCAAGCCCCTTCGTATTATACCTAAAAAGTGCAAAAAATTCTGCAGGAAGTGGGATTCGAACCCACGCATCGATAACGATACTAGAAGGCTCCGAACCGTCGTTTCCGACGAAGCTGTTTCGCTTGAGTCTAGCGCCTTAGACCACTCGGCCATCCCTGCACGGGTCTTTGCTCGCTTCGTTTCGCCTTTCATTTCATTTGGGAGAGATTTATAGGTAAAAGGGGGGTGTTTTTTGAAGGAAAATGAGTGTTTTTTATTATAAAATGGCATTTTTGGTAACTAAAAAAAATTTTATAGCATTATATATTTATTTCCTGTATTTTAAAAAGCTTTTTTTACTACAAAGTCCCCGTTTCAATAGGTTTTTAAATAAAAAATGCTCTGTTTCAACAGGTTTCGTTAATATTTAAGTATTTTTTTAAAAAAAATAAGTAAAATTTATTATAAAATGACATTCATAACCTTTGATATATTTTATAGCATTATCAATTACTTTACTTTACTTTAAAAGCCTTTGTTACCTAAATTCACCATTTCAATATCTTTTCAATCAAAATTAGGCTAGTTATACACTTTTTACCAAAATTTTAAAACCAAAATCAACAAGCCTTACCACTCTAGCGCTATTTATTAGAAATGTAAAATATTTTCATGATATTTCGGGTTATATACACCATAAGACAGATATACACGTACAACTATGACTTTTTGTAAAATTAAAAAAATACGTTTTGAAAAGGCAAGGAAGTTTAGCAATAAAATATGTTAAATTTTAAGTTCATATGCATAATAGTAAACATTTTAATTATCTTTTAAAAATTTTCAGATCTTCTGCACCGTGCAAGCCTACAACTTAAAAATTGCACCGTGCATAATCACAAAACCTTTGAAATGGACCGTTATCACAGAAAGTAAAAAATTGACAAGTAGAACTAATGTGGACCACAAGGAAATAATGAAAGAATTATTATAGCGTAAAAACGATAAGATTTTGATAAAATGACGAAATGTCACAAAAACTATAGGATTTTTAAAAATGTCAAAAATGATGTCAAATACATTGAGACATTCACAAAAATGCAATATTTCCTTTATTATTCCTATAAAGCTTTTGAATTGACTAAAGAAGACGAAATTCACAAAAAATATTGGATTTTGAAATTTCAAAAAAATATTAGAAAAAACTTTAAACCAAGCCTAAATTAGGTATAAATAGATGAATTACTATCTATCATAACTAATTACAGTAACTTTTTTCTCCGTAAACCATGACTTAAGCTACTATGACATCCAGACCTACAGTAACATCCATTGCCTACTGTAACTTCAGTCCTGCGACGTTGATCTAGAAACCATGGACGATGAAAACGATCCGGTTACATATGTTGAGTCATTTGGGTTCGTATACCCATACTTTGTTATGTTATGATACCTCCTCAGTGCGCAAATCAAGGCCAGTACCAGAAGTACCAGTACGAAAATGGCTGGTGTACCGATAATGACGATGAACGTTAACCACACTGGCCAACTTGGAACCATGTTTTTGAGCTTGTAGTAGTAGATGCGCTCCATTCGGGATGGCAGGACCTCAAGATAGTTCTCTCCGGTTAGTACTTTGCCAAAGATCTCGATCATCAGGTTCAGGCCTTTGGCATATTCACCTTGATCTAGGTGACGGATTTCTGAAAAAAATTTTAATACTAGTCAAAGATAAAGAAAAAATGCCATTAAAATAAAAAAAATGTGCTACAAAGTCTACAAAATCCGTCATAACGTACATAAACCTTGTCATCATGACACAAAACACAACAAAAAGAAAAATCATAACTCAGTGTACCTTATATAACATAAAACTTACAATTTTTCACTCAATACAAAATTCACTTACTAGCAAATTCAGTGACCTTATCCACAATTTCGAAGTTCAACTTTCGTCTAGCGACCATTCCAACGGACGTGGCTATCTAAAATCATATTTTATTGAATCATAGTGAATTTACTATCCTCTGATACTAATTCCAACAAAATGTTACTGTATTTTCATTTTTATATCCACATTTTTCAAATTACAACTTGTTGCACCGTGCAAAATCTTATAAAAACCTTTTTTTAAATTTTAAAAATGCTCGTAGATAACTTAACTCACCTCAAATAACTAATTCAACCTGACTTTTAAAAAAATACTTACAATCCGATTCTTCACAGCCAGTACAATGACAATATCATCATCACATTGACCTCGTTCTTGTTTTTTCCTCAAAGCTTCTGGGAACACTCTTTCTAGTCGTTCTTTTACTACTCTGTAATATAAAAATTATTTTTTATTTGAAAAATTTGTCCAAGAACTTTTGAAAACCCAAAATGCTTATAAAACGCGTGATTTTGTCTATAACAACATCAATTTAACTCGAAAAAACGTCGAAATGTGCAACAAAAAAATGTTGAAATTAAAAAACGTACTCCTCAGAAGATTCTACAAAAATACTATCTAAAATAGCCACTGATATTCGGTAACCCTTGTCCTCTAAACAACTGCCAAAAGGCCCATCTTGAGGTGCGCAACCACATTTCGTGTTGTTTTCTATTAATCTTGTGGACTTATCAAGCAACAGACGACCTGAAAATAATCATTTATACTCCGTCAAAACTAAAATACATTCAAACTTTATAATACCAGCTAAATTCTAAGAGATATTGATAAAAAACGAGCAAATACCCGCGAAAAACCTCCGAAACCAGCCTAAACCAAGTTAAATTGTCCATAATCCAGTGAAAATGTACCTAAAAACATAAAAAATAATTGATAATCTTACCTTCCTCATCTAGTACCCCATCAGCATCACAGACCAATGATCTCCATGGCAGTCCACAGCTTCTGAAGTCACGAAAGGAGTCCGGATAGGTGTCTGGTGAGTAATATGGGAAGCGAATCGTCTGTACAAGTGAAAGCAAAGTTGATATGTGAAGAACGGTCAGTAGATATGAAGATAGAATCTAAAATATTAGAAAGTTATTTATAATCGCGTAATTTTGAGATTAAACATCAAAAAGGTATAGGTAACAATAGATAGGTAACAAGGCGCAGTTCACATGTAACTTTGCGTTTTAAAAACAAATGTTTGTTTATAAAAGATCAAAAATACCATAGTTAAACTACAGAATGTTATTTCGTATCAAAAAGTGTTCGTTAAAATAAAAAAATCTATGAAAATCGACCATCTCAATAGTTGATATACCTAAAACAAGGTTTTCAAGTTTTTTGATATGACAAAGATGTTTTAACTATACAAAACTTAATAAAACTTAAAGAAAACATAATATACAACATTTTAAAACCAACAATATAAAAGTTATAGCTCAGTAAACATTTTTACCAAGCTTCTAAACTTGCGAACATCAAAATTTGGCCAATTTTTTGCAAAGAATCAAAGTTTGTGCCATTTTCAAGCCATACCACAAACCAAAACAACTTTTAAATTAAGCAAAAAGTTAATATAAACCTAGAACAATCCCTAAACGCATCAATAATCCAAGCAAAACATAAATAACTTACCATTTTAGCTTGACGAACATTGAAAACCTCGAAAAAGTGAAATTTTTCAATTTATTTTTTCAAACTTTCATTTTTCGCGGTTCAAATTGGAATCAAACACTTTCTCCTTCTAGACGTTGATATTAATGTTGTGGAAGGAAAATGAGTAATTCCGATTGTGTAACCAATTTCCGAGAGTCCAACCTAAGGTTATATTATACTAGGTGGGCTGAAACGGGATATTTAGTTTTTGGGTTAGAGTTATATTGAAAAAAAGTTTTGGAGCACGTTTATAATGTAGCAAAGAGGACGAAGATTAATATAAAGGTGCAGATTGAGTTGGAAATCTTAGTTTATCTATGATAAATGGCAAAAAAACTTTTAAAAGTTTGGCTAAATTGCCATTTTTTAATGGTTTTAGATAGCTAAACGTTTAGTTTTTAGACAAAAATGTTATAAATGAACTGGAACTGCATGTTAACTGTTCCAAAAAGTCTAATTAACACTAAAGCCCATAAATAAAGTAATTACTTTACAATCTTTTATGACCCTTCTGTTAACTATTCTCTGGTTAAACTTATTGAAATTCTACCCTACCCTACCCTACCCTACCCTACCCTACCCTACCCTACCCTACCCTACCCTACCCTACCCTACCCTACCCTACCCTACCCTCCCCTACCCTCCCCTCCCCTACCCTCCCCCTACCCTACCCTACCCTACCCTACCCTACCCTACCCTACCCTACCCTACCCTACCCTATCCTACCCTACCCTAAAAATATGACAATATCTTGAAGCCCTATGATGATTATACTAACCACCTGATGTTATAATAGCCAAAAGTAAAATTGTCATAAAAAATGTCATAACCCATCCAAAAATAAATGGCATAAACTCATCCCAACCGCACATCACAAGATAATATAAAATAATAGCATTAGAGAGATAAGTGCACGTCTCCCCCCCCGTTTTTTTTATATTATTTTTAGCGGTTTTTTAATCTTTCTGGATTTTTAGTGAGATTTAAATGCTTTTGTTAAGTAGTAGTAGGGGGTATTAATCCGTTTTGTACAAAGTAATGGCACGCTATCCTCGGGAATGTGTTTTTAATCGAAAAATGGATTTGGGAAGGGAAGCAACTTTGTTTACAAAACTTAAAATGAAGGTAACTTCCTTGACAGAACAATAAATGGCAAGAATTTTCTTTACAAAACAAAAAATGGCAAGAACTTACTTTAACGAAAATAATATGGCAAAAATTTCTTTACAGGGCGTAAAAAGACAAGAACTTAATTTTCAAAGCATAAAATAGCAAGAACTTTCTTTACACATTATAAAATGGCAAGAACTTTCTTTACGAAACAAAAAATTAAAAAAACTTTGTTTACAAAAGACGAAATGGTAAGAACTTTCTTTACAGAATAAAAAAGCCCATCATTTGTATAACTTGTCAGTTTTGGCATGTAGCAACTAAAAATTTCACGTGAAGGTGTAACATGACAAGCACTTTATTTACAAAGCATAAAATAGCAAGAACTTTCTTTACAGTACAATAAATGGCAAGAACTTTCCTTACAAAGCAAAAAATGAAAAGGAATTCCTTTACAGATCAATAAATGGCAGGAACTTCCTTTACAGAACAATAAATAGCAAGAACTTTCTTCACAAATCAAAAAATAGAAAAAACTTTGTTTACGGTCACTTTAAACAAAGCTTGGTCAAGTTACAAAAAGGCTGAAATTAGTCATAACTCCTCAAGATTCCCATCTGACCCCATATAACGTCATTTTCGACCTTTTCCTTTCTCGATTTTATTAGTTTTTCCCTCCGCAAATACAAATCATTATCGTTATCATTTCGAATTCAACACGCTTTTTAACATACAAATACAAAAATTATAGTACGAATAAATCATGAAGGTATAAATTATGACATTTTTATTTTGAACTATGAATTTGATATAATCAGAAAAAGTCTTTTCGTTTTTTGGACATTTACAACAGTGTCATAGACGACAATACTTTTTTAAACGCTTTTAAAGCTCAAAAAGAAACCAATGTTAATCAAAAAAAGTAAAAAATATATGAAAAAATCATAATCTAAGCCCAAGACCACCCCTAAAACAATATAAAACAAACCTCTCCTACCCCCAAATCCAAAAACAGCACCAAAAAGTACCATAAAACGTCAAAAATGCGTACGCCACTAGAGATTCCAAGGACGTCTCCGATCCAAGTACTAATCAAGCGCACCGTTGCTTAACTTGCCAGATCGGACGGGATGGCGTGCGTTCAACGGGCTATGGGCGTACACAACTCTCTCTCTTTCCTTTTCGAACCCTCTCCTTTTGGGGCTGATTAGTGAGTTTAGAGGGGTAAAATTGTGTTGAAAAGGCATGTTTTAGGGTGCAAAATGTAAAATTTTTTAAAAATTTTTAAATAAAATATGTAAAATTCATAACAGTTTTCTTTTGTTCTTTCTTTTTGAAGTATTCTTTGACAATTTTGGGCTGGAAAAGGGCAAAATAGGGTTCAAAAAGACGTTTTTAGACGTTTATAAAGTGTAAAATATGGTAAAAACTATAGTGTTGTAATATAATGCGGTATATTCTAAAAATGTAAAATGATTATTTTAAAATATTTATTTTTAATTTTTTGTGGATATTTAGCCAATAAAAAGTTTTGTCGTTTTTTAACCTGAAAATCCGTGGAAAATGACGACAAAACTTTTATTATGTCAACAATAGAATGATTTTTACACCCTATGTTCCTTCTGTATCAAAAACGGATAAAAACTGTAAAAATACTATATATCTAAGACATATCGTATGTTGAAAAACACGTTTCGAATTTTGACTACGCAATGGACAAACAATAAAATTACTAAAAAGGTGAAGGTCGACGCAAAAAAAGATAAAATAAACATTTTTTGTTTGTTCAATATTCATGATGCGGGACAATCGGGTCGGAAACAAAGTTTTTTCTGGATTTTTAACGTCAATGTACTGTAATGGGCATAATTTTAGCCATTAGGCAAAAAAACTTTCTTTCCAAGGCATAAATTGAACAAAACTTTCTTTACACAGCATAAAACGGCCAAAATTTTCTTTACAAAACTTAAAATGACAAGAACTTTCTTTACAAAGTGAAAATCGCAAGAACTTCCTTTACATAACTTTAAATTGCAAGAACTTTCTTTACAAAACATAAAATGGCAAGAACTTTGTTTACACGGCCTAAAATGGCAAGAACTTTCTTCACAATGCATAAAATCACAAGAACTTTCTTTACAAACGAAGAAATCATAAACCTATATGCCATTTTTGAACAAAAACTTCTAAAAAATGTAAAAGTAAAAAACCGGCCTTTAGCATGAGTAACATAATACAAGTATAAAAAAATACTACTCTAACACGTTTCCTGAAGCAAAAACAAACAAATTCCGGTGGAAATTAAAGCGCGCTTTTGTCGTTTTTTTATTCCTGACTGACCATCTGATATAACAAAAGGACACTTCAAAACGTCAAAAAATTAATACGAATCGCCAACGGGCTTTTATTGGATCCAATTTGTTTTTGTAACCAATAAATATTACAAAAATTTAAAATTAAAAAAAATTTAAATTAAAAAAATTTAAAATTAAAAAAACTAAAATTAGAAAAAGTATTGCAAGAATTAGGTAACAAGTCAACAACTTCTTTATTGTTAGTGCAGGGAAGGGGAAGTAAGGAGAAGGTAAGGCCAAAGGAAATGACACTAACTTTCTTTACAGAAAACAAAATGGCAAGAAATTTCTTTTCAAAACATGAAATGGCAAGAACTGTCTTTCAAAAACAAAAAATTGCAATAACTTTCTTTACAACACAAGAAATTTATATATCATATTAAGTTTAACATGTCGTGAACAATTTTTTAAAAATAAACGTAAAAAGGATTACGGTAGAGGTTGAGATTAACAGAGGTGGATGAGGTTAGGATAAGGTTAGGGTAGAGACCAATGTTAAAGAGCACTGGCTAAGTTTAAGAAAGTAGAGCTTCGGTAAAGACTAGAAGTAGTGAATGCTAAATTGGCATTGTGTTTCAAGCTTATAACTTTGTCATTTTTTGGTTTTTAGGAATTTTTCTTTGGAATACTAGTAGCATATACATATCAATTTTAAATTTGTAACCGCAGCTTGCCTGGAAAGTTGAAAAAAGTACTTGAAACACAATGCCAAATTTGCCAAATTGATGGGAATCCAAAATAATTCAAATTTAAAACTCAAAAGCCTCGAGCTAAAATTTTTTATGGATACTATTGGTAGTACAAAGAATTCGTATAAAAATTTTGAGCTGATTCTGAACGGGGCAGGTAGGGTACTCTCCTTGTGAGAGTAGGGCTGTTGTTGTTCCTAAAGCAAGGGTAAAACTATGGGTATAGCTAGAGTAAGGTTAGAATAGGGTTACAGTAGGGCTATGAACAGTTCTATCAAAAACTTAAAGTACGTTTTAAAACGTTAGGAAAGCGTTACTTGGTTTATTATTAGTAAGTAAAACGGCCCAAATAAGCTTTTCCTTCTAATGTTCTCACACATAAAAGTACTTTTTAAAATAAAGTATCAAAGTTTATGTAAAGTAAATTTTAAAAAAAAATATCGGTTTTGGCTTAAAAATGTTTTAAATTTTGTAAAGAAAGTTTTTGCGAAATAAAGTTTTTTATAAGTATTACCTAAAAATGAACGTTTCGGACATAATCTTCCAAAAACAAACTAAAAACGTGAAAATTAGGACATTACCTCCAAAAAGGCAAAGTAAAAAGATAATAAAGTAAATACGTTCGAAGTAAGTATTAAAATCCAGAGTTATAAGAAGGTCGAAAACCTTTTGAGGTGAATCCTCTTACGCAAAATATACTTTTGCGGATTAAAACAACTTGACGGAAGAGCGAATATATAAAAAGATCCGTTAAGTTATTATACTTTAGAATAATATTGTGTCTACGTCAGGGACGTCTTCGTACAAAGTTTTTTCTGGAGTAAGAAATGGCAAAAACTTTCTTTACAGAATATAAAACGGCAAGAATTGTTCTGTACAAACTGTAAAATAGCAAGAACTTTCTTTACAAGACAAAAAATAGCAAAAACATTCTTTAAAAAACGAGAAATAGCAAGAACTTTCTTTACAAAACGAAAAAGCCTGTCTTCCGTATAAATTGTCACTTGCAGCCTGCGGCAACTTAAAGTTTCACCTAAGTTTGTAAATGGCGATAACTTTCCTTACACAGCAAAAAACGTATACAGCATAGCAAGTTTTAACATTTCGTGACAATTTTTTTCAAAATTTGAACCTAAAAGTCCTTTTGATAATAAAAAAACAAAATACATCATTTAACATTTGAATTTACTACCTTGTTTTACATTCATGTATTAACATACGACGTCTTCTTGCTTACATGAATACTACTACTACCTGGATGCACCTACGATCAATTCACCACCTTATATTAGGATGAGCCAAAAGTAGTGAGACAACTTCTAGTTTAAAAAAATTAAAGATGTCCCGCTACTTTTATCAACCGAATAGCACTTACTTTTCCAATTTACTATTTTACTTTACTTCCATATCAATATCTATAAATGTCCCACCGCATAATCATAAAGCATACGTCGAGCACGTTTCCACCTTGAAAATGCCATTGAAAATTCGGTTGAATAAACTTTAATCAAGTGTGAAATAGAAAAAGACTTTTAACAATGGCCGAAAGCAGATTACGGGCCCTGAATTGTAGCCCTAACACACACACTAATTACACGAAAAACAGATTAATAATAGGATTTTGGGCTCATTAACACTTTTGAAATGATAATTGACTTCTTGTTTGGTCAATAGTGAAAGCATTGTTTGGTAGTGGAAGTATTGTTTTGTAATGGAGATATAGCTAGCTAGTAGAGATATTGTTTGGTAGGAGACATATTGCTATATAGTAAAGACATTTCTAGACAGTAGAAGTATTGTCACAAGATTAGGGTACATTATAGTAGAATATTGTTGTAGATATTACGCAATTCTACAACAGTATCTTGAAAAATTGTATAATTCTACAACGATATCTTACTATGTGTTCTAATATCATAGTAAACACTTTAACTTAAATCAAAAAAACTAAAAATTTACAGTAGTTTTCACCATTTACCAGACTGTTGCTGCTCTCTTTTATAGTTTATATTACTCTAGTAATAGTTGATACTAACAATGTAAGGCTATTTTAGCTTCTTGTACTGAGGCTACTTTACCCTCTAGGTAAGACAATATACTCTAAGTAAACAAAAGTTAGGTTGAGTTGTATCGACTGGTTGAGTGTGAATAGTTTAGTTAAAGAATTGTTTTTTTAAATGGATTTATTATGTTGGTGTAAATCATCTAGGTTTAGCCTGTACTGAGGCTACCTTAGCTTCTAGGCAAGGCAATATACTGTAAGTACACAGAAGATAGGTTGAGTTGTATCGACTGGGCGATTGTGAGACAATTTGTAAGACTTCTTTTAGTCCCGTTTCTCTACCGTTTCAGCCTGTATTCACCACACGGTATTCCTTCATATGACAAGGTCGAATTTAGGCATGATTTTACTTTGACATAAAAATCATGTTTTTACATTAAAATTTTACAAAAAAGCTGAATTTTAATGCGCCACACGTCAAAAAATGAAACTAAAAAAGTCATTGCCGAAATTTAGGGCTAAACATCTACAAAACGAAAATTTTTCATAATTTTTCCGGTTTTTTCTAGAAAAAAATCAAAAAATAAAAATTTGAAAAACGATTTTTTATGCAAATTTCAAAGCAACGTAGCAGTGGCTTCATAATGAGTATAAAAGCCGTGTACTTTGGCCATTCAGTCATTTTTCTCCAACTTTTTGGTGACGGACGGTGCGGTCTCTTTTGCTCTGTGATTACTGTAAAGTGAGTTTTGTCATTTTTTTTTGATTTTTTTTAGAAATTGGGTTGGTTTATTAAATATTTGGTGGAAAATTTTGTAGTAGGTACTATTTTTTGGAATTTTCATAAGTTTTCAGACGATTTCAAAAACTGTCTGAGAACTTTTGCTACATAAAAGACTGGAAAAATTTTGTATTTTAAAGTTTGAGCTGATTGAAATGTGTATCTAAAGGTTTATTTATCGTTAGTATACTGTATTTTTTTTAGCTCTGTAATAAAGCGACTTCAAATGGCTGGTTGTAAGTTAAGCTTGGCTCCTGGTATTGAGTTTGGTGGTAGGTTTTCATTTTTTTTTAAATTTACTAGTTTTGAAATATACTATGATTACCTTAAAAACTTTATTTACACCCAACATTTTCAGACCACTCTTCGCGCAAACGAAAGTGTCCGAACAATCTTGGCATGTCACCGATGGAAATCCACTTTGATGGGCATGGCAAACGCACGGAGATTCCGGTGAAACGTCGCCACCTGGACAAACCCACTCTTCAGGAAGTGCTCGGCGCCATATTTGTGAATAATATGCACCAACCAGCTCGTCCTCATCGAATGGGCCCGTTTGGGGACGGGTTTTGAGCGTTTTTGCCAGTTGTTGATTAATCGTTTTATTTACAATGATTAACAAGCCTTGTTGCGGACGTTTTTGCGTTGTCATTCATTTGTCCTAATCAATTTTTATCAATAAATGTTATTATTGAGCTTGTGTGCTTGCGTAATTTGATGGATGAAAGGTGTCTGTTGAGGTTGAGTAAGGCGGTCAAGTGTTGCTTTACTAATGTGGTATTTCGTATTGTTTTATTTTTTTAATTTTTAAATTTCTTTTGATTTCAACGTGAAATGACGAAGAACAAGCACATCACATCAAGCTTGCGTTTTGGTCCTGCCACGAAAATCAGGAAACGCATGGCTTTCCGCTTGAGCGTTATTTTTCCGTAAAAAATTTAAAATTTCGGGTTTTTCGTTCGAATTTTGACGAAAACACTTATTTGAATATTTGAGTTTCACGCACACATGTGCGGTACACAACATTATAATCGTCCAACTAACATGACAACAACGGCCGAACAACGACAAGAATGTCTGGACGTGATTCTGCCAATTTCAGTTGAGGTAAATTGTGTTTTTTGGCTTTCATATCGTTTTAGATGGACTTTCATAATTTTTTTTTGAGTTTGTTTGTTGTTTTATTTGTTGAACTTGTTGATTAAATTGTTTTAGAACGTAATACAAACATGTTTAACTCATTTTGACTATGAGAATGCTGTGATCTTGGCTGAAGTGCTCTATGCCAAAGGTAAGTTATTGTTTGCTTGATGTTCTTTGAGTTTTAGGTTTAATCGATTCGTTAAAAATAATGAACAAGTTGCTTTTAAGGATATAAAGTATAAACTTATGAGTTACTCAGCCGCTCAACTTTTTTTTGTTAAAACTGACAGGCTTTTGAGCAAGTTTTAGATACTATCAGTCATAGTTTTATTCTAGATTACTATTGCGGTTAATATATTGTTTTGTAGCTCATGTAACCTTGGTTTTCTTTCAGAAAAGTCAGATTCAGCACTATTATTGTATGCGCAATGTTTGATGCGATGGAACAAGACCTCGGCCGCGTATGAACTTTTAAAACGTGAAGGATACAATAGATGTGGACAAGCGAGATATATCTACGCAAAATGTGCATATATGTTAAGGAAGTAAGTGGTTTTTATTAGTTTTTGTTGAATTAGGGTATTTTAAGGGAAAGCAGAGCGTATTGAGTATAAACTCAAGGAGTATGCTAATATTAGTTAAGAAAGTGATGGAAAAAGTTCTTATTAAGGTGCATTATAGTCGCAGAATGTTATATGCTTAATTAGAAGTATGAAAGCGTAAAAAATAGGCTTTATGAACATGCAACAACAAGTCTACTACAACATTTTTTATTTTTCAGGATTGACGAAGCAGAAACAGCGCTACGGGCCGAAGGATCGTCATATAACAATGTGCAAATTCATGAATCGTTTGACGAAGCAACACAACCTTTTGCTCACAAGCTTTTGGGTCAAGTTTACACCGAAATAGGGCGATTGGATCTAGCCAGAGGACATTATACATTATCGTTGGTTGGTAATCCAATATTGTTTGATACGATGCAACTTTTTGGTCAACTTGGAGGAGAAAGTGTGCCAAAACTATTTTCAACATTGTCGGACGAGAACGAGGCGTGTCCAATCAAGTTGTTGAGGAGGTATAACGAAAGGATTCAAAGGTATAATAATATAAGGGAAACTGAGGTTATTTTGTGAAACTGGGGGATAACATAATTGTTTTAGCTAAAATATTTTTTGTTTGGATATTTTATAATTTGTTATATGGTTTACTATTTCTGCTTCTTTTCTTCAAGCACTTTACGAATGTCTACCTCTTTACACTACGATTAATTTTACGTTATCTATATTGCTTTCAGAGTTCGTAGCCGTTGCCTGAACGTTCCACTAGCTCCACAAAAAGCTGTCATTTCTCCAGTCTCTCCAATTCGACCTCCATCACAAACGAACATGTTAATAAAGAAACGACGACCACCTACATCAATATCTCAACCCACAAGGCATAGTGTCAGTCCTCCGAGAACAAAGAAGTCGACAAACGCAGACAAGGCATGTGTGGAGTTTATGCTACAGCTGAGTGAAGCCGTTCACGCCTTTTCCTTATACAGATGTGACGAAGCGCTACAGATCCTGAATCAATGTTCGATGGTGTTCAGGCCGTTGAGTATCGGTTTGAGGTTACGAGGGATTGTGCTGTTCGAATTGAGAGATTATGCCAGGAGCTCTGAAGTGTTATTGGAGCTGAGGAGGGTGTTTCCCAGCAGAATCGAGGTAAATGTTATGTTCTTTGGAGGTTTTGTGCATATTAATATAATTTTGGTTAATTTTTTGATAAAATATGCAGGTTTACATTATTGGTGTGAATAATGTAGTTTTACTAACTACTTGTAGAAGGCAATAACCTTTTTTTAAGGGCATGGAATCTTTGTCAACAGCCCTATGGCAACTCCAAAACCACCACCAACTCTCGGCGCTGGCAGCAGACCTCATCAACACGAATCGTGACAGTGCTATCACCTGGTGTGTAGTAGGCAACTCATTATCACTCGAAAAACATCACGAAGCAGCGGTAGAGGCATTTGAACGAGCAATCCAAATCAACCCTAGATTCGGCTACGCGTACTCACTGCTTGGCCATGAACTGATCGATCTGACAAAACTGGATCGAGCCTTGGAAGCCTTCAAACAAGCTCACATCCATTCACCAAACGACTACAGGGCGTTGTACGGAGAAGGGCTGGTTCACTTCAAGAATGAAAAGTTTGATCATTCGTTGGTGGTATTTAAGAAGGCAGTCAAGATCAACCCAAGGAATGTGACATTGTTATGTCAGTTGGCTATTGTGGAACATGCATTGAAGAGGAATAATGAGGTAGGTGACCGGATTATGAATTACGGGGATTTATGAAATTTGTGGTAAAATGGCAAGAACTTTCTTTACAAAACGACAAGTCGCAAGAACTTCCCTTACAAAACAAAAAAAGGCAATAACCTTTAAAAAATTTACTTGAAGTGTAAAATCACATTGATTTTCAGGCTATGGAACACCTTCGCCGAGCTTTGGAAATCGAGCCGAACAGCATTGCTTCTCGATACCACAAGGCCCGAATCCTCTTCGATCAACAACAATATAAGGAGGCCGAAAAGGAACTGAACGACCTCAAGAACCTGAGCCCAGATGAAGCACATGTGTTCTTCTTGTTGGGCAGAGTTCATCGACGTCTCGGAGACCAACATCGTGCCATGTTGAACTTCAGCTGGGCCACCGAGATCGACCCCCGCGGCGAGCAGAATCAGTCCACAGTATCAGATGGGCCATACGATGATGATGCTGTGGATCAGAATGATACTGACAGGAATTGATTTTTGAATTGAGGGAGGGGTGAAACATTGCTTTTTGATAAAAAATTCAATTTTTAAAAATTTGGTCAATTCTTCATCTCGCTCAGCCAATATTGTACATTATCATATAACGTCAAAAAGGTATACGAATGTGTTTTGTAATTACTAGTACGTTTCATTATTTTTTGAAAAATACTAGTCAATAGTACTAACATGATCAATACTTTAGTACTATCTTGACTAGGACCTAGTACTACTTTGATTAGAACTTTAGTACTATTTTTGTTGGGAAATTAGTACTATTTTATGACTTCATTAATTGTAGTTATGATTTTCACAATTAATTTCAAGAAGTTCTTTGACATGATAAACATTATTGTCATCTCCAACCACTTTCCAGTTCGTATTTGTAAATTTTGTGATCACTGTAGAGTAAAACGACACAGTTACTGTTTCAAACTCATGATAATAATTTATTAAAAGATGTTAATCTGTTTTACGTGTTGTGAACTCAATAAATGAAAATTTGAATTATTTTAATTTGGTAGCAAAATGACAGAAAAGTTTATCAGTATATAAGTGAAGGTGTAAAACAATAAAACTTGTGTCAGTTAAAGCTCTTCAAAATTAAAAAAAAAAACATCTCGAAATTTATTGTCATAATCAAAAAAGTATTTTAAATACACACGTCGAATAGAGTACGAGACAGACCAAACAGTCAAAAAAGCCGACCAATCGATAGCCGAGCCTAAACCAAATTTGGATAATCGAGGATATGAGTCTTAATAGTAGTGAAATGTGAAAGGAATATAACATCATGAAATATACCAAGAAAAGAGATTATTTGTCATTACATACCAAAAACAGGAGAAAGGACTAAGGAAAATATAAAATTAAAAGAATGTCCTTTTTTTAAATGTTGTCATAAAAGATCAAAAAGCTGAAGAAGGCGAACAGTAAATACAATAAATGGACCGGTTCCATCAATAAAAAATACTGAAATACTGGAAGTAAGCTTTGTTCGTATCCTTAATCTTATACTCGAAGAAGAAACGATCACCTAAATCGTCTTTTTGATTCAGGTTAACACAATGCTTAACTTCAGTTTCAGCATCTAATGTCGTGAATTCAAATAATTCAATTGGCATTATGCCACATCTAAACTCAATAGCAAATTGATTACATTTTTTAATCCTTAACTCAAAGTTCGTACGGCCTTTCAGATGAACTGTAGGCAGAACTTTGTTGCTGCGTTTACCGCAAACCACAGAAACGATAATTTGTTCGTCTTCTTCGTGAGTGACGTCAGTATCTGTAGTTACCTTCAAACAGTTAAAGAAACGGATTTCGGCGCATTTCGTTGCAAGGTAACTCAAGTCCAACATGCTGGCAATCCTCTCACACTCTTCGACTTCACTCATCGTCAAGTTCTCCATGAGCAGAAGTTCGCATTGAAGCTGAAAATAATTTTATAAGTATAAAATTGTTTTTGACTCTTAAAAAGCTGTTGATAAAGACAATATTAAAGCTTTTTATGCCGTTGTTATAGACAAAATTGAGGCTTTTTAGTACGAATTATCTCAGGACTTACCTGCAATGGCTTGATGTCGTAGAGATGAGCCAGCTGGATCACATTGATGGCTAATGAGACACTTTCCACCTTCTTATGGGAGTTTACAAACTGGAGCATGGCTTCGACCGCTCTTAGATCAAAAAATAACAAATAAGTCTGCCGCCACAACCAGTCAAAATTCACCGGCGTAAATCTCATTACCATATGAAAACATATAAAACCTTACTTTTCAACTCAGCTATCCTCTTATTCATTTGTTTCTCCATCTTTTTAAGCAAAACATCTTTGGTTAATGACATCTCAAATTTTCGAACCATTAAAAAACAGTGAATAATATCTATAAAACAGACAACAAATACTCGAGCAACACGAAGAATTACTTTCAACTAGCTTACTTCATTAGAATATTTTAGGCCAAGCCCTTCTAAAAACAATATAAAACAGTATACCTCCTTTATAACCTATATTAATATCATTTTGAAGCAAATTGTTATACGTCCCTTATATCTCCTTTTTAAGCATAAAATGATAAACAAAATAAGCCTAAAATCATTAAATTCTATCGAAAACTTTTCGAGTCACAGGATCTAGAAAGTGGATATTACACTGAACAAGTCGTTCGTAGGAAAATACTAAAATACGCGCAACATTGAATAAAAAATAAAGCTAAAGATAAACTAAAGTTAAAAGAGGTCATTTTAAAATAATATAAATTAATTCCTAGTCACATAATAATAAGATGATGTTGGAAAACAACAAAAAACCAGCAAAACTCTTCAAAATCCCACAAAAACAGCTAAGAATTAACAAAAACTAGTAAAAATACTAAACATATGAGTTTATCTGATTTGATTTGACTGAAAACCTGTAGTTTTGCTTGTTCTCTAAACGTATATTCATAGTTTTACAATATAAACAACTTTTTACAAGGTTTTGTCCGCAAAAACCTTTCGAAATTTCGCAAAATTATTCTCAAAAACATTTGTTTCACCGCGAAGGCGCCCGACCTGCGAAAAAGGAGCCCGCAACTTTTTCCGCTCTGTGCAAGTCCTTCATTCTCTAATGAATTCGAACAGTGCAACACTTTTTTCCCCGTGGGTTTGCACGGTAAAAAGATTAGTTTTGCATAGTCACATAATAAAAAATAGTTTTGTGCACGAAAAACTGAAAATCCAACTTACCTTAACGCCTATTTCTTTCAATCGTAAACGGCATAACCAAAAATCATATTAGGGAATAATATTTTATTTTTTTGTCAAGTAATCAAATAGTCTGAAAATTTAAAAAAAGCTAACCAAATTATTTTACAGTATTTTAATAAATTGTAATGACATAGCATAGTACACAAATTTACTGTAGATAATTTTAATTTCCATCGACAAGTTTAGTAAAGTCATCAATGTTCTCAAAACGGTATATTATGCCTTCTGTTAAATTCCGGAATATGTATTTGCTTGAATTTGAATCATTAATCCAATCCACGGCCGTGCCAATTGATATGTTATCTGGTCGTGTGCATTGTAAGATGTCAGTGACGTAGGTACGCTAAAGAATATTTAAAAAAAGGTCCAATTTAACTGTATTCCTGAGGAAACAGCCTCTATCATAACTCGTAGGTTTGGGATAGAACAGTATAATATATTATAATGATGTAAAAACCTTCAAAAAAAACTTACATTCCTAAACATGTAACTATCGCCCCAATTATTAAATCCTTTTGGCCAAATCCATGGTTGATCCAGGCCTTCACGTTCATGCCGTTCCGTTCCCAAAATCAGATGGGTGACATTGAGAACGGCGTAGCCAATCACGTTCGCGATTACACCAAACAGAAAGAGAACAGCCGTCCAATGGCGACAACATCGCACATATTTTTGTTTTCGCATCAACTGACGGTGCATTTCGGCTGCGGCTTTCCTTTGGTCGTATTGGTAGGAGACGTTTTTCTGAAATTTTAAATGACCATGAATTTTAATATAAATATATGATAAAGACTAATTTTTTAAATTAAAAAATATAATTCTAACTGAAAAAACCTTGATTTTGAACCATAAAATTTCAAATGTGAAAGGTTTCCTGTTTTTGTAGATAATCTTTGGAACACAATTTTTTCTTACTGTAGTTTTTTGAAAACCTCACCTGATTCCATTTCTTACGATTCGGTAACATTTTGGGCATTTCATCTTGGACTGGAAATACACACGACACTTTTTGACGTAGCGGCTAAAATTGAAATTGTAAAGCGGTAGACACCGTACTTTTTTCAATTTTTGACCCAATCATGATTGCGCAATCAAAAAAATTTGATTTCAAATTTCAAAAAAATTTTACTTTTTAAGTAAAAACATTTTTAAAGGAATTTTTAATTTTAAAAATTTTTGTTTCGTTTTAACAGAATTTTAAATTAAAAGTTTTTGACTTACTCTTACTGATGACTTCTTGCGAATTTTGATCAGTTTGAAAATGAGTCTTGAGGACATAGAACTAGAAATATCTGAAAAGAATTTTTAAAAGTAGATTTTTAAAATTTAAATGCACTGTGCAAAACACAGTATGTAAAATTCTTATCAATAAAATTTTCACTTCGTTCGTTATACAGGTGTTTAAATGCATTGTTTAGTGTTGGCCGCGGAACTAAAGATTGTTCGTTATAGTACACTTGTTATGCGAGTTTGTTGTACGGGAGTTCCACTGTACACGATAATCTACCTTAGGCAGTGTTTTTCCGGACCGGCCCGGTCCGCGGACTGGTCCTGTCCGGACGGACTGAAACAAAAATTTTTGCGGACCGGACCGGACCCAAAAATTCAAAGTTTGGACCGGACCGGCCCCAAAAATCGCCCGATCGGACCGGTGAAAAACGCTCCGGACCGGTCCAGACAAAACACTGACCTTAGCCAGTTTAACCTTCAAAAAAATCAGCCAAAAACTCTATTTTAAATTTTCATTGCACCGTGCAAATACCTTTTTCATAGACATGAGCAACGGGCCGGGCCTGAGCAAAATCGAAAACGGGCGGGCTTGAAATCTAGGCCCGGCCCTCGGGCCAAGCCCAAAAAAAATTTTTTTTAATTTTTAAAAATTTTTTATTTCAATTCCCGTTTATGTTTTTCGATTTTATTGGATTCTATGATCCATAAATGACTTAAAAAAACAATTTAAAGCCAAATTTCCGTTTAGTTTTTAAGTTTTAAAATTTTTAAAATTTTTTAAAACGGGCCAGGCCGGACCTGACCAAAATCAAAAACGGGCCGGGCTTAAAAATTGGGCCCGGCCCGGCCCGTTGCTCATGGCTACTTTTTCATTACTCTGCTCGTCTCCTCAAATCGCACTCTTTCTCTCAAATCCCTAATTGATTGCACCGTGCAGACAACTTCTTCTTTACTCTGCCCGCCTCTTCAAGTCGTCAGACTCTATTTTTCTCTATCACTCAATTCCCTGATTGACTGCACTGTGCAGGCCAAACTTTTCTTGATTGCACTGTGCAAGCCAAATTTTAATCGTCAAAAGTCCTTTTTCGGATCGAAGAATTTTGGGCGAATTCTTGGCTCTGAAAACCCCAAAACAACCATTTCTGTTTTTCTCTAACCTTCTGTAATCACACTCAATGTCGCCACAATCTTTCGTTGTCGCAAGTCGCTTCTTCGTTCTTGTTTTCAGTTGCGCAATCACTGTTCGCGGTTCCTCTCTCACTCACACCACTCTCTTAACAGCGCGAGCTCGCTTTTCGCGGCTCTCTTTTTTGCACACACTCTTTTTTGTTTACTTCTAACGCTCACGTCTCTCAAAACGCGCGTTATTTCGTCAAACTGCTCGCACCGTGCATAACCTTAATCGCCAAACCGATTGCACCGTGCAAAACTTGTGTTCTGATTGTCGTCAAAATTGAAAATCGAGAAAATTTTGGGAAAACCGAAAGCCCAAAAATGTTGGTTTTGGCGGTAAAAGATCAATGCACCTCCTTTTGTCTTTGCACCGTGCAAAGGGATAATTTAGTTGATCGCACGGTGCAAATATCTTATGATAAAAAATTATTGTTTTTAGCGTTCTCCGACTTTCAAAAGTGTTTTCAGCGATAAACTATGATTTTATAAATTATAATACAAGGTGCAATCGAAAATTATAAAATCATTTTTAATTTTTTTCTTAAATTTTGTTACCTAATTTAAAAATAAACAAAAATTCATTGTAAAATCTTCAAGAACTGGTATTTCTAAACCTACAAACTTTGCAACCAATAGATTTGTATATGAAAATGTAGTTTTTAAACCTGTATCTTACTTACTTCGTCGTGAACGTGGACTTTTCCTTCTGGGAGATGCTCTGACACTTTGTTTTTTGCTTCTGTTCTTACTCCTGTTCTTTAACAAGGTCGCCAACTTCTGAATGGAATCTCTTTTATCTATAAACAAATTATGATAATATTCATGTTATCGTAGTATAATATATTACAGAAAAGCATAATAATATTAAAAGAAATAATGTAAAGTTAAAAAATAAAGCAATTTCTTACCATTTGAAGCCGAAGATGTTGGCTCGTTACGGTTTGTTCGTCGAGTATTATCATTTTCGTCAGTGCTCGATGGTGCAGACACTAAAGTTTTCGCTTATAAAAAATAAAAAAGATTTAAATTTTACAAATCATTTGGAAGAAATTAAACTTAAAAATCGCTTATCTCCTTGACCATTCAAATTTTAAATCTTTTTAACCAGCTCACGAACAAGTAAAGATAAAAACTCACGTCTGTGGGCCCGAACTTCACTATGACCTGGAGATATGTCTTTTTTCTCTTCGTCCGACGACATGACCAACCAAAATTTATAAAAAATGATAAGTTTTAAATTGTCATTATTTTTTTGCTTCGAAACATCAAGGTATATAATCAGACTTTATTTATTCAAAAGCATTACATTATACAATATAAAATATCAAAGGATGTAGGAAAAGAAGAAACAGTACTGAAATGTAACAAAGCAATTATAAGTTTAAAATAATTTTTAAAAAATGGAAATGTAAATTTTAGTATTATGATAAAATACAAAAGGAAAGAAAATGAGGAATGGCTACAGCAATATCAAAACAAAAAACATTTACTATTAAATAAATTAGAAAAAAACATTAAAATACTGTCTGTAAACAATTCCTGAGTGTTGGGGACGATATTCAACAACAAAAACATCATAAATGTTCTCATTTTCAGTCAGCACTTCAACACAACACGTTTCCTCAGTTCCACTAATTTCCGTATATTCTGGCAATTCAGTGGAAAGAAAACCAAACTTAAGGTAAACTTTTTTGACCACACAACTCCAATTGAGGCAACTGTTTGTCATTGTCTTCAAAATCAACCGTTACCATAATTGGTTCAACATTATCGTTTGTCACAGTGCATAAAGTTGATTTATCTACGTCAATTTTCGTATCGTACTCCGAAAAGTTAAAAAACAAGATTTCGGCACATTTTAGTTCAAGATACCTTAAATCTAGCTTTTTGGATACGCGTTGACAGTCTTCCACATCTTCAATAGTCATGTTTTCCATAATAAAAAGTTCACATTGAAGCTGAAAGTTTAAAATTTATTGTTGAAACCGCACAAGTCCTGTTTTCTAAACATAACACAAGTTTAATTTCAGAACTAGTAAACATATCAAGAAACGTACCTGCAACAGCTTGATTTCATAACGATGAGCAAGTACAAAAACCTTAGCGGCCAAAGAAACATCATCCACCTTCTTGCGGGTGTAGATAAACCTCAATATGCTTTCCACAGCTTTAGAATCCTCATCCAAAACTAGGTGATTCTCTTTTGCTTCCTTCGTGCCACAGCGGAACATCGTCTTAAACACTTCGGATTTCGTAGCCAACATGCATTTTGATACCTAAAAATGAAGTAAATGATCAGCAATGAGTAACTTACATAATATGTATGTTTGTGGGTTTTTACTTGGAAACCACTTAAAACTTCGTCGTTGAACAGCTCTTCGTTTTCAGAAACTTCTTTAATCTCGTCTACATGACTTGAAAAGATGAATAATATAACAAAGTACAAGAAAATTACGTGGTTTTAAGCACAAAAAATACATTTTTAATCCTATTACTTTAAACATGTTCAAAAACGAAATGAAAATGCAAATTCTTACTTTTCAGTTCCAAAATCTTATTGTGAATTTGCTGTTGACGTTTACGTGCAATTGCTACGTAACTCATTGCCTAAAATTTAATGAATATGCTATAGGACTTCATAGAATACGATTTTCATTAAAATATTAACGAATAAAAAAAAAGACAGTCCAATGCATCGCAATGAGACTAAAACTATAAACTATACTGTGTAAAAACTTTTATCACTTCAAAATAAAGATAAGTCAAAGGTTTTTTCATCGTTTCATTTACAAAAAACTTTTTTAATCCCGTTCACTTGGCCTGAAAAGAACACTATAACAGCTAATCTTATATAGGCAAGACCCTGCAAAACAAACGAACAAAAAAAGTTTTTCATCATATATGTCAAAAGTCCCCAAAAAGATAAACATTAAAGTTAACACATATAACTCTTTAAACTTACGTTTTCGACCGTACAAAAATATTCAGCGACTGCTGCAGCGGGATTTCATTAAATTTCATCACTTCCGTTCGTATAAATTTGTTTTGCAAGCTGCAAAGCAGGGCTGTGAAAAAAACATTTCGGACGCAGTCTGCGTAATTTTATTTTCGGAAAAATATTTTTTTTGTTTTTGTGAATCCTTTGTGAAGCTTTGAAGTCCTTTTCATTAAAGCTACTCAGATAATCTCTTCGACACAAGTTTCACCACTTTTATTTTTGTTGAAACATACAAAATGCAGCTTGATATCGATTATATTGGACTTGCTTATGCGGTTATCGTGTTATTGGGCGGTGTCGTTGGATTCATCAAAGCGGGAAGTGGAATGTCGTTGGCTGCTGGTGTGATAAGTGGAATTATAGCTGGATTTGGTGCATTGACGAGTAATTTCTACGTTTTGACAGGTAATTTAAATTTTTTGTTTACATTTCTTTGTTGTTTTAGGTGTTGCTGTTCTTCTTGGCGGAGTAATGGCTTTTCGATTCTATAAAAGCGGAAATTTTATGCCTCCTGGACTGATTGTGATTCTCAGGTATGTTTTGCAAATTTTGAGAGAAAGAATTTATTTAAAATCTGGTTTTATGCTTGTTATTGGGACAAAACTTCAGTTAGTTGGCGGGGTGAGAAAGTACAGAAAGATTTAGGTCCTCTATTCAAAGATTATGTTATTTGACAAAAATGTGATTGAAAAAATTACGAACTGATATTATTTTATTCATAAAATAAAAATTTAGTTTGATTTTACTTGGCCGATGTATATTCGCATTTGTTCAACAAGCTCGAGCTTCAAACTGATCTGTTTGAAGCTTCAAAAATGGTTTTATTCATCTTATCGTATTATTTTACTCTACTTCAATGTTATATCATCGTGATACGCATATTTTACTTCAAGAATGCTTAATTTTGACTTATGAGATTATCGGTATTTTTTAATTATTATTTTATTCAGAATGTATATATTGTTTTTGAACATAAATTTCGATGTTTTAAATGTTATGGTAGATGTTTAGAAGAATTGAAACAAAAGATATTAAAAAAGTAAACTTTATTGTAGTTAACAGGCAAACTAGGATCATTAAGGTTATTTACTAGAGTTTTTTTGATAATATAAAGCTATTATACACCTTGGCCCACCTAAAACAACCATAACTAACAAAAAACAATAAAATCTCATTAAACAACCACTAAAGCTAATACTAATCTCAAAGCTAACACACGATAGCTACTAGTATTGCAACAGTATACTACGGGTACTTTCGAACATGAATTTGAATACTGGTTTATATTTTAGGCAGACAAACCTTGTTTCCGCTTTTGTTGTTATAGCAACGCGTCCAAGAGGGGTGAAATTTGTACCCTCCGGGCAATTATTTTTTCGACTTTTTTCTACAAAATTTTTAAGTTTTACACGGTTTTTGGAGGCGATATTAGGGGGAGATATTTTGGTATGTTGCCATGGTAAATCGAGCGGTATTTGGGCTCTTGTCAATCCGGTTTCTAAGGCTAAAATAATATCTGAAATGAGGTTTTTTGGGGTGTTGATAATAGGAAAAAGAAAATAATATATGAATTATGATAAATTGACTTTTAAGGGCTTATAAAACTAGGTTTACAATTTTGATGTAAAAATTTGATAGTCAAAATAATGGTACATGTTATAGTACCTTAAAAACGTTTTTAATAATCAATTTAAAGAAGATAAAGCTAGTGTAAATACAGGAAACGAATAGAACTAACGTTTCACCTCTAGAGGACTTCATTTCCAATAGTTAATTAGCACTAATCCTCCCTAGATTTCGGATTTTATGGCTTCTAAAAACACGTAATAAGCACTTTTTTTAAGGTTTGTGTGTTTATTGAGTTTATTGACACATTGCCAATTTAAAAAATGTTACACTGTAATATAAAATGCGGGTACTATATCAATTTTATATTAAATACATTATTTTTATGAGTATTTTACGTGTCTTATAATGTTTTATATTATGTATTATGATATTTTATATTATGATACTCATTTCAGATTTCATTCGTTGATGACTTGCTTCAAAATACCACTATAACAATAGCATAACTTGTACTGAATGATTGGACTAATACTGACTTTACTCTTTGATCTAACAACACATTCTTATGGGCAATTGCGTGGGTGGATTCAGTAGGAGGGCCGAGAATCTACCATTTCGTCGAAAAAAGTAAGGACATTTTAAACTTTATATAAATTTTGTTGTTGCTAAATGTAGCCAGCCTATCAGTGGAAAAATTGTGTTATGTTTTCGTAAAAAAGTTTCTTCAAAATTTTTTTGATTAAGATTTATATTTTGATTTATCTTTAAAGCTTTTAAACAATTTTTTTGGTCTATTAGCTTGTTCAAATAATTCTGCGCTCCCTAATCTTGAAAATTGCTTCAAACAGGGACACAGAATTATTTGAAAAGTCTAATAAAAGCCTTTTTTATAACTGAAATTGAACAAACTACTAAAAAACGACACTTTTACTGATTGACAATATAGTACGAAAATCCCCGTACTTAGTATGTTTTATTATGCTATAAAACAAGTTGTAAAGAAGGGTGCATTAGAAAGAGATTAGTCAAAAGTCATGGGATTAAAGTAGTCAAAATAGTGGTCGATGCTGTCCGAATGCTGTAAATCAAAATCTTGATGAAGGAATGTTACAGTAAGACAATGAAAAATGAGAACTAAATTTTATATTTATTTAGGAACATAATTTATGTATTTACTTCTGGTTTGCTTCAGTGTAAAAAAGTCCTGTCTTTTTTTAACAGAGTCTTTTACGTAAAAAAGCGACAAAACTTTTTTAACCGTTTAATATCAAGAATAACTTTACTTATGGTATACCAAAGTAACATGTTTTATGGTATACTCAATCAGCGTTCCTAGTGGTATACTATAATATAAGTTTAACATAGAAAATCCTGACTTTAATTCCAAAATTTTCAGACCGTCCTCACCGATTACCATAGCCTTTTTGGGATTGGATGGGGCGGGTAAAACCACGATTCTCAAGGCACTACAGAATGGTGAGTAGTAAAGATTGTTACAAAGTGTTATTGATAGACCCATTCTACTTCGTATGTCCATAAACTGATAATACGGTAATCAAATTTACTATGGGATATAAAAATGTTCCAAAATGGGAAACCGATGGGAATGTTTTTGTTTTTACTGTTTTTAGGGTATTGGAAGGAAAATTATTGCGTTTTTTAAGGTTTGTAAAGAAAAGTTTTGATATTTTTGGCTTTGTAAAGAAAGTTTTGCCATTTTTGGTTTTGTAAAGAAAGTTCTTGCAATTTTTTGTTTTTGTAAAGAGAGTCCTTGCCATCTAATGTTTTTTAAAGAAAGTTCTTGTCATTTTTTGCTCTGTAAAGCAAATTTTTGCCATTTTTATTAAGGAAGTTTATGGAATTCAAAGTATTCTTTTGCTTACATTACTCTATATTGGCTTACAATCTCATACGATAGCCTCATTTACTGTAAAATGTATACTATAAAAAGTTTTTGTAAAAAAGTACGTCATACCAAAGTATAGTATGATCATAGTACTGACCGCTCAAAAAGTAATATATAGTACCCAGTACAAAGGTCAAAGTACTATAATACTGTGCAAACGTTTAACGACGCAAAGATTTGGGCCGGGGTTCATGCCCTGAAGGCGCAACTGCGCGTGAAATGCGCCAATCCCACTGGGGCCGATTTTAACGCCGTCTTGGGTTGAGAACAACCCATAAGGCACTTTTGCAAACACAAAAAACGCTAAATTGTCATACGGACAGAGTTTATAGTAATGGGGTGGTAAGGGCGTTGTTATTGGGGTCATGGAGACATTATGACGTTGTTATTGGGGAAATTATGACAGTTATGATAAAATTTGCATTTTTCTAGACATTAAAAAATAAGTACTCTATTTTTGAGATTTTTTTAGTTTTTGATTTTTTTAAAAATTTTCTTTTTGTGTTGAAATTAAAGATTTTTCGAATTTTTTTTTAAATTTGAAAGTAAAAAATATAATGTCTATAATTTTGATTGCTAAAAGCCTAAAATGAGGTTGTAGACCACCCAGAATTAAAAAATGGCTAAGCCCGCGAGAAAAAAACATGGTTTTTAATTGTTTTTTAAGGCAAAACGAAAGGCCAAGTTTAATATTTCAAGCGCTGACTCTTTTAATGGGAGCTTGTATTCTCCTAAATAAGAAATCACGTGCTGAGCTTAAATTTGGGTTAATTTAGGCTTGAGAAAATTTAAATTTTGAAGTAAGTTTGAGATTATTTTAAATGCGTCCAGTCGCTTTTTTCAATTTGATGTTGTTTATAGTAAAAGAAAGTTTTTGTGTTTTGTGCAGATCAAAATTTTTTTTGGTCATTTTTAATATCTAAAATAACATAATAATCCATTTTGACTCTATTTTACTCCTATCAACCCAATAATCAGCCCCAAAAGGAGAGGGAAAGAAAAGGAAAGAGAGAGGGTTGTGTACGCCCATAGCCCGTTGAACGCACGCCATCCCGTCCGATCTGGCAAGTTAAGCAACGGTGCGCTTGATTAGTACTTGGATCGGAGACGTCCTTGGAATCTCAAGTGGCGTACGCATTTTTGGCATTTTATGGTACTTTTTGGTACTATTTTCGGGTTTCGTGTTGGAAAGAGTTGTTTCGCACTGTTTTATGGATGCTTTAGTTTTAACTTTTTTAATATTAGGACAAGTTCTCATCTTTACAAGATTATGGTAATGGCAAACCAGACAACATTAAGATTGTAAACAAGAAAAGCACGCAAAAACAATAAAAAATACACTTGAGATCAATAAAGGTAAATTGTAACAAGTTTATGTTGTTATAAAGTAGTCGACGGTTTTTTATAGTGCTATAAAGTATCGTACTCGTTTTATTTGATCATAAAATTGTTATGTTGTTGTAATAAATTTTAACCCAAATGCACTTTTTTAAACAATTTGGGTTTATTTTTGGTCGAAAAGTTTTGAGAATGATTTTGATGGTTGAGTGTAGCCCTTAAAAAAGGTCCGACCTATTTATAGGCTTACCTTTAGCTTTATGAATCTATTCTATATACTTTTTGGCCGACATTTTCATCAAGTTGTTTTAAAGGTACATTGAAATTAAACATGATTGTAACAACATGGAAGTTTTATGACCAACCAAAACAAGTACGACGCTTTATAGCACTATAAAATGTTGTCAACTACTTTATAAAAACATAAAATTGTTACAATTTGGCTTTATTAACCCCAAAAGTGTTTTTTATCGTTTTTGCGTGCTTTTCTTGTTTACCACCTTAATGTTGGCTGGTTTCACATTACCCTAATCTTGTAAATATTCAATAATTAACACTTGTTTGAAGGGTTTCATATTGTACCAAAGTAAAGACTTTTTGCGGTTTTTGACGGATTTTAGATTTTGTGTTGGCAATTTTGGTCTTGTAAGTATTAAGTTATAATTTTAAAGAAATAGGAAGTTGCTGCATGAAATGTAAAGAATGTCATTGCATTTATAATAATTTTTTTATTTAATTTATTATACGATGGAACTGTACGATAAAAAGCAAATATCTCTACAAATTTCAAATGCAGCAGCAGAGATTATTCAATTTTGGAAAAATTGCAAAATTTTTTTACAGATTCGAAAAAAACTTTAAAAAATTAAAATTGACTACATTCCTTTTTACTTTTTTTCGTTGCAAATTAAAATTGTTGCTTGTACGAAAGTTATTTTTAGATTTCTTCCATTTTATAGTAATATGTATGCTCTCTTTGTATGGTAATATTAAGTATACCCTCTTGGTATAATGATAGTACTAATAAACACAGCCTATATATAATAGGGAGCTCTGCCATTTGTAATGAAACGTTGTATTAAAAGCGCTCTCTAATTTGTATCGTAACATGGTATGTAGAAGGCCTTGTTCTATATATATCGTTGCAGTGTAATAAAAAACCTTATGTTAGTGTAAAGACGTGCTATTTAGTATCATATCACTCTATATAGAAAGCTCTCTTATATGTGTATCATAAAATGCTAAATAGAAAGCCTTTCTTTATATCTATCATCACATTTTATACAAAAAGCTCTCTTATATATCTATCATAACATGTCATATGGCAGAATATACAAAAATTGGAGCTCCCAACGAAATAGTAAATAGTAATTATTTTCGACCGAAAAAAGAGTAATAAACTCGGCTTAATGAGGCCGCGAGCATCCCCCTCCCTCATTTTTATCTGTAATCATAGGACCATAATACTCATTATGAGCGAGCCGCAGATAGTAAACAGCATTGTTCGCGAAATTTTCAACCTTACGCCTTTCGGCCCAGCGGCGTTTGTATTCATATCTGAGTGAATAAATTTTGCTCTCAAACTGGTTTGCAAACCAACGTAGTGTTTTCGGGCCGCCCGATTTTGTATGCTAATGTGGTTACGGGACAAATAAAAGTTGATAACCACATGTAAATAGCACGTGGAGTTTAAAAAAGGGCTTTTTGATGGGTAGTTTGTATCGATATATAGTCGCAGGGGTGATTTGATTAGTTGTTTCTTTTGGAGAGGTAAGGAGTACTGTATTGTTTTGGTTCACGTTTTTTATTAGTACATAATACTGTAAATTATTATTTATTTGTTAGCGTAAACTTTAACTAATGTTATTGTGAGGTTGACAAAACTTTTAAAAAAATTAGTTTTACCCCTACCCTTACCTCTAGTCTAGTCTACTCTGCTCTAATCTATCTTACCATACTAGCCTACTTTACCCTACTCCTACCTGTACTTTTAACCCTATCCTTAAATTTTATTATACTTTGTCTTAATCTGCTTTACCCCGAAATCTCTGGCTTGGTCTTGTTCCAACTCTACTATAATTTTAAGTCAACCGCGTTGAACCTGCACGGTATAAATCAAGTGTAATTCAAAATCTACAAAAAATAAACCAAAAATATCAGGAGACATACCAAGTAGAGAATGGGTGCCTTAATGTCGCACGAGTTCGAGCGTTTCATGGCCGAAGAGCATTTCAGAAGACGCCAGCTCGGTTCACTCAACCATGGGCTTTTCACGCGGCGAGTTCGCCATCCGAAAGTCGCCGATCGTGGCCTACGATCTGGGCGGCGCTCCCAGGATCCGCGACATTTGGAAGATCTACTATGCCGAGGTAGGGTCTTTGGGTTGGTTGTTTGTTAGGGTAAACTTTCATTGATAATATATGTAGTCAAATTGGGAAAACGTTTGAAAAAACAGTTCCAAGATATACAGGTTGCCTTTAGGGACGTCGCTACAGATTTTAAGGCTAAAGGATTATGATTCTTTGATCAAAGAACTCGTGTTTTTGCCATTTTTAAGTGTTTCTTTGTTAATTTTCTGAGGCTTAGAGTCAAGAAGGTTAATATCTTCCACATTCTAGATATTCGCTGTGGTTTACGTAGTGGACAGTGCAGCACAGAGTCGGATGCAGGAGAATCGCGAAGTTCTGCGCCAGTTGCGCGGCAACCGATTATTACAGGTAAGGGAACGGTTTGAAAATGGCAGGTACGGTTAGAAAATGTTTACAATTGTTTTCATAACAAATTAAATCTAAATTTTTTAAAATTTGAAAAAATAAACTTATTACAAAACGCTGATTTTTATCTCAACGTATAACTTGTCACCTGCAGGCTGCGCCACGCAAATTTTGTTTGATTTTTTTGTTTTAGACAGACCAAAAAATAGCAAGAAATTTCTTTACGAAACAACAAACGGCAAGAACTTTGTTTAAAGATCAAAGAATGACAAAAACTTTCTTTACAAAACATAAAATGGCAAGAATTTTCTTTACAAAGCTTGAGATGGCAAAAACTTTATTCACAACTCAAAATCTTGCAGGGGAAGCCAATCTTATTCTTGTTGAACAAAAAAGACCTGCCCGACGCGGTGGAGGAGATGCAGTTCAGCGACGAAATGGACTTGCACAACATGGCCATCGAGAATCGAACGGACATTCGCGTGGAGCGAGTGTGCGCCGTGAAGGGAATTGGACGCGACATCGACCCGCTGATCACGGACGGCCTCTGCTGGTTGTTGGACCGGCTGCTCAGCCGCTACGACCAACTGAATCAGGCCGTCGAAGCCGCGGTGCAAGCGCTCAAAGAGCGCCAAGCGCAGGAACGCCTGAAACGCCAGCATCGGCTCGCAAATTTCAGGTAAGAGTTTAAGGTTTTGGCTTGAGTTTATTGGGTTTAGGGTCTATATTGGGCTTGTTAGGCTTAGACTTAGGCTTGGGCTTGGTAGACTAATGAAGCTTAGACTTTTTAAGCTTAGGATTAGAAGTAGGCTACCTTAACCTTAATTTTTTTATATAAAAAATGAAATTTTAAAAATGAATGTTTTAGTCGTCAAGAAGAGAATCAACCCGGTCCATCCGCAGCACCATCTCAAACAGCCCCAGATTCCGCTGAAACCGAGGCAGAAACGGCGGTCGAAAAAGGGACAAATCGACCGAACGGCGTTATTAAAAGTCAAATTTTGGACGTGAAAAATTTGATGTCAATAGTGCCGGAAGAGGAAAATGGCATAAGTCAAGATCCAAGCTTGGAAACGTATGTTGTCGAAGATGCGAATAGTAACCGAGGTATTGGACAAGATACGATGAGTAATCATGGTGTTGGACAAGATACGAACAGTAATCGAGATAAAGGGCAAGATAGGAACAGTAATCGAGTTACAACGCAAGATACTACATCTAGCCACAGTACAGGACAAGATACGACAAAGACAAAGCCCAGTAAACACAATGTTGAAAGTAAAGGACATTATAATAGATCCTATGTTGAGGATGAGACGATAACTAAAAATGAGAGCAGGTGTAAGAAGAATGTGGGAAAAGAGGCAAGTCTTGCAAATAATGTTGCAAAAGAAACAAAAATGGCTAGGAGAGAGGAAAATGAAGGCCAACGTGAAGTTAGTCACAGCCGATCAACAAAAAGCAGCTCAGGAAGGAGAACGGCCGATAAAGAAAGTCAATATGTGAAACCACCTAAATTTGGAAAAACTAGGGTAAGTAATTATTGGAAAATGTATTTTTTAATTGACTATGCTAGAAAAAGGTTTAGGTTGCTTTTTCAATTTTTAAAAGGCTTGTAGTTTCTGTATTTAAAATTTTTAAATATGTTTTATACCCTTCAAACCAAGAAATAACTCAAAAGAGAAAAACGAATAATTTTAAAAAATATTTTTTGAAATTTTAAGCATTTCAAACTTTTTACCAATAAAAACATCTCTTTTCAACCCTATTTTACTCCTATCAACCCACTAATCAGCCCCAAAAGGAAAGGGTTCGAAAAGGGAAGAGAGAGGGTCGTGTACGCCCATAGCCCTTTGAACGTACGCCATCCCGTCCGATCTGGCAAGTTAAGCAACGGTGCGCTTGATTAGTACTTGGATCGGAGACGTCCTTGGAATCTCAAGTGGCGTACGCATTTTTATCTTTTTATGTATATACTTAAGGTATTATTCTTGGGTTTGGAGGGTAGGATGTTCAGTATGGTGATTGTTTTTTTGTTAAATAAGGGCTTTTTTGATCAATTTTGTCATTTAATTGTGACGTTTAATAAAATGGCTTAAAAATAAATTTTAAAAAATAATTTTTAGGTAGCTCCAAATGGCTTCACAATGTCAGACCGTTCCCAATCTACAGTAACCTCAGTACCGTTTCATTTGTTCGAAATTGGGTCAGATGGCACTAGAAAGAAGGCAGATTCCCCATTAAGAAGGCTACAGTCAGCTCATTTTGGGAAAGATCACGTCTTTTTTAAAGCTGGTAAGTTGTATTTCAAAAGTGGCACATTAGACATCTACTAATGCGACATCAGAAGAATTTTTGACATGAAATAAGAATTTTTTTCAAAATTTGACGTGAACTTAAAAATTTATGTTAACCTTGGCAATAAACCTATACTTGTCGTTTCAGCGCCTAAACCTAAACTTTTGGTTCAGAACGAGCCGCTGTCGGCACGTTCAGACGTTGATCGTGATGGGCCTTCACGTTCTTCAATCTCTACCTCCAAACTGCTGAATACAAAACAAGAAAACCGGTCGTATTAACAAAAATTTTTGTTTTTCTAGGATTTTAAGTATTCCCCAAAACAGATTCATTAACTCTGTCGCATATGACTTAAAAAAAATGCGAAGGAATTAATGGACCTTGGGTAACTTGAATTTTTAACAGTTAATGGATTCCTAACATTTAGAGTCCATTTTTAGGCCGAGTAGGTATAAACGAGCTGTATGTTTTGCCAGTTGGTCAAAAAGTTTATAGAAATTCCTATAAAATAGGTATAATGTAGCGATAGATGACCAACTGTTATTTACACATAAAAAGCTGGCTTATATTTACTTTCCCTACATATTTTAAGACTAGGTCAATTATAATGTCATGTTTTGAAAAATGACATTATTTTTTGACCTACAATAAATCAACATTGATTCCCAGGAATAACAATGCTGCCATATTGTTTTAGGTAATAAAAACTGCCACTTATTAATCATTGTTTGTTAACTTATAATTACTAGTATAAATAGCTCATTTTTAATCGGTTTCTTCAGTAAAATTCTTATAATTTTACAATATCAGCATTAAAATTCGCGAAGACTTTGTTTTTATATTTTATTTCAACAAAAAGGGAAACAATAACAAGAAAAATGAAGAAATGTTATCCATGAGGTGGTTAGAGCGTTTAGTCGAAGAGACCGAAGCCCATGTCATCGTCGGATTCTTCCTTGGCCTCTTCCTTCTTCTTCTTGCCTTCATCCTTCTTCTCCTCGGCTGGGGCAGCTCCACCGGCAGCTGGAGCAGCGGCGGCTGGGGCAGATCCGGCACCGGATGAGATGTTGCTGATCAATTCCTGTAAAAGAGTAACATTAGGCATAGAAATAGATTAAAATGTCAAAAATGACAAAATATAAAAAAAATGAACTAATTTCTATATTGAAAAATGTACCAATGTCAACAACTTTCTTCAGCATTAAATCCATCTGAAGCCAGTTAACAAACAAAGGTCTACTTTAATATTGCACAGTTTAGGAAACCCTTAAGCCGAAAATCAACAATGGGTATGGAACATGTGCAACATAAACCCATTTAAGCTATATTCATCCACCCCCTTTTCCAGAAATCCTAAGCAAAGCAAGACAAAACATCAAAAACTTACGTTAACATCAACTCCTTCGAGAGCCTTGGCGTAGAGTCCAGGCCAGAAAGGCTCAATGGTGACTCCAGCGGCGGCGACGAGCTTCTGGAGCTTGTCAGCGGAGACTTGGATACCTTCATCTTGAAGGATCAGGGCAGAGTAGATGATGGCGAGTTCTTGGGTGGAAGCCATGTCTTATTGACGCAAGTTGCTTAAAGAAGCCTTAGCCAGTTAATGGAACTAGAGTCTCTAAAAATACAACAAAATTTTGCCTTAAAGCTGTAATTATACCATTTTACATCATCTTCCCCGCAAAAACCGACAAAAAAACGCAATTAAACCTAACGTAAGATATATTTTTTTAAAAATAAAATCAAAACGTCTTTTAAAAAATTAATAATAAAAAAATAAACCTCGAAAATATCAAATAGCACTTGTAATTTACAATAAATCGTATTTTACTCCCTTCTAAAAAATCTTTCCTAAAATATTTTGGCATTCCGTAGCGAATCATGCGTTTCGTTCTTAGTCCCGACACGAAAGGCGCGATTACGGTGCTCGCCGTTGGGAAATTTTTTCCGAGGTAAAATATTTTCTTTTTCCAAAGAAATAACAATTTTTCGGTTTTTACTTGTGTTTTAGGTTTATTTTAACGATATTATATGGTTTTAAGATTAATATTGTTGAAAGTTATGTTGTTATTGTGTTTGTTTGGCTTAATACGTGAAATTCGCGAAAATTTATCAACTTTTTTAAAAGTTTTAAATATGAATTTTGAATATTTTTAGGGAAAAAATGACCACTTCAAAGAGAAAGACGAGAAAGCTTCGTGGTCACGTCAGTCACGGTCATGGACGTGTTGGCAAGCACAGAAAGCATCCCGGAGGTCGCGGTAACGCTGGTGGCATGCACCATCACAGAATCAACTTTGACAAATACCATCCTGGTTACTTCGGAAAGGTATGTTTATTTCTTGGTTTTTTTGATGTTTAGGTAACTTTTTAGTTTGATTATGTCGCTATAAGGTTAGATTTTAAGCTTAAAATAGTTAAAAACGACGAAGGTTATGTTGTTCATGGCGAGGAACATTTTGTCAGGTGTTTCTCTGATTGAAGCGCTGAAAGTTTGGTTTCTGGATGTTTATTTTAGCTAGAAGTTATAAGGTGCTTTTATTTTGCGGTTTTATTCTGTGGGCTTATTAGAAACAATATTTTTATTATTTTGAGATTGAGGTAGACAACAAACTTAGATTTTCGTGTTATGCACTCTTCTCGTTTCAATGGGACTAGTATAATGTCTTTATTTGTTCTATATGAGTGCAAGATCATACTGAAAATCCATTTTTCGCTAACCCCATTTGCTCCTTCAATTGGTGTTTGATAGTAGACTTGGATACACCTCTAACGTAAAACAATGTTAAAAATAGTTTAATTAATTGGTATATAATGTTAGGTATCTAGTAGAACAGAAGATGTGAATTGTGAATGTTTTGTGAAGTTAATTCACTTATTTTCAGGTCGGTATGAGAAACTTCCATCTCCACAAGAACCACTACTTCAGCCCAACCATCAACGTTGAGAAGCTGTGGTCATTGGTATCAGAAGAGACTCGTGAGAAATACGCTAAAGACACAAAGAAGGCCGCAGTCATCGACGCTACCCGTGCCGGTTACTTCAAGGTTTTGGGCAAAGGAAAGTTTCCCAACATCCCAGTCATCGTCAAAGCTAAGGAATTCTCTCACGAAGCTGAGCGCAAGATTAAGAAGGCCGGCGGAGCCTGTGTCCTAGTGGCCTAATTAATCCTCCCGCAACTTGTTTATTGTTGAATTTTTCTATGGATAAACTGTTTGATAAGCTAATATTTGTTGGATGTGGTTTCATTGTTCGCATGGTTGAATTACCATTGAATATATCTGGTTTATTATAGCTTCTCTCGGAGGTAATATCTTGTAATCTGTTTATTGTGTTTGCTTTAGACTCAGGTCCCGCTTCATCGGCTAAGGCTTTTTTAAGCAACTTGCGTCAATAATAAGAAATGGCCTCCACCCAGGAACTCGCTATCATCTACTCTGCCCTGATCCTTCAAGATGAAGGTATCCAAATCTCCGCTGACAAGCTCCAGAAGCTCGTCGCTGCCGCTGGAGTTACCATCGAGCCTTTCTGGCCTGGACTGTACGCCAAGGCTCTCGAAGGAGTTGATGTTAATGTAGGTTTTTGATGTTTTGTTTTGCTTAGGATTTCTTTGTAAGAGTTAAATGAATATTGTTTAAGTGGGTTTGTATTGCACACGTTCCATACCCATTGTTGATTTTCGGCTTAAGGGTTTCCTAAACTGTGCAATATTAAAGTAGACCTTTGTTTGTTAACTGGCTTCAGATGGCTTTGATGCTGAAGAAAGTTGTTGACATTGGTACATTTTTAAATTTAGAATTATTTTAATTCGTCTTATATGACGATTTTAACTTTTTACAATATCTAATTTTACTCTTTACAGGAATTGATCAGCAACATCTCATCTGGTGCCGGATCTGCCCCAGCCGCCGCTGCTCCAGCTGCCGGTGGAGCTGCCCCAGCCGAGGAGAAGAAGGATGAAGGCAAGAAGAAGAAGGAAGAGGCCAAGGAAGAATCCGACGATGACATGGGCTTCGGTCTCTTCGACTAAATTCTTTGATCATCTTATTGGGTTATTTAAAACCGCAGTTTTTATTTTTTTGTTGATTATTGAAGTTACTGTTTTATTTCAATTTTTATTTTTGTAAACTATTGAGTGTGATATTGTTACGTAAATTTTTATCGGAATTCGAATTGTGTTTGAGTTCCGTATATTTCTAGGTAACAAAAATTTAAGCGGTTGGTGTAAAATACACGTAAATTTTTGATTATCAAGTCACGGGCGTTTTGACGCAAAAGAACGATTATCGCTAAGAAATTCATTTTATCGGGCCAGGGCGCAAGTCGGAAAAATTATAAGGGAAAATGACATTTTCGAATATACTGAAAAAGTTAACACCGAAAAAAACAAAGTAATAGAGTATTTAAAAATTAGATTTTATACTCTTTCAGATACTATTTAGCTCTATGTCAAAACAATGTTTAGTTTTTTCACAATTTGCATTCAAAGTCCGCATATTAGGGCAAAATACAGTGAAAACTGACATTTTCGAATATACTGAAAAAGTTAACACCGAAAAAAACAAAATAAAACCTTATTTCAGTACAACTTTTTATGCTGTTTTAGATACTATTTAGCTCTATATCAAAATAATGTTTCGTTTTCTCACAATTTGCATTCAAAGTCTGCATGTTGGGTAAAAATACAGTGAAAACCGACATTTTAGAATATAGTAGAAAAGTTAACACCGCAAAAAACAAAGTAATAAAGTATTCAAAAACTAGAGTTTATGTTCTCTCAGATACTATTTAGCTCTATGTCAAAATCATGTTTCGTTTTTCCACAATTTGCATTTAAAGTTTGTACATTGGGCAAAAATACAGTAAAAGCTGACATTTTAAAGTATAGTGAAAAAGTTAACACCGCTAAATACAAAATAAAACAGCATTTTAATACTACATTTTATGCTCTTCCAGATAATATTTAGTTCTATGCCAAAATAATGTTTCGTTATCTCACAATTTGCATTCAAAGTCCGCATATTGGGCAAAAATAAAGTGAAACATGACATTTTCGAATATAGTGAAAAAGTTAACATACCAAAAAACAAATTAAAACCATATTTCAGTATTACTTTTTATGCTCTTTTAGGCACTATTTAGCCCTGTGCCAAACTAATGTTTCGTTATCTCAAAATTTGCATTCGAAGTCCGAATGTTGGGCAAAAATAAAGTAAAACATGACATTTTCAAATATACTAAAAAATTTGAAATGGAATTAAAAAAAGTGATAGAATATTTAAAAGCTACATTGTATTCTCTTACCGGCACTATTTAAAACTATGCAAAAATAATGTTTCATTTTCTCACAATTGGCATTCAAAGAACACCCATTGAGGAAAAATATAGTGAAAAGTGCATTTTTACCCTACCTCACATACCATACCCTATCCTACCTACTATGTTTTGCCATACCGTATTATACCATACCATATTAAATTGTATGTTGTCTACTATTCTCTACTTTACCTACCATACCATATTCTATAATACCTACCGTACAATACTCTACCGTATCCTGTACTACCATACCTTATATTTACATACCCTACACTATCTTATATACCATACTATACTAAATCATACCATACCAAACCCTATACTACCTAATATACCATAGTATCACATACCATACCTACCTTATCCTATCTGCCAAACAATATCATATCTTACCTTGTCTAATCTTATATTTACGACAGTACCGTATACTATGATACTTACTCATTGGTAAGAGTTCAGTGCAGGTGAGTAAGGCAAGATAAGCGGTTTAGTATAGACAAATATGTCATGGTATGGTATGGTAGATATGTTACTGTAGGTAGTGTAGGGTATGTTAGAGTATAATATGATATAGTATTTTTTGGTGTAGTATGGTAGAGTATGGTAGGGTATGGAATGTTAGTTAGTATAGGGTATGGTAGTACAGAATACGGTAGGGTATGATGTAATAGGTAGAATAAAATATGACATGGTATAGTAGGTAGGCAAGGTAGAGAATAGATAACATACGATATAATGCTATAGTATAGCATAGTAATTAGAATAGAGTATGGTATGCCAAGTAGGATGAGTACGATATAATAGGTAGCATAGGGTATGTATGTTAGGGTTTGTTCCGGAGGTGTCACTGTTCCGGAAAGTGACCCAAACCTTTTAAAGATTGTGAAGAAGTTAACATGGCATTAAAAAAAGTAATACTGTGTTCAAAAACTAAATTTTATGTTTGTTCAGATAATGTTTAGCGCGGTGCAAATATAATGTTTCAATTACTTAATAACTGCGTTTGAAGCTAACCTGCTACCTGCTATCCATTTCCAGCCTAATCGATAGAAAATTGGCATTTTTAACTATTTTGCAAAAATTAATATTGTCTAAAGCCGTGTAAAGCAGACCTATATCTACGTTTTGTTCCTTCTCTTATTAAAAATCCTTAAATACAAGTGCCAGTTCAAAAAAATATGCAAACAAAGTTTAAAGAAATACATCAAAATTCGCTAATAGGATTCCGCTTAAAAACCCCCGATATAGCGAAATTTTTTAAATCCCAAGAAAAAATGCTTCATTAATTCTTGACTAAAAAATCCGGATATAATGAAATTCCCTACAGCTAACAGTTCTTTAATCCCATTGCAAATTGCAATTCGTTAAGTTTTAAAAAGTTGCCATCAACAACAAATTGTTTGTAAACAAACCTATAATATTTTCATTTTATGTCTTTTATATTATTTTTGTTTTATTATAAAAAGTTCATAAGCTGCCTGTGAATAATAGAGCAAACGTTCCTTCGTATAACTTGTCACTCGCGGGACACAGCGGCCCGCCGCGAAAAAAAGTCTAACGATAATGGAAAAACACCCGTGCTAATACGATAAAAAATACGTTACAAAGTTTTGACTTTGAGTCCCAACACGAAAACAAAATGTTAAACAGAATGCCAAAGTGGGAATTTTTATTTGTTATTTTTGGGAAAATGATGCAAAGGTGGATGTTTTGACCAAAGTATACGCTATAAAGCATGTATTTTACGTCGAGAGTAGTATTTATATGTTATTCGCGTTATTTAAATGTTTATAGACTCTGTTTTTCTATAACTTTATAGTAGTGCTTGCCGTGTTTTAGGTTTAACAATGTCGGCTGCTGCGCAGAAGATTCTGAGCCGTTTGGGGCAAGTTGGTGTTGGATTGGCTGTTGCTGGTGGTGTAGCTCAATCTGCTCTTTATAACGGTAATTTGCTTGTTTTTTATTGGTTTTTAGATGTTGAAAAGGTTTGTATTGTAAAATTTGTGTAAATTAACATGACAGCTTTATTTAACAATACAAGGCTTTTATATTGATGGTCTTAGCTATAGCTTTGGTATTTCAGTGGATGGAGGTCAGCGTGCCGTAATTTTTGACAGATTTGCTGGAGTTAAGGATTATGCCGTCGGAGAAGGTACTCATTTTTTGGTGCCATGGGTACAGCGGCCTATAGTCTTCGATATTCGTTCAACACCTAGAGTAGTTACGACTATTACTGGTAGCAAAGGTAAGAAGCTTAAATTTTATTTAAACTTGATATTTTTTTGATTTATAGGTATAAAGATATACCAAGTCTTAGAAGGTGAATATAATTTCTAATATTTTAAAATTTGGATTAGTTTTTGTTAAAAATATTTTAATATGTAAGTCGATGCTTTTAGATTTACAAAACGTATCTATTACACTTCGTATCTTGCACAGGCCGGAGCCATCAGCTTTGCCAAACATCTACCTCAACATTGGCCAGGATTACGCCGAAAGAGTTCTTCCTTCTATCACAAATGAAGTCCTAAAGGCTGTAGTGGTATGTATCGCTATCTTTGAGTTTTCATACTGTTTTAGACATTATATTATTTCGTTTTTACATTTGTTAGAATTTATGTTTTTATTTGATTTTTAAGGTTTTTCATTGGTTTTTGTAGATTATAAGTTAATATTGAAAATAATTTGTTGAATATATTGTTTTCAGGCTCAATACGACGCTCATGAGATGATTACACAAAGAGAAAGTGTGTCACAACGTGTTTCAATTGAATTGGCCAAGAGAGCTCAACAGTTCGGTCTCTTGTTGGATGATATCTCCATTGTAAGTTAATTTGTTCTTTTATTTAACCTTTAGGCTTAAAAATAAAGGAACTGTATCAACATTGTTAAGTTACATGCCTAAAAACAAAAAAGGGTAAAAAGTTTTCCTTTATGGCATTTTATGACAAAAAGGCAATTTAGGGTTAATATAGTTTGGGATGATGTTACCGAGAAGCTCTGAGATCAAAACGAAAGGTTGTTGACAGAACAATGTTGTTTTAAGATAACTTTTCTAATAAGTTTTGTTCTGTGACACAGCGATTGACTGACCAACTAAAATATTAATAATAATAATTTTTTATGCTTTTTACAGCTGCTTGGCTATTCCTGCATCTTAAGAGAAAAATTTTTCAGACTCACTTATCTTTCGGCCGCGAGTTCACGGAAGCCGTCGAAATGAAGCAAGTAGCTCAACAAGAAGCTGAGAAAGCTCGCTACCTGGTAGAAAAGGCCGAACAGATGAAGAAGGCCGCTATCACAACAGCTGAAGGTGACGCTCAAGCTTCAAAACTGTTGGCTAAAGCCTTTGCCGACGCTGGTGATGGTTTGATTGAGCTGAGAAAGATCGAAGCAGCTGAAGAGATCGCTGAGGTCTTGGCCAAGTCGAAGAATGTCGCTTATTTGCCAAAGGAGATGAACGCTTTGTTGGGACTTCCTCAATAATTTTATCGTATTTTATGATTACTAAAATGGGTTATGTTAACATAGGCATTCTTCCTCATTTTTGAAACTTTTTCACGATTTTTTTACAAAATATAACTATATTGTAAGTTAAAGATGATCTTTCAAGTTTCAAGCCAATGTTAACAATGCCTGCCCTTTCGTGGTCATAAAACAGTATTTTGAATTAGTTTTGGCATCAATGTGCCATATCTCTTTAGGTTTATTGTTGATGTTTATTTTTACATTTTTCATAAGTGTAAAACATTTTCACATTTGTTTTGTTATTTTGATAAACTCGAAACTATATTCGGATATTAGTCATGATTTGGTTTTGATCCGAATGGTTATATTGATGTAGATGGATGGTTTGGTTTAATTTTAGGTAATATAAGTAAAGTTCATGCCTATATTAAGGTTAAGAAGTTTATAATGTTTAAAATAGTTTTTTAAGCAAAAGATTGGTTCTTGTAAAATACGTTTGTTTCAACATTTATTTTCCAGGGTTAGAACGTCGCAAAATGACGTTGACTTGTCGCTTTTACGCTAATGAGTTCCCAGAAGTTGAGGATACGGTGATGGTGAAGGTACACAAGATCGCCGAGATGGGTGCCTATGTCACGCTGTCCGAGTACAACAACAAGGACGGTATGATCTTGTTGTCCGAGTTGTCGAGAAGACGTATTCGATCAGTGAACAAGCTGATCAGAGTCGGCCGATCGGAATGTGTCGTTGTTATTCGTGTGGACAAGGAAAAGGGTATGGAAATACACTATATTGCAGTATATATATCACTATATCTTAATTACTTTCTTCCAGGGACGTCGTTTGGGGGGGGGGTGGTTCGGTTCGGGGTGACTCCCTCCCCCCCAGAGAAAAACCGTAGCGATGTCCCTGCTTGCTACTACTATAAATAACAATTATTACCATCTTAAATTGTTTCGTAAAACACTCTTTTAGGTTACATTGATCTCTCGAAACGACGTGTATACTCCAAGGATATGCTGCAGTGTGAGGAACGATTCGCTCGTGCCAAAGCCATCAACAGCATTCTCAGACATATCGCCGAACAGTTGGGCTACACCACCAACGAGGAGTTGGAACAGCTCTACGAGAAAACAGCTTGGTATTTTGATAGAAAGTTGAAGAAAAAGGCGGCTGCTCATGACATATTCAAGAAGGCCTTAACGTAAGCTTTTTTATTTGGTTTTTGTGGTTTTAGGCTTCAGAAAGGGGTGATGGTGAAGGTAATCATAAGAAAGATGACGAAGAAGTCAGAGGGAAAAGAAAAGGTTAAATTTTTAACTTTTCAGTTCTATTTTGGGGTAAAACATGAATTGCAAGCTATTTTTAATAGATATTTAGTATAATATCTTGATTTATTTAAAAAATACATCATATTAAGAATGGAAAATCAAAAATTAGCTATATTTTAACTTTCTTCTTCCAACTTCTGCAAAAATACATTTTAAAAGTCATCTACTACAATACCACTCTTTTCAGCGACTCCACCGTCTTTGACGAATGCGATATCACTCCAGAAGTTAAGGAGAAGCTTTTGGAAGAAATTCGCAAAAAGTTGATGCCTCAGGCCCAGAAAATTCGCTCGGACATTGAAATTAGTTGCTTTGCGTACGACGGGATTGAAGCCGTTAAGAATGCGTTGTTAGAGGGCAAAAAATGCTCTACGGAACAAATGCCAATCAAGGTAAGAGAGCTAGTAGCAAGGAACGTTTCTTGAGGTCACGGTTTAGCTAATTGTAGAATTTTTTTCTTGACTTAGGCGTATTTCAAAGTTAAAAATGAAGTTTTTAAAATAACAACATATTGCCAATCTCTATTGTAATCAAGATAAAACACTTTAGTTTTATCAAAATAAATGCCGAATTTCAGATCAACTTGATTGCTGCCCCACTCTTCGTAGTAACGGCCCAAACCACGGACAAGGAAGAAGGCCTAGAAGCCGTGAACCACGCCCTGGACAAGATCAAGCAGTCGATCGAGGCGTCGGGCGGCTCCTTCAAGTTCGTCATGGCTCCGAAGGTGGTGACGGACATGGACGAGGAGGAGATCAAGAAGCGCATGGAACTGTTGGGGTTGAACGAAGAGAACGCCTCCGATTCGGGTTCGGAAGCCAGCGACGACGAAGGCCTCGTAGCACCGAAAGGTCTGGATCAGGAAGCCGACGCCTCCGAAGCCATTCACGGAAAACGACCGGTCGAAGCGGCCGAAGACTCGGATTAGGTGCAAGTTTGCGAAGGCATGCCGTACCTGAACATAATAGTCTCCTCCGTTTTCCAAATGAATATTTATCCAATTTCGAGGTTTTGAGACTGTTCGAGGATGTTTTGGGCCGTTTCTGCTAATTTTAAGGCTTTTTTTGATCATTCTACGGCTATATCAAGGTATCTATCAACTGTTTTTGATCATTTTCGGTTGGGTTTTGAATCTTTTGGTTTTTAATTTTAGTAAGACGTCTTGGATATCAATTGACTGTTTTTCGTTACCTAAAGGATGGTTTTTGATACCTAGCAACTGTTTATGTTCATTCTAAGGCTGATTTTGATATCCATATACTGTTTTTTCATTATCTAAAGATAGTTTTTGATTATTTCTAGACTAATTTTGGATATAAGCCTCAAACTTTCTAACTAGTACTTGAATTATGAGTCAAATGTTGTCCCGATTCACTGGTTAAACATTTTGAAAGTTACGTTACAGTAATTTTTGTGGTTTTTAAAACTATTTTGGGGTCCCGGCTGCCAGTTCTTCCTCCTCTTCCGCCCTATTTTGTGTCCTACTGTAATTCCAAAAAAAAGTTGTTGACTAATTTAAATGCGATAAAGTTGAAAATGTGTGCTGGTGATTCATTTATAGGTTAACGGGTAGATATGGCTTTACAAGGGAAAGGCAAATAGGGGGGTATCGGACCTAGAACTGAGACCTATATCATGTGAAAGAGCATCAAAAGTTATGTAAAAATTAAAATTTTTAGCGGCCCAAAGTCATATACTAAAAGGTTACAGTAATACAAAGTTTTTTCTATGAGACTTCTTATAAGGGAACACCCTGAAAGAAAGCACCGAAAAGGACAGCGAAACGCTGTGTGTTTCTGTGGCCCATTGGGTTGAAACCTAGCCTTATATTCAAAAGGCTGAGGGTTCGAGTCCCACTGCGGTCGCACTTTTGCCATCGCTTTGTTTTGATGCCTGCAGGTTTGAAAAAAAAGTTACAATATTTTTATTTTGTTAAAAAAGGGTCAATAAGCGTTTTCAAAGGTTTTTTATTTATTTTTTAGTCAATTTGGATGGCAAATCAGGCAGTCCAAATATATTCGTTTTACTATACAATATTAAACTTTAAAAATATCTTAACGCTTCAAGTTTAATTAAAAATAAGTTTTTTTAATCCAAAAGCACATTAAATTCCTTTTAAAAGCTTATTTTAAAGTTTCAGAACAAAACACGACAAAAATTTTTTAAACGTTTTTTCCAAAAAAATCCCCTTTGAAATATTGAAAAGTAGTAAACTTTGAATTACTGTAGCTTTTTAGCATATGACTTTGGGCCGCTAAAAATTTTATTAGGTTGTCCGAAAAGTTCTGCAATATTTATTCACTTTTGAACTAACAATAATAACAATATAATTAACAACTACAATCAATCAAAGTAATTACCGTCTGAATCAATACAGTCTTGCCAACGATTTACAAGCGTTTTTATTCCACGATTGTAGAATTCCGGGTTTCTGGAGTTGATGAAGTTCTTGAAGGCATTCTTGGCATCGTCTGGAGTTTTGAAGATTCTTCCATTAAGAAACGAAGACAAGTGTTTAAAAAGGTGAAAGTCCGTTGGAGCCAAGTCTGGAGAATAAGGAGGGTGCTCCAAGACTTCGTATCCCAGTTCCCTGAATTTTGCCACGGTCTTCTTTGCAGCATGGGGCCGTGCGTTATCCTGCAGAATGATCGGACCCTCCTTCTGACCATTGTTGGAAGATTGTGTCGCAGTTTGTCAATCTGGGCACAGTAGGTGTCGGCCGTAATACTTTGGCCAGGTTTCATGAAATCGTACTGGATCACTCCAGAGCTACACCACCAGACAGTCACCATAAGCTTCTTTTCGTGCAATTCTGGCTTCGGAACGTGCTTAGGAGCTTCTCCACGCTTACACCAACTTGTAGATCTTCTAGTATTGTTAAACGAGATCCACTTCTCGTCAATAGTTACAATTCGATCCAAGAATTCTTCGTTTTTGCAGCGTTGCAGAAGCTTTTCGGAAGCACATCGTCTCTTGGCTTTTTGCAGATCAGTCAAACTGTGAGGCACCCATTTGTCCAACTTTTTGACCATACCCATTGCCTTCAAATGATCACCAATGGTACTTTTTCCACAGTTTATTAACTCTTCTAACTCCTGGATTGTAATATGTGGGTCATCTTCAATCTTGCGCCTCAGGGCATCTTTGTCAAGTTTGCTGGGTCTTCCTGCACGTGGTTTGTCTTCAAGCTTCTCATCGTCCACACGAAACTTTGCGAACCATCTGGTCACCGTAGAATAACTCACAACATTCTTACCCTCATTTTCGTTTATGATTCTGAAGGTTTCTGCCGCAGTATTTCCGCGTTTGAATTCATTCCATATAATCACGCGCAGGCGAGATTTCTCCATTTTTTTCTAATACCTAAAACAATACAAAAAAATGAAATTAAGTTATGTAACTTACCTTTTTGAATAATTTAGGTAACAAACAAACAAACAAAAAAAGAATTTTTTCTTTCCGTCAAGAAATAAATTTTCCTGATTTTTCAAAGTTTACCTACTCAAATATTGCAGAACTTTCCGGACAACCTAATAATTTTTACATAACTTTTCACGCTCTTTCACATGATATAGGACTCAGTTCTAGGTCCGATACCCCCTATTTGCCTTTCCCTTGTTAGGGGTAAGGATGGTATTCAGCCTTGGCAAAGGCAGACTTTTAGGATCGGTATTAAATTTTTAGACCTTTGGCTGAAAACCCTCAGGGTCATATTTTAAGGCTTCTAAATCCTAATCGCCCGTAAATGTTTGAAAATGCGGTAAAGCACATACTAGAATATCCTACAAAGGGTTTCTAGCAATATATTGGTCAGAAAGTTTGAAGAATAGTTACAGGAAAAGAAATATATTGGTCGAAAAGTTCGTAAGAAATTTTCTAGAGGTCTGTTGGTCAAAAAGTTTCTAGAACATGTTTGAAAAGTTAATTTTGATAATAATTTTTGAAAAACTGACAACTTAAAGTTGGATTTTAGCACTTTATTTTACAAAACATTAAAATCCTTAAAACATCAAAATTTAAAAAGGTATGTGAATTACAACAAATTTCAAATTTCGTCAGTCAAAGGCACTTTCAGTCAAAAAACGACAATATTAATAGATTTTCCCGTTAACTTTTGACCAAATGAGAGAACATTAATAAACCTCAATTAAACTTAACCTCCAAGGTGCATCATGTTAACAAAAATGATCCACCAACTTTAATGCATTCCCTGCAGACAATGTAACCCAATTTCATGATAAGAAAATGTTAATAAACTAAACGGCCAATAGATTTTCAAAGAAACCAAAAAATGACCTTAAACAATATAGTCAAGTGTTGCAAAATGAGCCAATTACCAGCATTTAACTAGCCAAAAAGACAAAAACCATTAATAAAAACGACCAATCTAAAACAATGTATTATTAGAAAGACCATACACAGTAAAACAATATCATTTTGACCAATTATAGCTCATTCAAACTTCAAGTACAACATCCTCAAACAATCTCATCAATATGGTCATTTGTGTAAGCACTGCACGCGTTGATGAACTTCTTGTTGGCCAATTCGAAGGCCATAATCGTCCTCTCTTTGATGTTTGTCGGATTCAAGGTTTTGATCAGAGTGTCGATACATTCTGTATCCAGACCCTTCACCTGATAGTACTGTGCGATGTATACGAGCTTGTCCACTTGCATGTCGTAGTTCGAGATCTTGCCACTGTAGATGAACTTCAGGAGCAGCTCGAGGGTTTCTGGCTCGAAATCTTCGCTAATCTTGACGATACCTGTTTGGGACTCGGCCATGTTCATATTGAACATGGCATCGAAGGTGCGGGAGACGGCACTTAGCAGCAGCTTTGAGGCCTGGAAATTGTTGTTGTTCATGGATAATATAGCTTTTTGTGAGCTTTTTTCGACGAACCCTTCCACTATTTTCACCTTTAACAAGCCCCTTGTTATTCCAATCATTAACCTCAACTTACATAGTAGACCTTGTCTTTACAATGCAATTCCACATCACTGTACTGTTTCTTGTTGAAATACTCGGAGAAATCAAGTTTGAGCCGCTTTTCGGTTGGATCATCCATAACTGCTTCGGCCTGCCTCTTCTTGGGTTCTGCCTTCTTTTCCTTCTTCGAATTCAGGATACGAAACTCGGCTTTAGCATAGATTGGAGCTTGACAGACGGCTTCAGGGATGTCGACTGTCAAATGCTCCTTATCTTTGTGGTTTACGTTGAAATAATCTGCAATTTTTTGGTAAAACTTTTTAAAATAATAGATAGGTCACGGTAAAATTACTGTAAGTTCCGAATTTTTGAAAACTTAAAAATCCTGTTTAAAAAGCTAGTTAGACAAAAGAACGATCTACAATCTCCCCAAATTTCAAATGTCTATCATTATTTTGCCCAAAGCTATACTTAAAAGTGTAATCAACTAAAACAAAATTCATCTACTATAACATTCAAAACCTCACCAGAAGACCACAATTCCTCATCAGTCGTGGCACTCAACACTGAAGCATGCCAACTAACTGGAGTGGCTTGTTGTTTTCTTTTCTTGTGGGTAATCAACCGCAATCTGATCTGTTTGGCCGGTCGATTACCGACAAAGTCCACATAGTAATGAGTGATCTTTATTCTGTCCTTGATGAAATTCTCTCCAACAGCCATCCGCTTCGAGGATATGTACTCTTCAACATTTTCAACTTTGCGAGATCTTCCGGAATACCAAATCGAGTCGGTCATATTGAAATTGATATGGTTTGAGCCAAATTTACGACGAAAATACGGCCAAAAGCTGAAACGAGCCGTTTTATTTCAATAAAAAAAGTTTTTTAATAAAAAATTTGTATAAAAAAATCGAATCAGATAAAAAATTATGCCAAATGTTCGGAAAACGCGCTTTGTTTCTGTGTTCTTTATCTCTCAACTCGCCAGAATATCTGGAGTGCACAGGAAAAAAAATATATCGCAACGCCAAGAATTTTGGCGTATTTCGGTTTCGTGTCGGAGCCGAATCATTCACAGCGTGTGAAGGAGAATTTCATTGCCAGAAGAGCTAAAACTTTTGTTATTACGAGGGCTTTCCGGCAAACGGATTTATTGTAGACTGGTTTATTAAATTGGAAGTTTAACGACAAGATGGTCACCGAGCTGGCTCTAAGTCTCGACTTTAAACGCGAAATTATTCGAATGATTGTGAGCACTTTTAACATTTTTCATCATTTCCTGGGGGTTTTTCGACTGCGCCGAGACAAGTTTTCCCGGAATACGACTTTTTGAATATTCTGGAATTATAAACTGTCGTTTTTTTCTAGTTATGTTTAGAAATTTTAGTGTAGAAGCTTTTTTTGGGTAATAATAAGGCTGGTAATGGATAAAGTGAAAACTTACTTTTCAACTCTCACCAACTTGTTTTACAATTTTAATAAATGAATCTTATTTTTCAGGGGTGTGAAGTGGTGTTTTCGTTTGCTAACGACATCAACGCGGAGCTTCAGTACGGAGAACTGCAGGCGTTTCATCCGTATGAGGTAGGTTAATAGTTTTGTTCGTTCTTTTTGGTTTTAGGAGGTTCTTATGTCTGCTTTTGTGGAAAAGTTTACAAAGGCATTAAGGAAGGTGCTGACATTGATTATGAGGGTTTTCTTAATGTTTAAATGTGGGGTTTTTATGTTATTCATGCTTTTTTGGGCACTGATGTAGATAAAGATTTGTTTTAATGTTTTAAAAAGACTCTATGGAGAAATTTTTTATTTAACAGTTCAAGAAAACATTGAAGATGGTTGCAATTTAGTTTATAACACGTAGCTTTACCTGTTTATTACACTTTTGATGTTATTCATGTTTGTTGGTCTACCTCTTCGAACAAATTGACTTTCTAGGTTTATTTTAAGAATTTTTGTACAAAACTAGGGTCAGTTTGTTAAAAAATTCTCTATTATAATTCTTTTTATATTTTAGCATATTCTTGGCGTGGTAATGACGACACATCGGGCCAATCGTTGTTTGGAGATTCCTCTTTCATCCTTGTCGTACTTTAAATGCAGATATGACGAGCCACATAGACGTAAGTTTAATTTTTTTTTGTTTTTTGATTTTTAGGTATTTTAACATCTTTTGTTATGTCTTCGATCAATGTAGATAACTTTTGACTTTGAAAATTAGGGCTTTGTGTTATACATCACCTATAGTTATATTTTTGATATTTTTATTTGAAAGGAGTAAATTTTGAGGTTTTTATGCGACAAAGAAGAGAGTAAAGGTGTTGCTCATGGTCTCTGTTATGTTTTTAAATCAATAGATTGTTTTAGAATTCAAAATTGACGGTGATTATCACGACATGATTGAGGACGAAAAGAACCTTCAAGAATGGCAGCCGGAGCTCGAGTTCGAAGAGACTATGACATTAGAAACGAAGAAACGATGGTCAGTGGAAGCCATGTTTGAAGCGAATGTTAAACTTGGAGTTCAGTCAACCTTTGAAGGCATCGATAACTACAGCACGTAAGTTTGGACTATAACAATACAGAATTTAGTTTGAAAAGCTGACGTACAAGGCTTATTGTAGTATTTTAAGTGGTATTTTATTAAAAAGTGTATACTATGGTAATTTTTTGATATTTTTAAATTTTAAAATAAAAATTTTGACATTTTCAGCGCTCAACCAATGGGTAACGAAGAAGATCGTAGACGTGCCGAAGCCATTGCATTGGAAATCGAGAGGAACGAGCAAAGCAAGTACAATGCGTGCCTGGAGAATGACGATGAAGAGCGTGACATAAAGGAATACGAAGCATCACGGCCGCCTGTTAATCGACCATCAGCTGTTAATCAACCACCAGTGGTTCGACCGATCCCTCCAGTTCGGCCAACTTCAGCTAACAAATTGGCATCTCAATCGAAGGTATCTGGCAAAGTTACAGGCGTTGGATCGCATCAGTCTGGCCATGGATCAGCTCAGAATAGCCATGGATCAGGTTCGAATAGTCAAGGCTCAGCTCAGAATAGTCATGGCTCAGCTCAGCCTCTAGCCAAGGAGAATATTGAGTCTTGGAGAAAGCCGAAGGCAAGCACAACTCAACCGACACCATCCTTAATACAGCCAAACGTCTCCTCAACTCAATCCAAGCCATCAAGCCTTGGAACGTTCCAGGCGGGCCTTGGCACGCCTCAGGCCAGCCATGATGCACTGACCAGCCATACAACACCTCAGGCTAACTTTGGCTCATCTCAGAATTTGGCCAAGGAGAACAAAGATCACGGCAAGAAGTTCACTGGATCTCAACAAAATTCATCTTCAGCTCGGCCAACCTTCTCCTCAACTCAAAGCAGGTCATCAAGCCACTCTTCTCAGCCCTTGAACAAGGAACACAACGACAGAAGGTTCAAGAACGCAGTCAGACCTTCAACTCAAGTCAGTCGGCCTTCAACACACTTCAACTCGACCACAATTCAAGCTAATCCATCTTCAACTCAACCAACCTTGTCTTCGAATGAACCTAAGCCATCAGGCTTGATTTCAGGCCAATCCGTAACGTCCTCTCAACCCTTGGGAAGGCAGGACAATGACCAAAAGTTCAGAAGTGGAGCTCGACCTTCAGCTCAAGCTAATCAACCTTCAACTCAGGTGAACGTGCTTTCAACTGAAGCTAAACCATTGTCTTCATTTCAGAACTTATCTTCGTCTCAGGGCTCTTTGAAACAGAATAATGATCAACGGTTCAAGGCAGGGTCCCGACCTTCAACTCAACCCACTCCACCGTCAACACACTCCAATTCGATCACAAGTCAAGCCAACCCATCCTCAACTCAATCCGACTCTCGAATTCAGCCCACTGCACCCCAAGCTCATGTGGAACAACCTCAAACCCGGCCAAAGTCAACAACCCCGCCCTCATCTCAGGCCAACTCCACTACCCCACCCTTATCTCATGCCAACTTCACCACCCCACCTTCAACTCAGGCCAGCTCGACCACTCCACCCTCATCTCAAAACTCGGCCAAGGAGAACAAGAAGTTCAAGTTCAATGTGACGGCTCCGGAGTTTCGCCCCACCACCCATCGTTACCCCACCCCGCCGGAACAAATTTATCAACCGGAATTCGTGCCTCAGCCGGTTATGGTCAGCTATGGGCCGATTCAAGGAATGCAACAGCCAATCCAGGTACCACCACCACAGATACAACCTCAGATCCAGGTTCAACAACAGATTCCGCAACAACAGTTTCAGCCACAGGTAGGGGGTTTTGTATTTGTTTAGGAGGTGGGAAGTGAAATTTTTTAATTTTAAAATGCGGTTTTCGAAATTTTTGAAATTTCGATTTCTAAAATTTTAAAAAAATTGAATTTTGATAAAAATTTTTTTTTTCAAAATTTTGAGTCAAAACCAACAATTTTACTATTTACAGATGCAGTCCTACAATTACGCGCCCAATTACCAACAGAACCCCACCGTTCCGTTGGCCAGTGTGAATACCTCTCAGTATGGCCCATTCGTTGTCGCTTCCCAATACGCACCTCCACCTCAATATCAACAAAAACAATTTGTTCCACTTCAAACTCCACGTCCTCAACAGCCGCAACAGTACCACCAACCGCTGTTCATTCCTCCACAGCCACAACAAATTCCGGTAAGGAGGGACGTGAAGTTGAATTGGTGTTTGGGGGTGTTTTTTGTTTGAAAAATTTGAAATTTTAAAAAACCTAAATTTGAGGATATGTTGTACTTGGTGTGAGGTATAATGAGACAGACCATTGGGTGGTACTCAGGGGTGAGAAACGGGCCGTCTAGGCCCGGTTCTACGACCGGGCCGGGCCGGCCTTGAGCTAAAATTGAAACGGGCTGGGCTGGAAGGTTAGGCCCTGGGCCTAGAAATTTTCTGATCGGGTTGGGCCGGCCTGAAAAAAAATTAAAACGGGCCGGACCTAAACGTTTTGCCAGTCCCTTTTCTCACCCCTAGTGGTACTTTTATAGTTTTCGGCGCTGTTTTTCTGATTTTGGTCGGGCGCAGCTAACAAAAAGTGGTTTTGCAGGCTGCGCGGAATTTTTATACGATAAGAGAATAATAATGGTTGGAAATGACAAAAATGAAGGCTGTTTAAAATATTTTTGTGTTTTTAGGTATACGTTTTATTTTTTGAAATTTTCTAAAATTAAAAAATTTTTTTTGAAAAAATAATAAATATTTTTTAAATTGGTAAACTTGACAAAGTTAAACACAGAAAACTCATTTCTTTCTAATTTTAGGTCCAATACCCTCCACCGCCACCAAATCAGACCGTTCAATATTTCCCCGCTCAACAATTCTACGCTCAACCCCGCCATACTATCCAGAGCAATAAGTGGACTCGTACTGGTATTGTGATACTATTCAGGTCTTATTTCGAATATTTTGTGTCTTTTCCAATCCAATTTGGTCGCTTTTTCGAGGGTTGTACGGGTTTTTTGGTTGATTATGCTCAGGTTGATATACGGTAGGGTTACGGTAGAAAAGGAGGAAAAAAAGTATGGGTTTTTGAAGAAAAGGATGTATTTTGTTGTTGGAGGGAGTAATTTTGTAATATTTTGATGGGCAAGGGTTGAATTTTTATTTTCCTATTCGAAAATGGTTTGAAATTTGAAAAAATGCCATTCTTAATATTATTCTGGGTGAACTTTTTTCATTTGAACCGCTGGTCAACCTCTAATATATGTCGAAAGACAAATCTGAGCATGGACGACTTGTATTTTGCTATATTTTTGTTATCGACCGGTTTTCATATCACTTTAGTCGGGTTACTGTGATATGATGTTTTGTCTGCTTTTAAATATTAAACTTTTAAATATCGACCAAATAAACCGAGTTGTATGAATTTGGACTAATTTGTTGGCTTGTGTGTTTTATCAGCTTGCTGTTGTATGTTTGCTTTGTTACTGTGCCGTGTTTTGTGGGATATATTGGGTATACAAGGGAAGTCCTGTATGACGAATCGCTTCGATCTTACAAGGGAAAGGCAAATAAGGGGGTATCGGTCCTAGAACTGAGAACTATATCATGTGAAAGAGCATCAAAAGTTATGTAGAAATTAAAATTTTTAGCGGCCCAAAGTCATATACTAAAAGGTTACAGTAATACAAAGTTTTTTCTATGAGACTTCTTATAAGGGAACACCCTGAAAGAAAGCACCGAAAAGGACAGCGAAACGCAGTGTGTTTCTGTGGCCCATTGGGTTGAAACCTAGCCTTATATTCAAAAGGCTGAGGGTTCGAGTCCCACTGCGGTCGCACTTTTGCCATCGCTTTGTTTTGATGCCTGCAGGTTTGAAAAAAAGTTACAATATTTTTATTTTGTTAAAAAAGGGACAATAAGCGTTTTCAAAGGTTTTTTATTTATTTTTTAGTCAATTTGGATGGCAAATCAGGCAGTCCAAATATATTCGTTTTACTATACAATATTAAACTTTAAAAATTTCTTAACGCTGCAATTTTAATTAAAAATAAGTTTTTTTAATCCAAAAGCACATTAAATTCCTTTTAAAAGCTTATTTTAAAGTTTCAGAACAAAACACGACAAAAATTTTTTAAACGTTTTTTCCAAAAAAATCCACTTTGAAATATTGAAAAGTAGTAAACTTTGAATTACTGTAGCTTTTTAGCGTATGACTTTGGGCCGCTAAAAATTTTAATTTTTACATATCTTTTCACGCTCTTTCACATGATATAGGTCTCAGTTCTAGGTCCGATACCCCCCCTATTTGCCTTTCCCTTGTTAAAGGTTTTTGTGAAAGAACGGATTTTTTTTAAATGGTTGGCCGTAAGTGCGGTTTAGCCTCGTTATACAAGAGTTGCACTGTACGTAAACATAGGTTGAACCGAAAGTAGCGGGACACGTCATTTGTTTTTCAACTTTAAAATGTATCCTTCTGGTTCAACCTGTAGTAATGCGAGAGACTTTAAGCTATGTCGCGACTCGCGAGTCAACTTTTGACATTTTAGATTGTATTCCAGGAGAAAATTCAGTCAAAGTTCATGGTTACCACTAGACTTGAAAGAGGGTTCACTATGCCCGATCCGGTTTCTTTACAGGTCTAGTTACTAAGATTTCGAATGGAAAATGGTTGATAATCGATTGGATAAGATTCTGGTAGGTGCATCAAGTTTTTTTAATTGTTTCAGAAACTTTCTTTACAAAACCAAAAATGGCAAGAACTTTCTTTACAGAACAAGAAATGTAAAGAATTTTTTTACAAATTAAAAAAACGGCAAGAACTTTCTTTACAACAGTCAAAACAGCAAAAAGGAAAAATTGTAAAAATTCCAAAAATGAGGGTTTCCTACATAAAATTATAGATGTCAAATTACATTCGCAATGCTTGATGTGTCTGTGAACGTGTATGTCATAAAGCTGATTATCAAATTGGTCTTGAAGCATTATAAAAACCGTTTCTAAACCGGAACTGCCAAAATTATTAGTTAGTTCTAAAATGTACATCGTATTGTTTTTGTTGTTGGTACGTTTTTTACATCTTTACATCATAGGACTTTATCCTACCCTCGCCCTACTCTACTCTCGTCTTATCCTACCCTATTCTCGCCCTACCTTTTCCTAATCTACCTCATTGTACTCTACCCTATTCTACCCTACCCTACCCTACCCTACCCTTCCTTGCCATACCTTAACATACCATACCATGCCTTACCCTTTTGCCTTTTCCATTTAACTTTGTGTAATAGATCTGCACGGCCTCGGTACAATCATGGAACTGGCAAACGGACACGTGGTACGCACTCAGTTACCCACTAACCGTAAACCAAACCCTGACGATTGGTGTGCATCCGCACGGTAAAACTGATTTTGGAATCGACTATGAGGGTGAGGACGGAGTCGTCATGTTCCATATGCACTGTTACTACGACGTCAATGAAGACTTCCACGATGTGGTGCTGGCGGACCGTGGCATACAGAAAATGAACGTTAGTAGCATCTATCGTACTGTTTATGTAAAGGATCTGTATCCGAACGAGGAGAATGTGTTTTCGATAAAGTACGAGAAGGCGAACCAAATCCATGCCAGTATCAATGGTTATCAGTTTACCTGGTTTGTGAATCTTCTTCCGGGCAAAGATATCATTGGATTCAATACTGTTATGAGTCCTAATATCACTTTTCTTCACCATGATTCTTAGTTTTGGTTGTTTTTGAATAAACGTGTAATTGAAATGGATTTATAGGGTAGGGTAGGAATGGGTTGAGTAGAGTAGGTATGAGGATAATTTCAACGCAATAAATACCTAAAAAGCGACGAAAAAAAGAAAAAAAAATTTTTTAAATTTTTGTTTTTACTGTTCTATTCTCAAAAATACCTCTTTTTAACCCAATTTTACCCTTTTTTAAAAACATTTTACACTTAAAACACCCCTTCTTAACTCTATTTTACCCCCTTCAACCCCCTAATCAGCCCCAAAAGGAAAGGGAAAGAAAAGGAAAGAAAGAGAGTTGTGTACGCCCATGGCCCGTTGAACGCACGCCATCCCGTCCGATCTGGCAAGTTAAGCAACGGTGCGCTTGATTAGTACTTGGATCGGAGACGTCCTTGGAATCTCAAGTGGCGTACGCTTTTTTTGGCATTTTATGGTCCTTTTTGGTACTATATTTGGGGTTTGGGGGTAGAAAATGTTGTTTTATATTCTTTTAGGGGTGTTTTTGGGCTGGAATTGTCATTTTTGAGTTAGGTAAGCTGGTTTTTATCTAGGGTTGTTTTATATTTTTAAGGGAATTTTAGGTAACAATCTTGGTTCATTCTACCCTACCCCTCTACCCTATTTTTCTCTACTCTACCGAAATGTATATTTTTAAGTTTATATTCAAAAACGAACAATATTGTTTTAGATTGTCAAGGTGAACACTTGAGTTCGCGGAGCTGTCGATACTTGTGTAATAATGATAATGAGGTTTTGGCATGGTGCATCGAATAGGGGTAGATCAGGCCATCTGGGGCGCAATCTATGTGAGGGTGGAGCTGAAAATGGCAGTACAGTTAGTTTGTCACCAATATTGTTGTAGGTAGTCTTATGGTCATTTGACATGGTTTTTAATATTGTTTTTTAAATTTGGGCTCGTCATCCAGTGAGTTTAAAATGGCCAGAACTTTCTTTCCAAAACCTTACCGTTTCTCGATTCCCGATAAAATCGACCAGTGTTGTGTTGGTCATATACCTGGCGATTCCAGTAAAAAGGACGTCATCAATGTGTAGTTTGTTGGCGTTATGAACGGCGTCTAATAGTAGGCCTACTGTACTTGAAGGCATAAGCACCAGATAGCCAGCACACCAATCGGGATACAATGGGTACTTGTACTCTTCTTCTGGCACGTACCTGGAATGGTAGAGTAGGGTTTTTATAGGTGACATGGTAGATTTGGTAGGTATGGTAGGGTAGGGTATGGTAGGGTAGGGTATGGTAGGGTAGGGTAGGGTAGGGTATGGTATGGTAGGGTAGGGTAGGGTAGGGTATGGTATGGTAGGGTAGGGTAGGGTAGGGTAGGGTAGGGTAGGGTAGGGTAGGGTATGGTAGGGTAGGGTATGGTAGGGTAGGGTATGGTAGGGTAGGGTAGGGTATGGTATGGTAGGGTAGGGTAGGGTAGGGTAGGGTAGGGTAGGGTAGGGTAGGGTAGGGTAGGGTAGGGTAGGGTAGGGTAGGGTAGGGTAGGGTATGGTAGGGTAGGGTAGGGTATGTTAGGGTAGGGTAGGGTAGGGTAGGGTAGGGTATGGTAGGGTAGGGTAGGGTATGGTAGGGTAGGGTAGGGTAGGGTGTGATATGGTACGGTTTGATAAGATAGGCTAGAATATGGCTTCTCAATTAAAAAACGAGGGGGTAGATCATACTTACCATTTGTTCCTATGGTTCCTAATAGGCCCTTTTCGGAAAATACCTTGACACGCCACATAATCTTTAATTCCAGTCGTTTTTCCATCAAAATCTCGCTCAGCCCATTTGAAAGCTCTGTCTAGTACTATAACAGCATCATCGTCCAGCTTGATAAAGTATTCTACTTGTTTACAGTACGACTGGTGCCAGTCGTGCATTGCGTACCTAAAAATGAAAAAAAAAATTCTTTTTGTTTTTTAAAAGTGAATTTTAATTTTTCTTTGAAATTTAAAAACTTTTAATTTTATAATAAAATTTGACAAAAACAGTATACGTATTTTACCTATTTTTTGCCTAAAAAGTTGAAAAAAAGGAAAGGAAATAATACATATTTTTATTTTTAAATTTTTTTTTCATTTTACACATAAAACACCCCTTTTTTCCTCTATTTTACCCCCTTTGAACCCACTAATGAGCCCCTAAAGGAAAGGGTTCGAAAAGGAAAGAGAGAGAGTCGTGTACGCCTATAGCCCGTTGAACGCACGCCATCCCGTCCGATCTGGCAAGTTAAGCAACGGTGCGCTTGATTAGTACTTGGATCGGAGACGTCCTTGGAATCTCAAGTGGCGTACGCATTCTTTATATTTATGGTACTTTCTGGTACTATTTTTGGGTTTCGTGGTTAAAGAGGGTTGTTTTATACATTCTTTTAGGGGTGTTTGTGGGCTGAAATTTTCATTTTTCTGTTAAATAAGTCGGTTTTTAGCTAAACTTAAATAGTTTTTGTTTGGTTTACGTTTGTATTTTGAGTTTTTTTTGCACATGGCTGCAAAGTTATGTCTGATAATGTGATTGGTAAAATACGCCCAACCCGTATGGTAGTCAGAAGTTGAAATTTGGCCAAAAAATGCTGGGGCGCAACATTTGAATCAAAAAAGCTTCAAGTTTCTCCGAAATTTTCAGATTTTTTCCTATTTTTCTTGCCTATGTTAACATCTCTTGCTCATTTCCTGGTGCTTATAAGCTTTTTATAATTTAACACTATGTTTAAACTTTACTTTTGATTGTATTTTACATTTATTTTGTTAATTTTTGGGGTATATTCACTATTTTCCATGCTTTTTGAGCTTTTCTTTGTGAGGGCACTAGATGGTCTACTATAATATCGGGAGAGAAAGTTTGTAACTCAAAAAGTTGATGATGGATTTGGATGATTTATGGATCATTTTGTGAGAATTTTTTTGCTGTATTTGAAGTGTGAAAAGTGGGATTGGTCAAAATATAATTTTAGGTAATAAATTAAAATTTTGAAAGTTTTGAAATTTTTGGTATTGATTTTAGGTGTCGATTTGTAAAATACGTTTTTTTTTAATTGTAGGAAAAAATGTTGTTTTTTTTATCTATTCCGCACTTCTTTACCCTGCCATAGCGGTAATTACACTATTCTACCATTTTTTACCCTGCCTTTTATTTATATCCGCCCTTTGATTTACCCTACCCTTTGATTTTTAACCCAACCTGTGGTTTATCCCACCCTTTGATTTATCCCACCGTTTGATTTACCCCACCCTACCCGTTGATTTCACCCCCACCCTACCGTTTGATTTACCCCGCCCTGTCTCACCTAAACCCTCAAAAACTTGCCATTTGATAAAGTTGTTGTAGTAAGTGTCCTCAGCATCGTAATACACGATGTCGTTGAACTCCTCCATCTCTTTGCTTAGCTCCTCCACCATCATGTCCTTCTGGAAGCCGACGATGAAGCGGTAGACGAAGGCGACTTCGGTCTGATTCTGGAACATTAGCCTGAAGGCTTGTCGCTGCTTCTGTGCTCTGACACTGTTGGCGATGCTCATGATCATGACGATGGCCTTCTTGTTGTTACAGACATCCTCGGCGGGCCGTAGCATTTTGTAGTTGAGGCGGTAGTTCGCGAACTGGAGTCGGAACTCGTCCAGCTTGAGGCTGGCTTCGAATGAGTGTTGTTCTGGAGTTCGTTCCGGGGCTTCTTGAGCTGGGAGAATGTCTGGGTAGGACTTGTCTTCGGCGTCTTGGACACCGTGAGAGTTGAGGGGTTGGACTTCGGGTAGGGGTTCTGGATTCTGGTTTTCATCTGGGGGATTCTGAGCTTGATTTTGAGGATTCTGTTGATCTTGTGGATTCTGTGGTTGATTTTGTGGATTCAGAGGCTGATTTGGCGGATTCTGAGCTTGATTACCTTGTAGAATATCAGGATTCAGCGGCTGATTTCCTTGTAGCATTTGTGGATTCTGAAGCGGATTCTGAGCTTGAGCTTGAACCACGTTCTGAGGCTGTTTCGGAGCCAGATTCTGACCCAAATCTTGAGGATTATGAAGCACTTTACCCTGTAGAATTTGTGGATTTAGGGCTGGATTTTCAGGTGCTATTTGAGCATTGACTGGTTGATTATTAGCTACAGCACCTGGGTTAGCTGGAACAGCTTGAGCATCTTGTGGTTGATCAACAGGTACAACTTGAGGATTCTGAGCATCATTATTCTGTAGCGCTTCCTGATTTAGATCTTGAAGTTTTTTGGCTTCGATCAAGCGTTGTGCCATCTTCTTGATCTCTACAATCGCTGCTTGTAGTTCTGAAAAAACAATTTTAATTTTTGAGAGCAATTTAGAGAAAACTTTGTTTACAGGACGAAAAATGGCAAGAACTTTCTTTGCAAAACAAAAAATAGCAATAACTTTGTTTCCATACCTTTTAACTTGGCGGCATTGATCTCCTGCCCCCTCTCTTTACTGTTCGGATCGTCTGACTTCATTTCCATTGGATCCGTCCGTCTATCGTGCTCGGCCTTCAGAAGATCACCGTCTTCTCGGAACTCTTTGTCGTCTTTGGTTTCTTGATTGAATTCGGCGTACATGCCCTCAGGCACAATGAAATAATCTTTTTTGTTATTGGACGGTGATAGTATTGATAAGGTTGTCCATGTTAGGAAGAGGAATAGGGCTAAAAATAGGAAAGTAGGGCAGATTTGGTAGGTAGGGTAGGGAAGGATAGAACAGGATATAGGAGAGTAGGAAATGGCATAGTAGGGCAAGGCAGGGCAAATCATGATAGAATAGAACAGGGCAAGATAAAATAGTGTGGGGCAAGGCAAAGCATGGCGGGACATGGCAGAGCAAGATAAGGCATGATATGGCAGGGTAAGGTAAGGTAGGGGCTTGTGTCATGGTGTTGATCATAACAAAGCGATTTACATTCATTTGGGTGTGAAGATTAGGGTAGAGTAGGGTGGGTATGGTAAAGTAGGGTGGGTAGGGTAGGGTAGGGTAGGGTAGTTAATTAAATCTTACCCAAAACTAAAGTGACAAAACTTCGTCGATGTAGCACAACTTTTGCCATATTATCCAATAATATCTATAAAATGGTTACAAAATGCCAACGAGATGTTATAGTATAGAAAAATACAGAAGTAAAGGTTCGGTAACAAACAATTACCCAAATCTTCAAGATTTCACAAGTGTAACACTTAAAGAAATTCGATCAAAATACGAACATGATGTTATTATGTTGCAGTAAAGTGGTGTGAATGTTTTTGTCCTTCCCGAAGAGTTTGTTGGAGAGTTTTGTGTTTTTAAAAGATTTGCATAAATTTCATTTAAATAATGCAGACGTTACGTAATCTAGTAGGTATCGAGTCTTATTTTGGAATTACAAAGGTAATCGGATCTCTGCTACCCGTATCTTTACCCTACCCTATCTTACCCTACCCTACCTTGCCCTACTCTACCCTAACCTACCCTATCGTACCCTACCCTACCCTACCCCACTTCATTTTACTCTACCCTGCCGTAGCGTACATTGTCTTACCATGCTCTGCCATGCTTTGCATTTCCCTACCCTGCTTTGCCTTGCCCTGCCCTACCACTACCCCTAGGGTGAAGCCATAGCTACAGTAACCACCACTATGTTTTTTTACCTACAGCAACCCCCAAATCACTATTAATATTCTACTAAATTACCTTACCTTACCCTACCAGTCCTACTCTACCCTACCCTTAGTTTTCTGTACACTGCCCTTTCCTACTTTAACCTACCCTACCGTACCCTACCCCAATTTATACTTTTCTCTACCATAGTTTCGTCATGCTTAGTTCTGTCTTATCCTACTGTACTCTAAATACGACACAAATTATAGTATTTGATGGTATTTATTTACAACCTTTTATTATAACTCTTCATAGTATAATCGGTTACTACAGTTTACTACTGTTCAGTAAAGGTATACCTAATTGACGATTTCTGCCAGAACTTCAGCATTTTCATGGTCGATGATAATGGCTGGGTTGACTTGAGAATGAGCGGTTTCTGGCAATCCTAGAGGTCTTTCCACGTACTCAGCTGTTTCGAGAAGTTCGAGGAAGTGAGGCACTGACATACTGTAACATATCATAATATAATTAGTTTTGAAGGGTAGGAAAAAGTAGGGTAGGGCATGGCAAAAGAAAGAAAGGCAATACAAGACGGGCAAGGGTAAGGTAGGGTAGGATAAGGTGAAGCAAGGTAGCGCAGGAAAAGCCAGGGCAAGGCAAGGCAAAACAAGACAGGGAAGGGTTGAGAACTTCATGGTTTTTTTTGGGTAGGGTATGTTTAGAAAATTCAAAATGAACTTACTACTCCACATGTTGCGGTTTACCAAAAACCCCTGAGGCCAAAACCCAGAAAACCAAAGTTAAATAGAAACATAGGTTCATATTTGATGTTATAAGCAAAGAGTAGTTTGTTTCAAGTGAGAAGAACAAAGTAATTGTAGTTTTAAACTGTCACAATTAGTCATTTTCCAAAGCAAACTGGTTTCGGAGCGGGTTTGATCACATTGTTGTATATTTTGCAAAAAGATAACCTCAACTTACATTTTCATCGGCCATTTGGCATTTTCTGATAATATAGGGCATAGAAAAGATAATTTTTATTAATTTCTTCCATTTTAGCCTAGAGCAATACTAACACTTATGACTGACTTTGGTCCCGCTGCGAAAACAATGTGTGTCAAAAATGTGGCATTCCGTTATAACAAAAATATTATTTTTGATGAAAACTGAAGGAAATGCTGATGAAAACCAGTATCTGATGCAAAGAATACGTGTTTTGAGATTATTCAAGCAGATATTACGAACTGGCAGAACTTGGGAAGCCAAAGAAGCTGAAAAGACATCAGAACAGAAGGTTTATATCCGAAACGAGGCCTTCAAACGGTTCAGGGAGAACAAAAACGTTAGTTCTTAAAGTTTTAAATATAGTATAGCTTTGAAATTAGTTAATGATTGTTTTCAAGGTTTTGAATGTTGTTTTAGACATAATTTTATAGGTTTTAATGATATTTGAACTTGATTAACAAGGATAATATAATTTTAGGTGTCGAACAGCGAAGAGATTGAAAAACTGATTGAAGAAGGCGAAAAACGGCTTGAAATAGGGAAACATTACAAGCTGCCATACGAACGACCAGCTTATCTTCATCCAGGAGCTTCTTTCGGTAAGATTTGACTTGAGTTTTCTAAATTTATATCCAAGTATGTTATAATTAGATGAATTAATGAAAACAAGTCTAAAATGAAGGCTAAACTTTATCTTATCTGACTGCCAAGGATGTAAACGATCTTGTTTCAGATGTGCATGTGCAAAACAAACAGTTTAGAATCCGTTCTGGCGCCGCTTCGAAGCTTCCATTCGGCGGAGGGAAGCGAAAGTGATTCTTCGCTAAAACACCTTCTGAATCTTTATTTTTCATGTTCTCCGGCTATTTTTGAGCAAGATTTGAGTCCGTTTATCTCTCTACCAGTCGATGATTTGGATGTTTTGTTTGGAAACTACGAAATTCGACAAAAATTCCCATTGAAAGCGTCGTTTGAACGAAGATTCTTGAAGTTATTGAGTGATAAGGTGGGTTTTTATACTTTTTTTTGTGATTTTTAGGTCATTGTCAATCTTCTTGACGTTTTGTGAGTGTAACAAACGGCAGAAACTTTGAAAAACGTCTAAAAATGCGATGTATATTGAGAAAGGTATAGGAAAAGCAGGAAAAATGGTTATGACATGCTTTTGGTCATAACTTTTTTTAGAGAAAAGGAAGCGACTAGTAATTTACCGTGGTTAAAGGTTATAGTTTTGGTTAACTATTGTAACAAAAATCTTTTTTTAATTTAGTTTTCTTTTCCAGTTATGATAGATTCAAATTGGCATACTTTCTTTTATTTTCTTCTTTCTCAAAGCAAATATTTGGGGTTAGGGGCACAGATTATTTGAACAACCTAATGAACTCTTTAAAACTCAAAAAAGGCGAAGAAATTGTCATGTTTCTTAAAATAACTTAATATTTCAGCTAGCCAAGCACAATGTCTACTCGGATGGAGTGTTTGCCGCATTAGCTGGAGCCATGCAAAATACGTTCGAAACGTTTCATCGTATGTTTCTACATCCGAAACTACAAAGTCCGTTGATTATTGAGGAGAAGAATCAGGCTATCAGTCAAGGAACTACTGGGTTGAGCACTTGGGGCGTGAGTTTTTTAATTTTTGTTTGGAATTTAGGCTTAGGGGTGTATTTGGAAGGTTTTTACAAGAATAATACTTGCTTCTATACTAATTATCAAAGAGAATACTTTTCATTTTCAATTTTTATAATTTTATTAATTATGACCTTACAGGCCGCTTACCTCTTATCCAACTACCTCATCCAAACTTCCGAAGTCACTTCAAACCTTAACAAAGATCACCCACTAAAAGTGCTTGAACTAGGTGCAGGATGTGGACTAGCTGGACTCAGTTTGGCCAAGGCTTTTATGTCCATTCAGCTAACAACGACTGATTGTGATATGAATGTGTTAGTTCAGTTAAGGAAGAATGTTTTATTGAACTTTGGAGAAGAACAACGGGTTAAAGTGGCAGAACTGGACTGGTTTAAAAGTGAAAAAAATGAGGTTTTAAAAGAGGAATTTGATGTTGTTATTGCCGCTGGTGAGTTGGAATTTTAGAAATATTTAAAAATTTGAAACGTTTAGAAAAATATGCTTTTTTAAAACTTTTAAAACTATTAAAAGTGATATTAAAGCGGGCTCTAAAAAGTACAATATTAAGACCACAAAAAGTCTTGACGCTTTTTCTTTTGCAAAACATAACAAATTGACGTCAAAACTTATGTGTCGCTAATATAACGATGTAACAAGGCTTGTCGTTTCACTTTGAACTTTTTCAGATGTAATATACGACCCAGAAATCCTGGAAGCCTTCTTAAATACAGTAACTCTGATTTTGAAACGAAATTCAAATTCTCGAGCAATTGTAGCCTTCAAGGAACGGAATCCGGACACACTTCAGATGTTCATGGAACGTTTAGGTAGGCTTTTTGAAAGTTAAAAGGGAAAAAATTTTAAAAAATTGAAAAAAGTGGCCAGAAATTTGAAAAATAATCAAAATTGTTAGTGTAATATCAGTAGCTATCTTAAAACAGTGAAAAAAAAGAGAAAAATTTGCGAAATAGTCCTCAAATTTTTAATTTTTGTGAAATAGTCCTCAAAGTTTTAAGATTTGTGAAAAGGACCTCAAACTTTTTAAATTTGTGAAAAAGTCTATAAAATTTCAAAATTTGTGAAAAGGTTCTTAAAGTTTTGAAATATGTCAAAAAAGTCCTCGAAATGTCGAAAAAATTGAAAAATATGCTTGTAGACTCTTCGACCCTCGAAATTGAATTGTTTGTTGAAACGAAAGCTGAAACCCCATTTTCGACCGTTTTAAACTACAAAGATGGTACTTCTGTGGCCATTGACAATGTCATACCTCCCGACTCTTGTCTGGACAACTTTAGGATTTTAAAATTAAAAATAAATTGATTTTGCGACAACTTTATTTTGGTTTTTGACTTTTTTGAAGGTATTGGGTTGGAGAATGGGGAGTTCATTATTTGGTCGTGGGAGGGGTGGATTTAAAATGTTTTTTTTTAATTTTTTTAAAGAGATTGGACTGGGGAGGGGAACAGGACTTAAGTATGGGGGAGGTCAATACTTGGGAAGCTGTGTCGGAGGTTAGTATTGGGGAAGCGGAGAAGTCAGTATTTGTGCGTGGGGGTGGAATTAAAAAAATTTTTTTGATTTTTTTTTGATTCGGAGGTGAGTTAAACTTTAAGTGTGTTTGCGAACCACTCGGAATACATAGCGTTGCCAAAACGGTTTTCAATGCCGTAATGGTGGTGGAGATGCTTGTATTCGTATTGGCCGGCGAATCAAGTCTGTAATTCTGGAGAGAAAGTGAGCGTTTTTAATCTGTAAGAGGGCGGATTTAGAAAAAAAATTTTGAGGAAAGCTTAAGCTTATTAGTCGTTCTTGGCGATTTCTTGTAAAAATTTTGTAAAGAAAATGAAAGCTAAAAGGCATTTGCTGACATTATTTTTTTGTTTATTTTTTTTTGGCTAAAAAGTGCTTGCTCGGTACAGTTAGTAAGTATTATACGATTTAGACGGTCAAAAAAAGCTTTGTTAGTCTACATGAAGAAAAAAAAACCTGTAGATTAATATTTTTTAGAATTGATTAGATTGACTCAAAAGTAGTAGGACACTTTACATTTATTATTTAACTAAAAATTTTACAAAAGGTAGTAAAGTCTATGATTCGAAATATAGCCCGTTAGAATTGGTGGTTTTGGTCCATTGTTCTGCCAATTCCTCGATTCCTTCCTTGAACCACGGCTTCGATCGAAAGAACTAAATGCGCTCGCTTCGAAGTCTTTCAATGTTTCAAAATTTTTACCCTTGAGGAAGTGAGCCATTTGGGGAAACATGGAATTGTCTGAAGGTGCAAGCTCCGGACTATATGCTAGACATGGTAAAATACGATGAAACGTATCCCACCCGTTTTGGGTCCACCTAATACATTTAAAACAGGTTTTTTGTAAGATCCGAGAGTCAGATGTGGCCAGGCTTGGACACAGGGCATTAGCAAATTTTAATGTCATGCCCTGTGCCCTGTACAGGCCATTCGACTTTCATGCCCTTGCCCTGCAGGGTATCAGGGCATTTGCAGGGTAATGCAGAGCATATGCCATGCCTTGCCCTGTTCCGATCTATACCATGCCCTGTAACAGGGCATGGTACAGGGCACCCTGCGTCCAAGCCTGGATGTGGCCCATGTTCACTTTTTTCAAGAAATGTTTTGTGAAAAGATCTAGAATTTAATTGTAGTGTAAATAGTTTATTTATAATAACAAAACGGCGTAGACAAAATATTATCAAAGAATTTTCAATTTATCAACCGGGAATGAAAAAATAAATATAAAACAACAATTAATATCATGGCTTGCTAATTCTGACTAACAACCCTAAAAATTAAAGGTAGTCAACTCTGGGTAACTCCCGAAACAAGATGTGATTCAGAAATGATTCTCTTTGGCAATTTAAACACTTGACCGTGCTTGATGTACACTCGAGAAAGTATTGTTGTAGACAACTTTTGCACGAAATAACTTTGGCACATAATACACAGTACATAGGTTGTTTAGCTTTTTCTTCTAAACACAAATGGCATTTGTCGTTGAGGATCTCTTCGGTTTTCTGGCTTTCGACAATACTGTCCGCTATTCTGAAATGTATACGGTAATTTTGGGTCGATAAATGGTTAGGCTATATTGTTTTTGAAAGGTTTTTATCTAGCTGAAGGTCTGGGCTTGAGTTTTATAAATCCAGTTTAAGGGCTGAGCTCAATGTTTTATCCAGTCCAAGGGCTAGGTTTGTTTTTTCTTTCTAATCCAGTTGCTAAATGACTTCAAAGACTGCACTTGGTTTTTTCTTTCCAGTCCAAGCACTGGGTTGGATTTTCTTTCTAGTCCAAGGGCTGTACTAGTTCAAGGACTGGAATTGATTTTTTCGTTCAAAAGCTAAGCTTAATTTTTCTTCTTACTTTAGGGGCTACGCTTGATTTTTCTTTTCAGTCCAAAAGTTACACTTGATTTTTCTTTCCGGATTAAGGGCTAGGCTTGGTTTTTTTTTAAGTCAAGAATCGGCTTGATTTTTGGCCTGATCGCACTTTTTTTAGAAAGATTAAGCCTAATGTGCCCGTTCTGATCTCTGGATGAAATTAAAAAATTGATGTAACTTAAAAACTTACTTTTTAATCTGCCTTTCATTTCCATCAATCGTCGCTTGTGTGTCTTTTCCTCGTTTCTGTTGTAGCATACACAGTATGGAATGCTTGACATTCACATCGATAAGGCTTACTTGGTAGTCGTGCATCAACTTCTGTACATCGTCTCTCGATGAATAGGTTTCTGCTTTGTTGGTCCACGATTTGAAGTTGTGTTCACTCATTTGACAAAACGTCAACAAAATTTGGCAAATCGTCGATAAATAGGCAGAAGAGAAGTTAAAAGTCTATAAGACAGCGGATAAAGCAAAGCGTTGTTTTCTGTATTTTCGTCTAATGAAGGCGTTTCTCAGGGTTTATGGCTTTGCGAACTGTTGCGTACTGTGTTGCATAACTTTCATTGATAGTTCAGCTTGTAGCCATTTACTGTTTACTATGTACTACAGTGATCTCTCTATTAAGTTAGCAGTCTTAGAATGAAAAATCTTTTTATTGTTGACAATATACCTGAAACTGGACCGGACTGTGATTAGGCCTAGCCCGGTCCCAGTCGAGACCTTGTTCGAAACAAATTTTAAAGACGCCGCACGGCACCCTGAACCAAACGCTCAGTCAAAATAGAGAATCGTTATCGATTCTTTTTCCGATAATTTGTTTCATTTCGTTTTACACTGTTTTTTTATTTTTCGGTTGGTTTTTCGTCTGATGTTGCAACGTATTCTACTATTTTGTGCAAAATGTGGCAAAAACTATTTATGTCAGAAACGGTTATCAAATTATTACGCAGTCAAACATGTTGATTTAGCTAATTTGACCGTATAATACTTTGTTAGCTGTTTTATATTAGATATAGAGTTTGGCGGATCCTTGGTAAGTATTTTATATTGTTTTCTCACGTTTTAGGTTTGATTTAGCAAGATCATAACAAAAATGTTAATTTTTAATAAAAGATTCGACTATATATCGAAAGGGAAAGTATAAAAGTCTTTTTAAAATTTGATCTGATGGTCTACTATAATATCGGAAAGCAAGCTTTTCAATGTGGCAAAGTATTTCATTTAAATAGACGTTTTTGGTACCATTTTAATCGTAATTTTTTCCTGGTGCAGCATGTGTAAAGTCAGGATGTTGTAAAAAAAATTGTAAGGCATTGGGTGTTGATATTCTTAATCTTCAGATCAATCAAAATTAATATGGAATGAAGAACGGCCAATTTGGAGGCAAACAGAACGCATATTTAATAAATATACTATATTTTTTATCTCACATTTGATTCATAAAAATGTTTTTACAATTTCGGTATTTTTTATTCTAAAAAATCAAACGTGGCGCGGCGAAATGTCAAAAAAGGAAAGCGTTTCATTTCTATTGGTTCAGGGTGCCGTGGCGCCGGGTCGGCACATTTGGGCCTGAAGGCCGGGGTCCTAAATATGCCTCAGAGGCTCAACTTAGGTCCCGCAACGAAAGATTTGATTTGAGAAAAGTGTAAAACGAATCTAATTTAAAGGTTTTAAATTCAGAATAATTTTTGAATTGTGTTTGAAAATTAGAATAAGCCTCGGACCGTGGGCCGGGCCAAACTATTTTTACAGGTCCACTAGAATATTCCAATCTTCGAAGTCTGGCTGTCTAAATTGCTTTGTAAAGACAACGCTATATAGCAAATGCACCAAAAAGCTGGTCATTTAGGGTAGCTTTTTATGTAGGGGATACTGTATTTTTATCCGCAATGGATTCAGTGTAAAATCAGGGCTGGATGTGCAATGTTAACCAGAGTTCCTAAATTTAAAATTTTCAGTTTTGGCTTTAGCTTCAGCTTTGGCTCCGCTTTTTTAAAAGTTTTAGCTCAGGTTCCAGTTCTAGAGCTAGCACGATTCGGGCTTTAGGGCGTTTGCTTCTTACATTTGACATTTTTGGGGCTTTGGCTTCAACTCCGGCTTCGGTTTTTTTTATGAATTCTTGCTCCGGCTCCAACTCCAAACCCTAAGCTGCCTCGGAGCTGGAGCTGGCTTCGGAGCCCTTGGGAACGCTGATGTTAACTTATGTTTTCTCTTGTTTTTGAATATCTGAAGCTTATATTCTTTACTAGGTCAACTTGTAAACTCATAACATTGACGTTGGTTCCACTGTACGTCAATATCGAGACGTTGTGTCGCAATTATGATATTTTTGAGTCAGGTTTTGCTACGACTTCCGGCGGAAGTTTTTTCGACAATCACCACAGTTTAAAGTTACTTAGTGGTTATTAATTATTTAAACCAATTTGCACTTTCGATGTGCGGTTTGAGGTTTGAGTGGGGGTTCTTACGGTTTATGGTAGTTTATTTAGTCATAGGTTAGACTTTTATATTGTCATAGATTAAAGTTTTATTGTAGTTTTGTCATTTTCTTTATTAAAAGGGGGTCTGACAAGGAAAGTATTCAACCTGCCCCGCTCAGAATCTGCTCAAAATTTTTATATGGATCTTTTGTACTATCATCCGTACGTATAAAAAGTTTTAGCTTGCGCTGTTGAGTTTTGAATTTTAAATATTTGAAGTTCCCTCCAATTTGGCAAAGTTTGGCATGGTGTTTCAAAGGCTTTTTTGGATTCTTTGTACTACTAATAGTACCCATGAAAAATTTTAATTTGCGCTTTTGAGTTTCAAAACTTAAATATTTGAGTTTCCCGCCAACTTGTCAAATTTCTGGCATTGTGTTTCAAACACTCTTTTTTGACTTTTCAGACAAGATACGCTTACAAATTTAAAAATGTCGGTTTATTTAAAGGGTTTCTATTAGTATATCAAAGAAAACTAGTTAAAAGTCAAAAAATGACAAAGTTATAAGCTTGAAACAATGCCAATTTCTTTTTTTCGATTTTACAGACAAACTACGCTTACAAATTTAAAAATGTAGGACGATTTAAAGGTTTTCTACTAGTATAGCAAAGAAAAATGATTAAAGTCAAAAAAATGGCAAAGTTATTAGCTTGAAGCACAATGCCAATTTGGCGGGAAATTTAAAACATAATTTTTTGATCTTGATTTTCTTGAGATTTACTGGAAAGCGCGACTTGGTAATTTGCTGAAGATCTTATATTTACATGGTCTTCCTATATAAAAAGCTTGAAGTCAATCAGAGCGGGCAGGTCCGGCAATTTGCTTGTTAGTAGAAAAATTAAAAGTCAAGCTTCAATAAAGCTACGTCAAAATAAGATTACTGTTTGCGTGTTAGGTTAGTAAAGCAATGTATCCATGAGATCAGGTTGAACCAAAAGTAGCTGAACATTTTTTAGTTGAAAAATAAATGAGAAGTGTCCCGCTACTTTTGGTTCAACCTAATATCTTGTATACCTATGATGAAATAAGATGTTCAAACGACAGAATTGTATATCTCAAGATTATACCATCAGATTGTACAAAAACTCACCAACAACATTAATTAGCATTCTCTCCGAAATGCGTTTTTATGAGCTTTTGTTTTGTAAACGTGTCCTTTTGTCACGCCGATGACAATGTACCGGTTAAGAGGTAATTCATCACGTTTGTGAGTTATTATTAGGATGGAGAATATCATCTTTGACATTGTTAAGATGGTATTTCACGAGGCTTTTTTGTTTTTTTTGCTGCAGTTTTAGGGTTTTTATGCTTTAGGCTATTAGGAAGAGGTTTGTCGCTGCGCATAAAAAGGTATCTTAGCTTTCCTTGTAAAGTAATTTACTAAAAAGTAAGTTATCTTACAAGCAAAGTGCCCCAACCTTACCCTTTCTGATTGACTTCAAACTTTTTACATAGGAAGATTATGCCAATATAAGACCTTCAGCAAAGTACTAAGTCGCGCTTTCCAGTCAATCTCGAGAAAATCAAGATCAAAAAATTACGTTTTGAATTTCCCGCCAAATTGGCATTGTGTTTGTCATTTTTTGACTTTTTATCATTTTTCTTTGATATACTAGTAGAAAAGCTTTAAATGCACATACATTTTTAAGTTTGTAAGCGTTTTCTCAAAAGTCAAAAAAGTGCTTGAAATAGAATGCCAAAAGTTGCGAATTTGGCGGGAACTCAAATATTTAAAATTTTAAACTCAAAAGCGCGAGTTACAAATTTTTATGGGTACTTATAGTGGTACAAAGAATCCAAGAAAGTGCTTGAAACACAATGCCAAAGATTTGCCAAATTGGCTGAAAACTCAAATATTTAAAATTTAGAACTCAAAAGTGCAAGTTAAAATTTTTTATAGGTACTATTGGTGGTACAAGGAATTCATCTAAAAATTTAGGGCTGATTCTAAGCGGAGCAGGTTGGGTACTTTCGTTGTCAGTTTGAAGGATTTATTAGGTTGGACCAAAAGTAGTGGGACAGTTTTCATTTATTTTTCAATTATAAAGTGTCCCTTTACTTTTGATACAACATAATAAAAAAAATATTTAGATTGTGCCATTCTTTTTTAATCATAATGTTTTTGGTTTACTGTAGTCAGAGTTCTACTCGGATCGGACCCAATGCGGGAGCCCGGAATTTGAATTTTGTTTTCCGCGCTTTTTTTCTACCGGTCGGATCGGTCTGAAACTTTTTCTACCCCTCTATTTGGAACTGTGCTGACCTTTCTAGATGCTCTTAGTTTTTTGATATCTATCATAGGTTTCGAGATATGCGTTTGGCGGGAAAAATAAATTCAAAAATCCGGACCGTCTGGACCGCACCCAAAAGGCAAAACTCTGGTAAAGAGAAGATCAAAAAAGATCATTCTACAACAAATTTGCCAAAAATTTCACTTTTAAATTCTTCAAATAACAAAAAATCCGTGTTAATAATGTCATTGTTCAAGCGAACCCTATCCCTGATTTTCGTTTTTCTTTCGAAAAATTTTCGAAAACGTTTGGAACCGTTTTTTTACGTCAAACAAAACCTCACACGAACTGCGCCGATGAGTTATGTTTCAGCAAGACTTTTGCTGATACAACATCGACGAAGAAGAGGATATTTTTTGTGATTGGGATGAGTTATGGCGATATTTTTGGGTTTTTTTTGGGAGTTTAAAGAACATTGGATTACTGTAGTTCATAAAAAGTGTCAAGGTAGTTGTTGGGAGAATAGTGTGAGGAATCTGGGTGGGGATAAGGTTTGTTCTTCTGGGCTTTCATTTCTACTTTATCGGTTTTGTGGCATTAATCTTTGATTTTTATTCTTATACCATCGACGCTTAAGGCCTTGATGATGGCATTTACTGGTCTTTGCAGATA